CACCATACCCGTGCTCGCGGGTTTCACCGAAGTGGTAAACGTCTGAGACCTGCATCACTTCGGGCTTTCCTCCCACATTAAGCTGACACGCCGTGATATAACTGGAATACTGTTAAAAGCGGCGTTAAACCCAACTCACTCACTCACTCACTCACTCACTCACTCACTCACTCACTCACTCACTCACTCACTCACTCACTCACTCACTCACTCACTCACTCACTCACTCACTCACTCACTCACTCACTCACTCACTCACTCACTCACTCACTCACTCACTCACTCACTCACTCACTCACTCACTCACTCACTCACTCACTCACTCACTCACTCACTCACTCACTCACTCACTCACTCACTCACTCACTCACTCACTCACTCACTCACTCACTCACTCACTCACTCACTCACTCACTCACTCACTCACTCACTCACTCACTCACTCACTCACTCACTCACTCACTCACTCACTCACTCACTCACTCACTCACTCACTCACTCACTCACTCACTCACTCACTCACTCACTCACTCACTCACTCACTCACTCACTCACTCACTCACTCACTCACTCACTCACTCACTCACTCACTCACTCACTCACTCACTCACTCACTCACTCACTCACTCACTCACTCACTCACTCACTCACTCACTCACTCACTCACTCACTCACTCACTCACTCACTCACTCACTCACTCACTCACTCACTCACTCACTCACTCACTCACTCACTCACTCACTCACTCACTCACTCACTCACTCACTCACTCACTCACTCACTCACTCACTCACTCACTCACTCATATATGTAATATGGGGGTGAGGTGAAATAGGGTTGGACGTTGCGTACAAAATAATTGCACTTATATAACGAAGCGCATGCACAAGGTACTTGCATGTCCTAGTCCGGACTCGGGATTGAGTGTTTGACCACTGAGATACCATACCGTAGTTCAACATGAACACACAACTCAGAAACAATATACGGACTCCTTGTTTTTCCCCTTTAATGCCGAGCGCCAAGCAGAGTAACAAGTACCATCTTTCAACGTCATTTGGTATGACGCGGCTGGGGATCAAACCTCGACCTTCCGCTTTCTGAGCAGATTATCGATCTACTAGACCACTGCGGCAGTATGTTAGTGAGTGAGTGAGTGAGTATGGTTTTACGCCGCTTTTAGCAATATTCCAGGAATACCACGGCGGGGCACATCAAAAATGGGCTTCACACATTGCCTTCAGCATGACGAACGAACTCTTTAACCACTAGGCTACCCGACCGCTCCCGATCTGTAAGTAGGCAGAAAACCCAGTGAGTGATTAAATGCTGAATAATTATATCCCCTTTGTCAGTAAGATATGTTTTAATGAAAAAAATGAGCGCACAATGCCGAAAGCTCATCCCTTATTTTTCATCATAGCATTAAGCGATCTAACAGGTTGTCCCTGTATGCCTATGACATAACCATTTGTCAATTAAATGTGGGTAGAATATCAAAATTATATGCTCATTGAAAGACGCGAGAATACTGTCAGTGTCAATGGTCTGAGGTGATCGAAAACTGGACAACATACAATGTCCGAATACAGAATATTATGTAAGTAATCGTGAAAATCATGAGAAACAAGACATATTTAAAAAAACTAAGTATAGTGGATGGAAAACAGTAATAGATTGAATAAGTATGCATGGTTTTAAGCCTCCATTAGCAATATTCCAATCTCATTGCTCGTCGCTAGTTATCCTGCATTACTGTTATGGGTTTGAGAAAATGACCTGGGGACCTAGGGACAATGGCATTAGTAATCGTTGGAAAAATGTTACCAAACTTTTGAAAGAAACTTTATCTTTGTCTCACATATGTATTATGATATGCGTACATACGAAGTACATAAATAATCATGAACATATTTTTTAAAACATACCCAACTGTAAATATCACACTAAACATATTTATGTTATTCGGCAACAATCATAAGAGGGAGACACGTCTAGCTCTATCCGACCTATTACCCTATACAGCATATCGCTATGTGGGAGACGTTGACCCAGTTTCCGTGTAGCGAGATATTAGCACTTTGGGACAGTGTGAATAATTGACGTGTCAGGCTAGAGGAGTAAACATATTACCATTAGAGAGGTAACTCTCGGAAGAGAAGTGGTTAAAAATAACAAACGCACTCACAACATTGAGGGTTTCAATTTCAACTATGTGTGCATGTCTCATCAGATCTACTGCATTACAAAATAATATCACAACAACAAGAAAGATTAATTATGAAAAAGTATTGATATTTTTACCACTGTAGATATATCAATGTCAACAGTATCACGTATACCACTATGACTGTGTCAACTTCATACTCCTTGTTCCTTGAAAACAATAACACATATACTGAACCGCAAAAGAAACGTCACCCAAAGTAACATTGTTTCTAACATTTCCTAGTCTGGAAAAATGAAATTTGATGATAAAAAAAACAAGGCAGATGACAATAATACCGATCGCCCACACGCATCACGGCAACGGCCGTGGTAACCCGATGCACGTGAGTTCCGTGCAAATTGAAAGACACATGCGTTACCCCATATCTTGCCCTATAAAAATCCACCCAGATCGGATAACATTCATTCGTTATTGAAATGCTACCACATGCCAAGATTGACAAGAAATAACCGACACCAAGCCCTTGGACGATTGCCAGCTGGACAAACCGCCCGGCAAGTAGCCAATGCATTTCAAGTCCACGTAAGGACCATATACAGGCCCTAGCAATGGTACCAGACCACCAACACTACAGATGACCGACCACGTAGTGGAAGACCAAGGATCACCACCCGACGTCAGGATCGTCAGATTGTGCGACAGCATCTTCAAGATCGCTTTGTTACTGCTGCGGAAACTGCTCGACAGACCATGGGGACACACCAGCGACACATTAGGGCATGAGACGAGAGCCGTTACTGTATCTCAACAGCAGATGGCAGAGAGAGAGAGTCTGGCGACGCCGTGGGGAACGTTATGCTTGTGTTGTTGAGAGAGTCTCGTGGGGTGGTCCGAGCATCATGCTGTTGGGTGTAGTTGGTCTTGCACAGAGGGTCGGCCCTGTTGTCTTTCAGAGCATAGGTCCAGGGAGAGGCAATTTGTTTTACAGCAGCTCGGTAGATTGATCAAGTCTTGAGACCACACGCCATACCTAATTTGGCACGTCGCCGCAACCACGTGTTTCAGCCTAACACCCGTGCCCACAGTGCGAGAGCAACAAGAGACTTCCTCCAGCAGAATGGCATCAGAACCACAGCCTGCCCTCAGTCCCGATTTAAATCCGATTGAGCACCTGTGGGACGAGATTCAAAGACGGCTGAATGACGTCCGATCAAGGCCGACAACTGCAGCTGAACTGCGTCAGGCGTTCCTCTGAGTGTGGGCTCAAGTGTGTCGTTGCACGGCAGTAATCAATGCACATGGCGGACACACGAGATACTGACTTGAGATGCCATTTTCTCAGATACTAGTGTTGTGTTTCACTTTCAGAACACTTGACACTTTAATTTCAACCTTGATGATCAGTTTTGCCAAGTTTCATCTTTGTAATATGTCTCAAAGTATGTTTACAGTGTTTGGACAAATAAGGTTTATCATATATCTATCCATGGTGACGTTTCTTTTGCGGTTCAGTATATTTCAGGAAGTCATTGTTTTGTTTTCATAATATATTTGTTTTCTACTGTTATATTACATTAATATTTAAACTGAAATGTGTCATACAAATTACAATATGTTTTATCTTCTGGGTTACACATGTGCGCTTCATGACCTAGTCGTGGTACTTTCATCCATAGGAAGGTATGCTACAAAATGTCTTTGCGCCGTGTTAATCCTCTGGACCGATGTTATCTTTTTATTATCACGTCTTAGTTCTTGCTACGGCTAAACAAAAATGTGAGGATATCCCATTACTGGTCACGTCAGAACGTCCTTTCGTCCGACCAATCAGAGCGTCGCTTACCAGATTGAGAAAGTCACAGTCGGAATGTGTTTTCTAATCATGCAACCTCGATAAGATTACATTACGGGGCACTCCGAACGAACATTTGAAACGGAAGACCCCCTGGGAAGTACCGCCATACAATCTCGGCCATATATGAGACATTCCAGAATTTTCTTTTGTTCAATTTTCAAATTTTAATAGAGAACTTTGTCAACAGATTTTTCATAGCATAGTCTGGAGTGGAAGTCGCCGGTTTGAAACTAGGGTTGTAAAAGCTCCAGAAAGCTGCTTTCTGATTGGCTAATGTCCATTTCTTGTAGGTCAGTCATTGGTCGGCCAAAGTCCAGTTTCCTCCTTTGTCGAACTAGGCTGGAATTATGGAGTTATATCTTGGCTGGACTAACGAGTCTATGCATAGTCCAATCAACATGTCGTAACGAAATCGACTTCCGGTTCGTAAACTGCAGTGCAGATTTAGACCGATTTCAGAGTTTACAAATCACGTGTATCATCAACTCAGCGTCAGCAGATATTTCCCAAATCTTTTCATGATTATAATGAAGGTGCTCACGTGATTTGGTGCCGCCATTTTGATTGAAGCAAATGCAAGTGATATGAGAGGTGGAATCTGATTGGTCAATAGGAGGGACATAACCAGTTAAAGCCACTGGTGGCGCTACGATCGAGCCCAGATATTCCAGCCTTCTTTACGTCTTACAGCCTTTTAGTACAACTCGATGACTACCTTTAATCATTAGCCCTTTGCAAAACACCACAACATGTAAGCAATAAGCGTAAAAATAATTTTATTCAGGAGTGTTTTGAAACCTCTGACCGACCAATCTGAATTGAGTATGGTGTAGTGAGAGTATGGAGTTGTATTAAGGATCTGAATATGTCCATATTCTCTTTTTTACTGTTTTGAATATTATTCTTAAAGACAGGCGCTGTAATGGAGAATTATAGTTTGCCAAAGGACTTAACATGTTGGATTATTTATACAGGGATGCCCCAGGGTAGCGCCCCGCCCTCCGAGCCCCCACCCAGCTACTCCGACTACCCTGGCCAGAGCAATCATGCGTACTCCGCCCCACAGTACGGGGAACAACCACAGCAGCAACAGCAGTATGGGATGCCTCAACAGCAGTACGGGATGCCTCAACAGCCACAGCAGTATGGGATGCAGCAACAGCCACAACAATATGGGATGCAGCAACAGCCACAGCAATATGGGATGCAGCAGCAGCAGACGAGCGTTGTGGTGAGTCCAGGTTGTATAGCGGGGACTTATGTTTCCACTAAGAGACCGACTGTGTAATATTCTGAGGAGGGATGAGAATTTTGTTCGAGGATATGGTTTTATTCACTGCGTCAAACATGAAAGGTTTGCGTGGTACTAAAGACATCGAGGCAAAGTGTTCATTGAAGATGAAAAACATTATTTTGCATTGTCCATTATATGAATAATTAGGAACTCCTGACATAATTACATTACTTAATTTGAAGTTTGATGTAATTTTTTTATGACTGGAAACGCTAGGAAAAAAATAATATATATAAATGGATCAGACAATCAAGTGATAGACATCATGAACATCGATCTACGCAACTGGGATACAATGACATGCATCAACCAAGTCAGCGAGCCTGACCACTCGATCCCGTTAGTTGCCTCTTACGACAATCATAGCCACCTCTTACAGGCATAGCCGCCTCTTATGACAATCATAGGCACCTCTTACAGGCATAGCCGCCTCTTACGACAATCATAGCCACCTCTTACAGGCATAGCCGCCACTTACGACAATCATAGCCACCTCTTCCAGGCATAGCCGCCACTTACGACAATCATAGCCACCTCTTACAGGCATAGCCGCCACTTACGACAAGCATAGGCACCTCTTACAGGCATAGCCGCCACTAACGACAAGCATAGGCACCTCTTACAGGCATAGCCGCCACTTACGACAAGCATAGGCACCTCTTACGACAGGTGATATGATGTAAATGCGTATGTGCTTCAACATATTATTGACCCGTGAAGATCCGGGCTAGAATTGATCTTCAGCGATCTATGCTTGTCGTAAAAGGCGGCATGATGAGCCCCCCCTCTCCCCCCCCCCAAAAAAAAAAATAAAAAAATCCCCCCAGTAATTTCCTATGGTTCAAAGGAATTACGAGAGCAATGCTAACCGTTTTTTTGTTGGTCTTTGAAAAACATGGACATAAATTTAACTTATGAGGACATTCATAATAACATTAGTAGGACATAAGTTTGAAGACTTTGTTGAACACAGGTGAACCAACCCGGCGTGAACTACGGCGCCGTCCACACCAACGCCCCCGACAACATGGGTCTTGCCATCTTCGCCACCATCTGCTGCTTCTGGCCCTTAGGTATCGTGGCCATCATGAGAGCGTCAGAGGTACGTATCATTCCATTCGTCACCACTCGCCCCTTTCCGTAACCTGAAAGAAGACTCGTCCCCCTAACGATGAATGCTATGTGCGAAAATACGACCAACCAATCCGAATGCGCGTGTGATTTCAAGTTCTTCGTCAAAGAATCCCTCAGAAATATTTTTTGATTTTTGATCTAAAAATTTACCAAAGACACAGTTAAATGTGTTCAATCATACTGTGTAATTTCGCACGTCCCGATGTGCTTTAAATTGCATCTGAAATATATATAATATATGGGGAAAATGTGTGAACCATTGCGCAACGATTTTGTCAATTGTTTTAGGTATGCCCTTTCGCGCTAAAACGGAACCCGGTCGCAAAAATGGCCACGAGAGGGGCACGAGTCGCTATTCGGCTTGTCCCGGGATAACACGAGTTGGTCTCGAATGGTAGCATTCGTCACCACTCGCCCCTTTCCGTAGCCTGCAGTGGATTCGTGACCTCTAGTGTCATTCCGTGAAAAGCCGAAACACGACTCCCTTCGTGACCAACTCGTGTTATTCCGGGACAAGCCGAATAGCGACTCGTGCCTCTCTCATGGCCATTTATGCGACCGGGTTCCGTCTTAGCGCAAACGGGCATACCTAAGACAATTGTCAATTTGTTGCCAAATGGTTCACATTTATTTCCCCATGTATTACATATATTTCAGATGCAATTTAAAGCACATCGGGACGTTGTGGGATTATACAGTATGATTGAACACATTTAACTGAATCTTGGGTATATTTTTAGATGCAAGACATACGTAAAATCAAAAAATATTTCTGAGGGATTCTTTGACGAAGAATTTGAAACCATACGCGCAGTCTGATTGGTTTGTCGTATTTTCGCACATAACATTCATCGATAGGGGGACGAGTCTTCTTTCAGGTTACGGAAAGAGGCGAGTGGTGACGAATGACACGACTCGTGCCCGTGGCCATTTTTATCAACTTGGTTCCGTCTCCGCGCAAACGGGCATAGCTTAAAAAACCTAGTCAATTTGTTGTACCACATCATCTTTGTCTTGTAAGTCTACATTAAAATGTTCTAACAATGTAATGGTTGCAATTTACAGCTTCTTGTTATTCAGTGGGACATTCACTAAAGAATAAGTTTAGATACAATACCTGTAAACTATTAAGGAGTGATTCATTGACCAAAGTACTTATAAATTGGTCTGTCGTGTTATCGCACATGATAGGGGGTGAGTTTTCTTGCAGTTTTCTTGCAGGTTACGGAAAGGGACGAGTGGTGACGAAGTTTATCAATAACCAGATACGCTCGGCTCATCCCAATCGGCTCACCTCATGCCCATATAGGTCATCTCGGCCATCAGTGGGAGGATTCCATATTGGAACTGGAGTTTCTCTAGTTTACGTTACGAATGTTACGTTATACAACACATTCTGGTGGCTGTCGTGATCTCTATGTACATGTTGCTCGATATCAAATTTTATACCCCACTTCTAATAAGAAAAACTTTCTCAAAATAAGCTCGCCATGTACGATGCAGTGCGATCGGGCGTTACACGAATTCAGGCAACACGAACACTCCACTAATGTCTGAGCATCCTCGATTATCCAGTGTATACAATCCCCTTTCTATTGGCATACAAACCCTGGACCCAACGCCACACATCTTTGTCGGAGACGGATAGGAATGACACGACGTTAAACTTATACGCCAATCAAATTACCCGGCTGAATGACACCTGATGACACGTTTGCGTACCGTCCCAACTACATGGCACATACACCGAAATGGTATTACAATAAAAGGAATATGTTTTATCTATGTTAGGTTTACTAAAACCTACGTTATCAACACACCACAAAACTAAAATAATAGTTACAGCCTTTATTCCCGTAATACAACGTCACCAGAAAGTCTATAAACTATACAGTCATTATATAATCAAAAGAAATAGAAGAAAATGCACCAACAGGAAGTGACGTCAGCAGAAGAAACGTAATTCTTCTGCTAATAATTATTATTTTGTGGTGTGTACTAACTACTGTTTACTTTGTTAAAGTCGAAATTCCAAAATCGAGGTGGTGAAAAAATGAAGCCCAATCATTTTCGGAAGCTGACTTCTGATTGGTTAAATTAAGATTGGGAGGTCAAAGTTCACTCAGGGTTAACCTGACTCGACTTTCCATGGAGAGGTCGACATATCTTGACACTGAGTGAGTTAGTGAATGGGTGAGTGAGTATGTTTTACGCCGCTATTAGCAATATTCCAGCCATATATCGTCGGGGGAAACCAGAAATGGGCTTCACACATTGTACCAATGCGGGCAATCGAACCCGGGCCTTCGGTGAGAGGAGCGACCGCTTAAACCACTAGGCTACCCCACTGACCCTCTTGAAGCTGAGAAGTATCGTATGTGTGTAGAAAATCTTATTTCAATGACTTGACTGTCAGACCCCTATCGTGGCTCCAAGACAATAGCATACCCCAGACGCTGAAAGGATCGAGTGACCAGACCGAGTGCGGGTCACTTAATTACAATTACACGCCGCGCGACTGCAACAGGAAAGTAATGAACAAATAATGTTTGACTCATGAGGTTGACCTTCACCTTTCAGGCACGTAACGCGCTGACCCGGGGCGACATGAACGGCGCTGTCCTCCTCTCCGCCCAGTCCCGACGCATGTCACTGTGGGCCATCGCCTGTGGCTGCATATCAGTTGTTCTCATCATCGTCATCGTCGTTGCATACGTTGTGACCTATAACAACTCCTACTGCTACGAATGCTACTAAACGTCCATGAAGGGAGATAACCCCAATAATGAAGGGAGACAACTGACCATCTTGTCCGGTTTCTGTGCCAACAAAGGAACCGTATATTAATTTTCTGGAACGAATCATTATTTTCAGGAATCAAATTGAGAGCATTAAGTGAAAGCGGATTAGCATTATAATATTTAAAATGCGTGTACATTTTTGCTTATCGTCAAGTTAAACATTTCAAATAATTCTTTGTATCTAATATTTTTCCAACTAAATTTACTTGAAAACATTTTGGAAATTCATTTTGACATTCGATGAGCATATAATTCCATTTCGAACAATGTCGAATTCAAAATATTTGCACAATTTTTTTTGTCTCATTTGTTTGTTGTTTAACTCAGCACTCATCAATATTCCACATATATGACGTAAATAATCGAGTCTGGACCAGACAATCCAGTGACTGAGAACATGAGCATCGGTCCACGCAATTGGGATACGATGACATGCATCAACCAAGTCAGCGAGCATGACCACCTGTTCCCGTTAGTCGCCTTTTACGACAAGCATAGTCGCCTTTTACGGCAAGCATAGTCGCCATTTACGGCAAGCATGGGATGTTGAAGACCTATTCTACACCGGATATCCACGGATCATTTGCACAAAAGATCAGTCTATTCAAATTACAGTCCAGTGTCTGAAGGACAAATGATTTGCATTATGTAACCAACAACAATGACAATATATAGGTGAATAATAAATACATTTTATTTCTTGGTGTTGGGATTGGGATCAAAACGTTTACTACTTTGAACATTCTTTTGATTGACAAGTGTCTGTGATATATCAGAAAGAGCTGTTTTGTGTATACTCTAAAAGAAAGATACCTGTGAAATGAATGACTATTATTATTATATTTACAAAATAAACACGTTGGTAATGTTGATTACTTTGTTATTCATATTTTTATCAGCTAGGTGGTCATGGGATTTGATTTCACCTAAAGTATTGATTTTGTTTATTAAATTAATAAACGTACAAGTAATCATACAGCATTGTTCACATGCTTGGAATCAGGTGGTGAGGTGAAATGGGGTTTAACGTCCAAGATTATTGCACTTATATAGCGACGTGCATGCACGTGTATGTATGTGTGTGGCTGCTTGTACTAGTCCGGACTGATGCCGATTTATAGTGCTAGCTCACTGTTGTTTAACGTCGCACTCGGCAACATTCCAGCTATATGACACTGGTCTGTAAATAATCGAGTCTGGACCAGACAATCCAGTGATTGACATCATAAGCATCGAGTCACGCAATTGGAATACGATGGCATGCATCAACCAAGTCAGCAAGCCTGACCACCCGATCCACTGCCTCTTACGACAAGCATGGGTTGCTGAAGATCAATTCTAATCCGGGTCTTCACGACTAAAATAATTTTCGTGCTAAGATTGCTTTGAGGAACCTGGTTCTGGAAACAGACTCTGTAAATAATCGAGTCTGTACCACACAATCTACTACATAATTAATCAGTTACTACATAGTTAATCATTTGTGATATAACTATAGTAATATGATTGAATCGGGTGTTCTTAAACTTCTTCTGTGCATGTATAAAGTATTAATAGCATACATTTGGGGTGGCAAGGCACGGGTAATTGTCAATTCAAGCAAGGTTGAATCATGCCTTTCAAACACATTTGCTGATTATTTGAGAATTTTGTCAGTCCAACAGTTGATTAGTCCACTTTCAAGGGACAATGTCCAGGTTTCAGACAGGGCACCAAGTGGAGCAATAGATGACATCCTTACCTTGTCAGCTTGCTGATGGGTTATCTGTGGCAATATCTGTGGCAATATCTATGGACAAGGCGTTCGACCTCGGATCAGAAGGTCCATGGTTCGAATCCCATGACGGGACTTGCAAAATTTTACGGCTGCTAGATTGAAATCTTGACCATTGTCCTTCAGTTGGTTGTCCAGTCAGTAGAGTGACATGAAGGGTCCTGATTTGTCCTCGACTTGGAACCTAATGAACTCAAGCACTGACATCTATTCTCATTTTGAAATGAAAGGTCTCATTCAATTCCGGATATGTTCTTTGTAGAGGATATGTTAAGCAAGCACTGAGATGAGTTTTGGTTTCCAATTGAGATGGGCTTTTTCAGGAGTGATCATCACTATATCCTCCAGGTCATGTTCAATGTGGGCAGGTGAATGAATGTGTTTTGAGGCAGCTTCCTATCCAAATCATCACCATGTGACAGGAAAGCCTGAAGTGATGGTCCAAGATGATTAAGTAAGGATTAGATACATGTATATGGATGAACAACTTCTCTATTACAATTAGGAGCAACATTTTGTTGTAGGTTCTAACACAGTTATCAAGCAAGTCTTAGAACCTACACCGAAACGTTGCTCCTAATCGAAATAAAGTTGTTCATCCATATATCTTATCCTTACTAAGTACTCCAACTTCTAAATGCATCTCAAGTTGTCCAAGATGATTACTGATTTGGTTACTGCCCACAACCCTTATCAAATACCAGACAAATCAAGAATCATAATCAGGTTGGTTGGTTGGTTGGTTGTTTAACGCCACACTCAGCAATATCTCAGCTATATGACGGCGGTTTGTAAATAATCGAGTCTGGACCAGACAAACCAGTGATTAATATCATGAGTATCAATCCACGCAATTGTGATCGATGACATGCATCAACCAAGTCAGCGAGCCTGACCACCCGAACCCGTTAGTCGCCTTTTACAACAAGCATAGTCACCTTTTAGGGCAAGCATGGGTTGCTGAAGACCTATTCTACTCCGGAATGGGAAAATCATAATCAGGATGAACCTTGGATTTCAAATCACAAGTCAATGATTTATGGAATGGCAAAGAGATGCAACTCTGCACAGAATTTTGTGGTGCCTGAGACACCCACCCAACGCTGACCCTTGCCTGGTCTGAAATGTACTTTGCATTTTCTTCTGTTGGGAAGACAAACACGACAAACACCAATGCCAATATCATGTCTCAATAATTTGTGACATATTTATTTACACTGTGATTGCAATTGTTAAAATATTTCTTTATGTACAGTCATCAAAAAACATGGAACTATTTGGTAGCATAAATACTTGAAATGATGTTTCTAAGTGACCAAAGACCTGTCATATACCACTGCATTTAGTCACTCCTGTAACAATACAATTCATACCCCTAGACACAGATCAATCTTGTGGAAGAGCAAGCACCTGGTGTGTAAGTAGAGGTAAAGCATGATACAAAACAAGAAAAATTCTGCCAAAGGGATAGTCTTCCGACTCCTTCAAGCAGGGATTAACATCAAGCAAGAATGTACAGTTTGGTTTGGTTTGTATGTTGTTTAACGCCGCACTCAGCAATATTCCAGTTGTAGGACGGCGGTCTGTAAATAATTGAGTCTGGACCAGACAATCCAGTGATTGCCATCATAAGCATCGATTCACACAATTGGAATAAGATGATATGCATCAACCAAGTCAGCAAGCCTGACCACCCAATCCCGTTAGCCGCCTCTTCAGACAAGCATAGTCACCTTTTACTGCAAGCATGGGTTGCTGAAGACCTATTCTACCCCAGATGTCTAAATGTTAACAGCTATTGCATTCATAAAGATTTGACTTTCACATGATGAACTTTGCTTACTGGAACGAAACAAGGCTTATACCTAGCATGATTGGCCTACTGGGTCTAATTGGTGGCTCAAGTGACTAAGACTATTGTAAGCCTATGTTCAGGTATGGGCGTTATGATTATCTTAGCACTAAGATGATCGTAACTCCCATTCTTTAACATAGGCTTATGATAGTCTTAGCGCTAAGATGATCGTAACTCCCATTCTTTAACATAGGCTAAAGATAGTCTTAGCGCTAAGATGATCGTAACTCCCATTCTTACCACAGGCTTATGATAGTCTTAGCGCTAAGATGATCCTAACTCCCATTCTTTAACATAGGCTTAAGATAGTCTTAGCGCTAAGATCGCTTTGTGCAAGTGGGTCCAGGTCATTTTTGCAAAAGTCAGTTTTTACCTACTGAGACAGTTGCTGGGTGAGCAACCGTTTAGTTTTCCAGTGGTTTCACGTTCAACAAATGTTATGTACATGATAGAAGAGTGACAATGAACATTTACATGACAAACAAGGAACAATCCTAATAATCACCATGAAACAAGAATAAGTTTTGTGCAATATATCTTCTCCTAAAATGATAAAGTGTAGCATTGAAACTAATATTCAAAATGATTGTAACACGATCAACAATGTCCTCATTCAAACATCAGTTGAGCTATCATCCCAAACACAATGTATCATGCCATACAAACTACAGCTTAACACGTGTGAAGATCTTATGTACATGCCCTTCATTTGGCATATTTACAGCCAAACTGTGAGTGTCCATTGTGTCCAGATTCTGGGAGGAAAGCCCACTCATCAGTGGCTCCTTGCATCACTAACGAAGAGTGAGTGGGTATGGTTTTACGCTGGTTTTACGCTGCTTTTAGCAATATTCCAGCAATATCACGGCGGGGGACACCAGAAATGGGCTTCACACATTGTACCCATGTCAGGAATCGAACCCGGGTCTTCGGCGTGACGAGCGAATGCTTTAACCACTAGGCTACCCGACCGACCCCACTAACGAAGAGGGCTATAACGATGCACTTCATTGCGATACGATACATATCTAAAAAATAAGCAGCAATATGATACGCGATAGGACAAACAAAAAATCTCCATTTGACAGTTATGGAAATATTTCCATCATCAAAGGAAAAGAACAACTAAAATATATTGAGTAGATATGAATCAATCACAACAGAAGCTTCAGACCTCTTGCGCATACAACCTGAAGATGTTATTCTTAATTGATTGTCACACAATCTTAAATGTCACTCTTGTATATATACTAGTTCCTTTATCCTCTGATATCAATACATGACCTACCATGTCAAGCTAACTTAACAGAAGACATTATGCTTGACTCCCACATCTGATTAGAGGCTCATGGTGGCGACAGTTTAACATGTATCATAATGAGCCCATATCCCAATGTTGTGAACGTGCCCACAGTAACCTAATGCCTATCAAGACCACTGTATTGCTAAAAGCACCATAAACCATACCCACTCACAAAATGGATGCTCGTACTGCTACAGTGTTCCCCCGTTATTGCGCCCTTCAATATAGCGCTAACTCGGTTATAGCGTGCGGTAAAGCATGGCTCCCAAAATTTACAAACATTAATATATAATAGTTAATGACCACAACTCAAACACGTATTGAAGACGTCAGCTCTTTCACTACTTCTAAAGGATGACAATCATGTTGGGGAAGCTGAGGATCACTAACCTGAATACGGGAGGTAGAAGTGATTGTGAAACCTATACACGGTATACATGGTAACAGACGTAACATTTGACCACCAGAATGCATTGTGAGTGAGTGAGTGAGTTGGGGTTAACGCCGCTTTTAACAGTATTCCAGTTATATCGCGGCGTGTCAGCTTAATGTGGGAGGAAAGCCGAAGTGATGCAGGTTCAGATGTTTACCACTTCGGTGAAACCCACGAGCACGGGTATGGTGCTGACAAACCTAGAAACATAATCGGGGCGAACCGGGATTCGAACCCACTATCAGAATGCATTGTGCCTTACTAAGGCTGCTGTAAGCAAGCAAATCACGATACTGTCATATACTTAAACAACATACAGACAATGTTGTTTTACATTTGTTATTTAATATTCATCAGTGATGAATACAAATACACACATCTGTATCTTATACATAGAAAAACAGAACAGAAACAAGTTTTCTCCAAAAAGATTTAAATAAATCAAAACTTTCATAAAACATATGAAAACAAAGACGTAACTTCCAAACATAAATACTTCCTCCAGTGAAGATGCATTTCGTCATGGTCATCTTAATTGTCAATTCACCGATCATTCTACAGAGGGTGCAGAAAGTCATAATTGGATTGGATAGCAGTAAGAAACAGGAATCTGAAAGTGTTTACTAATTTAAAGGTTCAACAAATCAATCAATTGGCTGGGGTGTGTATTACCGTATTCGACGTAATAAGTGCCCAGGGCGCTGTCAAAATTAGAAATAGGGGGCTCTTATTAGAATATTATTTTGGTGAAAAAAAAAACAGAGTTGAAAGATAAATTTCGTGGTTTATGGTGACAGCCTGAAATGCTTATGTACGACAGATATATTTTCCCAGAATTTAATCGCCCAAAACTAAGGGTGCATATAACACATGAGTGTGTATTATACGCGAATAAATAAGTCTTGTGTACATTGATCAATCGATCGGAAGGGGTGCTAATTGGGATTGTTCACCAGCCAATATATCAGCAAATATCGCTGTGGGCGCTTATTAGAGTGGGACGCTTATTACGTCGAATACGGTATATCTACATCACTAACATGGCATCGACAATGTCACAGTCATACAGCCACCTAGCTTCATACAAGAAAGGTGATAGTGAGATCCACCGATTCACTACCCTAACATTCAGTGTTATAGGATGAAGACTGTAAACACGGGCACTATGTAACATTTTATCAAGGCGATGTGAACAGAAAAATAAGAACGCTTACCATTATCGAGATTCACTGTTCTAGTGGAAACACCACAACAGAGAGATCCACTGACTCCCTACCGAACACTTGACATCAAAGGACAGTACTGAAAACAGCGGACACATCACACTTTCTCAAAATGAGTACAGAAAATTGGAATATTCACCCTGATCAAGAACCATTGTCTTATCTTGTTCAACGAACACAAGCGGCATTGCCCATGTTTTCATCTTTCGCTTTTCTCTTAGATCCACCAGTATCATAATGCCAACAATGGTGCTCATGTTTGTGTCATTCTCTGGAAGTTTCGTACTGGGATTTTAAAATAATGAATTTGTATCAAGGCTTTGAAAGGCATTTAGAAGTGATACACATAAGGAAGAGAATTTAGCATAATGAAGAAGTTGACATCCATTAATTCTCTTCCTCATTGAATATGTAGGGTTAATAAATACAGTGTTGGTAATTAAGCAAGAAAGTAAAGGTGTTCTTGTTCTTCTTATCTGGATCCCTGAAATAACTCTCAAGGAACCGAAGACCCACTTTAATATCGAACTTTGCTAATGGACTATATTGCTTCCTCAATATGAGGCATTTTACTTGACGCCACGCTTCCGATCAGAGGATCACATTGCTGAGTGTCTCAATGTATCATGTATCATGTCAGACCAATCCATCTCAATGCATATGACTGTATTGTATTATATTGAGGTGAGGTGAAATGGGACTTAACATCGCGTTCAAGATTATTGTGACATGCATGCACGCATGTGTGTGTGTGTGTGTGTGTGGCTTCTTGTACAAGTCCGGAATAATACAGATTTTATAGTGCTAGCCCACTGAGATACCATGCCGCAGAATACTGACTCAGAGCCGGCCAGTGCTGGTTTTAGCCCATAAATGCTGAGCGCCAGGCTGGGTAACATCAAGTAACATCTTTTAACGCCTTTTTGGTATGATGCGGCCAGGGGTCGAACCCCCGACCTTCCGCTCGCCAGACAGACACTAGACCACGGAGGTGTTCTTTTTGTAAATTGTATCTGTATTGTATTGTGACCCTTGTATTGCAAAGCACATCTGGACGAGACATATATCAGTGGGGGATTGTAGTCCAAAAAACTAGTACAGCACAAGAGTTTCATACTAATGTGTACCAAATCCTTAAATTTACACATCACTAATTATCGTGACCCTTAAATCCGATGTACTGTCACATGTATTAACAGCACATGACGTCTCTTTAATTATCATAAGCATATTTCTAAACGACCAGGTAACCAGGCATTTGGTACTTTGATCCAAATCAGATGTTCCTGGTGGGCCATACTGGTCCAGGGCCCACTTGCACAAAACGATCTTAGCGCTAAGACTATTGTAAGCCTATGCTAAAGTATTGGAGTTACAATCATCTTAGCGCTAAGATCGCTTTGTGCAAGTGGGCCCTGGTGACCCTAAATCCTCGAGGAAGAATTCAACAAATCTTGTTCCCACCGACACACCAACTAGCATCATGCATGATCACGTGTTGACCCACGTATTGCAACAAGTAACAAGTGGATACAGTTAATACCAGGATGAGTGAGTCAGTGAATACTGCTGATTCAGCAAATTTTGCTATTCATGACTGTCTGGTTGAATACTGACTCGATATGTCACATTTAATGCTGTGGGTATTGCCACTCAAAACAAAGAAACCATTGTTGCAGAAAACAAGTTCTGTTCTGTGTATTTTCATGCCCAATGATGATAACACATATACAGCATTCACTGTACGCGGACATCATACAAAACTCTTTACACTTTCAGTTCCTGCCTCCATCCCCTGATGATGTGAGTGAGTAATGTGAGTTGAATTAAAGTCACATCGGCAGCATTCAGACATGTCGTAACTCTGTTGTGTTTGTTTGCTGTTCTTTAACACCGCACTTGGCAATATTCAAGCCTGGACCAGACAATCCAGTGATTGACATCATGAGCATCTATTTACACAATCATCAAAGATGCCACTTTACATATGAAAAACAAATGGAATTAATTCCTATTTAACAACATTTCAACTAAACTGCAACAGGATGATCTTAACAGGTTGAGAGAATATTGTTTTATGCAACATATAGTTTGAAGGTATTTGGGTAATAAATACTCCTGTATCATAACATGGACAGAGGATAGCACTAACAAACCAGGCCTAGATTACAGTTCACAGCAAGAATATCCAATATGTCAATCTATATCTCATTGGTGGATCCAAATGAGGTGCAGGGAGTGCAGCCAAGACATGCAAGGGGTGCATCCTCCTCTTTTCTGACACCTTGCACGTAAACCTGTGTCATCCACACTTTAAAGCTTTAGAGCTTCCAGTTTCCAGAAACTATAGAGCTTCGTTTATTCCATAGGAACCATTGTGACAGTGTGCATGAGACAAGTCATTCCCCATCGTGTTGGAGATGTTGCTGTGTGTTTACTGCAAGGAAGATACAGAGGAGCTGGGAAACAGCAACATCAGTGTGCAGAATGTTCTTCTCTCTCAGCTGAAAAAGGAAAGAAACGATCAGCATCTCTTAAAAACCAGTGGTCAATAGAATAAGCATCAAAACATACATATGGTGTGTGATCTGAGAATTGGAATATTCTGCATGCCTCATTGTCGTAATCATTACAGTGACAATCGGGGCGGTCGGGTAGCCTAGTGGTTAAAGCGTTCGCTCGTCACGCCGAAGTCCAGGGTTCGAATCCCGACATGGGTACAATGTGTGAAGCCCATTTCTGGTGTCCCCCGCTGTGATATTGCTGGAATATTGCTAAAAGCAGCGTAAAACCAAACACACTTACTCACTCACTACAGTGACAAACGGTACTGACCAGCAAGCAAGACTAGCAAGGTCTATGAGGTTCTAATGATCCATTCTGTTTTTTGTTTTACAGCTTTATTTCAGCTTCATGACAGCAGGTTTCATCCAGTGATGGACATCATGATCATCGATCCACAATTGGGATATGACATACATCACCGAGTCCGTGAGCCTGACCACCAACCCAATCCTGTTGGTTGCCTCTTACGACAAGCATGGGTTGCTTGAGACAACTGTTAACCTGGATCATCATGGGAGCCTAGATAACTATTGCCAGTTGACACTGTGACATGTTACTGTACAGGGCAGTCGCCTGTTACGGCAAGCATGGGTTGCTGAAGACCTATTCTACCCCGGATCTTCACGGGTCAGGTGCATGCAAGGAAGTACCTGTGTGCTTGCTCCCTCTTCCACTCCTCCAGCTTCTGTCTGATGGCCTTCTGTCGCTCCTCGTTCACCTTCTCCTCCTCCTCAACCTGCACCTTCACCTGCTGCCACTTCTGCACCAGCGATGACACGTTCTTTTTCTTCAGTGACAGGCTGCTGCTGCTGATGGACTGCAACACGAACATTCCATGATCAACATACAACATCCAGGCTTCAACACACAACATCTGGGCTTCAACACACAACATCCGGGCTTCACCACACAACATCCGGGCATCAACACACAACATCCGGGCTTCAACACAAACCATCAGGGCATCAACACTCAACATCCGGGCATCAACATACAACATCCGGGCATCACCACACAACATCAGGGCATCACCACACAACATCAGGTCATCACCACACAACATCAGGGCATCACCACACAACATCCGGGCATCAACATACAACATCAGGGCCTTACCACACAACATCAGGGCATCACCACACAACATCAGGTCATCAACATACAATATCAGGGCATCAACACAAACCACCCGGGCATCATTACTCAACATCAGGGCATCACCACACAACATCAGGGCATCAACACTAAACTTCAGGGCATCAATACTCAACATCCGGGCATCAACACACAACATCAGGGCATCACCACACAACATCAGGGCATCACCACACAACATCAGGTCATCAACATACAACATCAGGGCTTCAACACAAACCATCCAGGCATCAACATACAACATCAGGGCATCACCACACAACATCAGGGCATCACCACACAACATCAGGGCATCAACACACAACATTAGGGCATCAATACTCAACATCCAAGCATCAACACACAACATCAGGGCATCACCAGACAACATCAGGACATCAACACTAAATTTCAGGGCATCAACACTAAACTTCAGGGCATCAACACTAAACTTCAGGGCATAAACACTCAACATCAGGACATCACCACACAACATCAGGGCATCAACACACAACATCAGGGCATCACCACCCAACATCAGGGCATCAACACTAAACTTCAGGGCATCAATACTCAACATCCGGGCATCAACACACAACATCAGGGCATCAACACACAACATCAGGGCATCAATACTCAACATCAGGGCATCAACACACAACATCAGGGCATCAATACTCAACATCAGGGCATCAACACACAACATCAGGCCATCACCACACAACATCAGGGCATCAACACACAACATCAGGGCATCACCACACAACATCAGGGCATCAACACTTAACTTCAGGGCATCAATACTCAACATCCGGGCATCAACACACAACATCCGGGCATCAACACACAACATCCGGGCATCAACATACAATATCAGGGCATCACCATACAACATCAGGGCATCAATACTCAACATCCGGGCATCAACATACAACATCAGGGCATCACCACACAACATCCGGGCATCAACACACAACATCAGGGCATCAACACACAACATCAGGGCATCACCACACAACATCAGGGCATCACCACACAACATCAGGGCATCACCACACAACATCAGGGCATCAACATACAACATCAGGGCATCACCACACAACATCCGGGCATCAACACACAACATCCGGGCATCACCACACAACATCAGGGCATCAACATACAACATCAGGGCATCACCACACAACATCCGGGCATCAACACACAACATCCGGGCATCACCACACAACATCAGGGCATCACCACACAACATCAGGGCATCACCACACAACATCAGGGCATCACCACACAACATCCGGGCATCAACACACAACATCTGGGCATCAACACACAACATCCGGGCATCAACACACCACTTTAGGGCATCAACACACAACATCAGGGCATCAACACACAACATCAGGGCATCAATACTCAACATCAGGGCATCAACACTAAACTTCAGGGCATCAATACTCAACATCCGGGCATCAACACACAACATCAGGGCATCACCACACAACATCAGGGCATCACCACACAACATCAGGTCATCAACATACAACATCAGGGCTTCAACACAAACCATCCAGGCATCAACATACAACATCAGGGCATCACCACACAACATCAGGGCATCACCACACAACATCAGGGCATCAACACACAACATTAGGGCATCAATACTCAACATCCAAGCATCAACACACAACATCAGGGCATCACCAGACAACATCAGGACATCAACACTAAACTTCAGGGCATCAACACTAAACTTCAGGGCATCAACACTAAACTTCAGGGCATAAACACTCAACATCAGGACATCACCACACAACATCAGGGCATCAACACACAACATCAGGGCATCACCACCCAACATCAGGGCATCAACACTAAACTTCAGGGCATCAATACTCAACATCCGGGCATCAACACACAACATCAGGGCATCAACACACAACATCAGGGCATCAATACTCAACATCAGGGCATCAACACACAACATCAGGGCATCAATACTCAACATCAGGGCATCAACACACAACATCAGGCCATCACCACACAACATCAGGGCATCAACACACAACATCAGGGCATCACCACACAACATCAGGGCATCAAAAACTTAACTTCAGGGCATCAATACTCAACATCCGGGCATCAACACACAACATCCGGGCATCAACACACAACATCCGGGCATCAACATACAATATCAGGGCATCACCATACAACATCAGGGCATCAATACTCAACATCCGGGCATCAACATACAACATCAGGGCATCACCACACAACATCCGGGCATCAACACACAACATCAGGGCATCAACACACAACATCAGGGCATCAACACACAACATCAGGGCATCACCACACAACATCAGGGCATCACCACACAACATCAGGGCATCAACATACAACATCAGGGCATCACCACACAACATCCGGGCATCAACACACAACATCCGGGCATCACCACACAACATCAGGGCATCAACATACAACATCAGGGCATCACCACACAACATCCGGGCATCAACACACAACATCCGGGCATCACCACACAACATCAGGGCATCACCACACAACATCAGGGCATCACCACACAACATCAGGGCATCACCACACAACATCCGGGCATCAACACACAACATCTGGGCATCAACACACAACATCCGGGCATCAACACACCACTTTAGGGCATCAACACACAACATCAGGGCATCAACACACAACATCAGGGCATCAATACTCAACATCAGGGCATCAACACACAACATCAGGGCATCAATACTCAACATCCGGGCATCAACACACAACATCAGGGCATCACCACACAACATCAGGGCATCAACACACAACATCAGGGCATCAACACACAACATCCGGGCATCACCACACAACATCAGGGCATCAACACACAACATCCGGGCATCAACACACAACATCAGGGCATCACCACACAACATCAGGGCATCAATACTCAACATCAGGGCATCAACACACAACATCAGGGCATCACCACACAACATCAGGGCATCACCATACAACATCAGGGCATCACCATACAACATCAGGGCATCAATACTCAACATCAGGGCATCAACACACAACATCCGGGCATCACCACACAACATCAGGGCATCAACACACAACATCCGGGCATCAACACACAACATCCGGGCATTACCACACAACATCAGGTCATCAACACACAACATCAGGGCATCAACACACAACATCCGGGCATCACCACACAACATCAGGGCATCAACACACAACATCAGGGCATCAACACACAACATCCGGGCATGACCACACAACATCAGGGCATCACCACACAACATCAGGTCATCAACACACAACATCAGGGCATCAACACACAACATCAGGGCATCAACACACAACATCAGGGCATCACCACACAACATCAGGGCATCACCACACAACATCCGGGCATCAACACTAAACTTCAGGGCATCACCACACAACATCAGGTCATCAACACACAACATCAGGGCATCAACACACAACATCAGGGCATCACCACACAACATCCGGGCATCACCACACAACATCCAGGCATCACCACACAACATCAGGGCATCACCACACAACATCAGGGCATCACCACACAACATCAGGGCATCAACACTAAACTTCAGGGCATAAACACTCAACATCAGGACACCTGGGCATCAGCATACACCCATTCTGCCCTGGAATCACTACAGGTGGGACAAGTACAGCCACAAGAACCTAGTCAAACATGGCTCACCTTATCTTTCTTCTTCTTTTTCTTCTCCTTCTGGCCTTTCTCTGCTTCTGGCTGTGCAGGTGGCGCAGGCAGGGGAGCTGGGGGTTCCGCCAAGGAGGTGCTCGAGATCTCCTCACTTACAGGAGTGCTGGCGAACATGTCAATGGGTAAAGAACTTGGGGGAACAGAACTTGGAGCCACGGTCTCAGTTACAGGTTGGGATGTGATCACTGCTGGAGCTGCCGCAACCGATGAAGGAGCTGCTGCAGTCGCTGAAGCTGAGATCAATGATGAAGCGGCAGTTATTACTGAAGAGGCAGATATTGATGAAGATGAGGCAGCAACATTGAGTTGAGGAGCCCGGTATATCACTGGAGCACTCTCCAGAGCTTCTGATGAGTGCTGGGAGACAGATGATATATCAGATGAGGATGAGACAGGGATGGATGGAAGAATGTAGTCTGGATGGGAGGACGTCACGCAGTCTTCAGCATCTGTTGAAGCAGGTGTTTCTGGATCATCCACATCCATGTCAGCCTCTTCTGGTGAGTCGTGATCCACACTGTAGCTGGTGTCGTCGTCCCCTGGGTAGGGTTCTGAGGGGGGCGGGGGAGGTGGGAGACCAAACAGAACTTCAGTTCCTGGGGGTGGGGGCTCTCCAGGAAACACAGGTAAGTCTTCTTTCAGAGGTTCGGAAGGTTCAGACGGTTCCAGCTCTGGGGGCTTTGGTGGCTCAGAGGGCATTTCTGTAAAGGATAAGACACTTTATTATCACCATATTTATACAAGGATCCAACCACATAATATCCTGGGGAACAGGCCTGGGATTTTTTTAAGAATCAGGATATATTTTTTGGTCACAGCTTCAAAACATTCAGTTGTTTTCTCTAAAAGGAGTTGAACGCATTTTTTGGAGCCAAGGAATATCACGGATAATAACTTCTAAATATTACGTACACAATGTTTCAGGGCTACTTCTTGCTCCTTCATCAGGTGAATTCACGTCATGGCATAGTAACTTTACGTCATAAACAAACTTTTCCATATCAACAAATTGGCAATATTTAACAGGTTTAGCTTCTGACAATTTACCATTTCATACACAAGAAAGACAATTTGTTGAAATTTACATTTTGCCTTTATGAACTAGACTAGACTATGGCAGTGCCATAGCCGATCACCTTTGTGGGCTAGTGAAAATGAAATGAACTTTCTAACCCTGATTACAAGTAAATGTTTAACCATCAAAGGTTATTGCCAAGGACCTATCACAGCTAGAAATGAGCAAACCAGATTTCCACAAGTTTTGTAAGTTGTATTTACTGAAATAAACCTTACCATCTGAACTATCTGGTGCCATGGGCTCACCATCAATCTGAAGAAAAGAAACAAACAGAAGGTTACAAACATAACCAAAACAACAATCTATGGCTCCTCGATGCAGAGCTCCAGATAAGCTGCGTATCTGCGTAAAATACGCATCAGAAATGCAGAAATACGCAGTGAAATAAAATCCAAGCGTTTCAAATAGGCAACGAACATTACAGATACGCTACAGAAATAAAATTTGTGCGTATCATCAAAATATTGTGAAGTAACCCTTCGTATTCGATTAGCAAATCAGCAACTTATTTTGACATTATAAACGGGCATTCCGTCAACCTTGCCAAACTCCACGATGACAGTTACATCATGATCATTTGCCATCACACTTTCTTGTGGAAGTATCGTGGTATTTTTGAGTCCTATAAAGCTCTCGAACCCACACGACACCAGTTTGCAGGGACTAGATGAATAGTGTTTTTAAATACTTAACTTAAATACCCACATGTGTAAAAACTAGTGGGTAACAGAAATTTGAATACCAAGATAGAATTACTCAGAGCTCCAGATAAGCTTTTGGTGTTGTGGGTATTTTACCCATGCATTTTAAAATCATTGGGTATCAGTAATTCTATCTGCGTATTCAAATTTCTGTTACCCACTAGTTTTTACACATGTGGGTATTTAAGTTAAGTATTTAAAAACACTATTCATCTAGTCCCTGCAAACTGGTGTCGTGTGGGTTCGAGAGCTTTATAGGACTAAAAAATACCACGATACTTCCACAAGAAAGTGTGATGGCAAATGATCATGATGTAACTGTCATCGTGGAGTTGCTGATTTGCTAATCGAATACGCAGGGTTACTTCACAATATTTTGATGATACGCACAAGTTTTATTTTTGTAGCGTATCTGTAATGTTCGTTGCGTATTTGATACGCTTGGATTATATTTTACTGTGTATTTCTGCATTTCTGATGCATATTTCACGCAGATACGCAGCTTATCTGGAGCTCTGATTACTGATACCCAAGGATTTTAAAATGCATGGGTAAAATACCCACAACACCAAAAGCTTCTCTGGAGCTCTGTTGATGGTATCTGGTTGAACTTGAGTATTAATTCCACGTGAGCCTGCAGGTTACAAAATCGATAGGAAAGAGGTCACAGACTTACGAGACACATTTGACTCACTAATTCTTTCAAATATTTTTGTGACTGTTACAATGTCAGTATTCACAACAATGGTGATCGAGGACTGATGGTAATGATGAATTTTATGAATATTGTCGTAAGTTCATTCACGGAGATCCCATGCTGCAGTTTAACATGGATACCCCACTCAGACACAGTATACTGACCAGTCCATGTTTTACCCCCTTAATGCCAAACACCAGGCAGGGTAACAACAAGTACCATCTTTTAACATCTTGTGGTATGACGCGGCAAAAGATAGAACCTCCGACCAGACGGAAGCTCTACCAATAGACCACTGAGGCAGGCCAACAATGAAGCTGATATACATAACAAGTTCATGTCGTCATTATCATGCCTTGTCCATTATCACACATGGTTCTTCAAACATAAAGGCCACCTACCGAATTTGCAAGATTGTCTTCCTCATTAGGCGGGGTGACGTTTTCTGTTGTCGTCGGTGGAAGCTGGGGGCCATACAACACTGGCTCGTCCTCATCAGGGGGTAGAGGTGGGGGTGGGGGCTTTGGTTTCGGACTCGGTGGGGCCACGTCAGGAATGGCTGGCTCATTGGAAGACGACACTTCGGACTGGCTACTGGGAACTGATTTGGCTGCAGGTGTTGCCTCGGGGTAATCCCACTGAGATTCGCCATTTTTCTCATTGGTGTAGAAGTAACGTCTGAAATTTCTACATGGGAAAATTCCACGCAGAAAAAAATGTAAAGGTCAATTTCTGAAGTTGAGAAATGTTCCTACCTGAAATACAAGTCTGCAAGAGGTGAAGGTGAGGTTGTCGGGAACATGATGTCTGATGTTTCATACTGCGAGACTTGCCAGGCTCAACGACCGGACAACAAGACCATCGTTCCTTCCAGCAACAGAAACGTGATCAGCAAGCAAAGAATTATTTTGATACTTTGCACTTTCTCATGAAGTGAGCGAGGATGGTGTATTGCTGCTGTGAACCGTATTTCAGTTTTATCACAGCCTGTCTGCTTGGTGGGGGGAGTGAAGCCCCAAGTCTTGCAGGTCTCAGACGTTTACCACTTTGGTGAGTCTGGCATGGTGCTGACAAACCAAGAAACATAATCAAGGCACATCTGGGATTCAAACCCACGATCACAGGTTTCTGGCATGCCTAAGGGATGCAACTCTGCACAGTGCATTGTGGTTCCTTAGACGACTGGGCCACCCCTTTCTCGTAGGAACAGTTTGTTGGCCTTTAGGGACAGATGTTAATAAGTGACAAACTTCACTCACAGCTATATATTACAGCAACTATTTGGAACATTTATTAAAAAATGACCAAGTGAGTCGACAGGGTGGTACACCGATGTTTGCTTTATTTCTGCAATCACACGGTGGTGACACCAAGAATGGGTTTGACACATTACCCATCTGGGGAACTAAACCCTGGTCTTCACGTGACAAGCAAACGCTTCAACCATTAGGCTACCCCATCGCCATTAATGTACCAGAAAGGTGAATCTTATCTTAAATCAATGTTAGAACAGAGAATAAAGATGTATTTCATATCAATTTCCACATGCATATCTCCATACATGATTAAAAAACTGATCAGATCAAAACATGTTGAATTTTGTTATTTCGGCTCAAATCGTTTCAAACAGTTTTTGTGAATTTTACATTTGCCAAAATGTTGATGGTAATTTTCAAAATCTGGTGTATCATAAACTATCATTGAGTACACTGATAAACAAATATAAAAAAGATGACAGGGAGACATTAGAACGCTGAAAAATAAACTCCAGGATATCTCAGAAGTGTATCTGGCCCATTCATCCATTCCATCCATACTGTAATAACTTTGAAATTTATTTTCCAAGAAATTTCAAAAGAAAAATTGATGCCAAATTTTTGAATGAACAGCCGATTTACATCAATGAAAGAAACCAAACTCTCCTTCCCTTGTCAGAACGATAACCCAGATTTTGTCTTGAATTTGGACTAAAATGCATCAACAAATTAAAATAAAAATAGTGCCAGGCACTGTAGCTCACCCGGACATGTTGTCAAAAGTTTACAATGTCAACGAAGACTAACACTCAACTGAAGCTGCTGAGCACCGATAATCAAATCGCGTCGGCATAAATACAGAGGACTAAAAAGCTAACATTAAATATTTTAAACAAACTTTGATGTCGTTAATAAGTATTAACATCTATGTTAAAAAGTCCGCTTCCTCGCGCTGTCAATTTCAGAAGAGAAGACGTTTACTGAGTGAACAATTAATTTTGAGAGAACGAAAGATTCATGGACATAAATAGGTCTTCAGTTTGACCTCTGTGGTTTCTGAGGAGGAGGTGCCTATCGCCGACACTGACACAGATGTCGATGTCAGACATGCAGGCCATGCCCAAAGCTCACACAACTTTCAGTTCAGTGAGCTAAAACTTGTTCATAACAGTAAAACTGTGAGAATTGAAAATGACACATTACAGCAAGTTGTGCTTGTCCTAAGATGACTTTGTAGAAAAGTAACCAAGGTAACGATGCCACATATACCCAACAAATCTTAATGAAGCTACATATTATTACAGTAGAAAAACAATAGAAAAAAATATAACTACTTGTTTCTTTCATAATTACGTCAACTTAATGTATTTCATTGAGCTTCACAAACTACATCCCACGGGATGCTATGGCCGTGTTGTTGGTCAGCAGGACACCTCGACCAGCTGAGCTACCTGACACGCCTACTGTCATGCACAACATGTAGAATATTTGTCCCAAATCTGATGATACTTAAACGTACAGTGCAATGGGAGCTTGTGTACCTCAAAATTCTGGTTTCTGTCACAAGAAACACTGCATAAGGCCAAAAATAAAAACTGTGTTTCCTCCAGCCCAAGTTGGGTTATTGGGTCTTATTACCTCTTTTTCTAAAACGGTAATTAGAAGTATGCCAGAAAAAATCTAACTGATTTCAAATGAAGACAATGACAAGGTTAGTATAGTGACGTTCAACAAGGTTACTCTAGTGGCATAATATATTGACAATACCAGGATGGTGATAAACGCTATGGCTCTACTCAAGAAAAAGAAGTTGCGAGCTCCAAATTGGGGTTGGACAGGATACCAGAAACACCTATTTCATCTTGGGCCTGAACCTGACTTCAAAACTTATGATACAAAAAAATTATAAAAAAAATAAAAATATTCCTACTTCACAGAATTTAAAACAAATTATTTGTGAGTAGGTAAGGTTCCATCATGGTGATAATCGTAGAAATAGATTGAATCAATTGAACACAGCTCAAAGACAACATTCACCGATTCCTGGCACTCCCTCTCACTGGAACCAACATACAATACTGAGATACCTGGAACAAACCACACAGACTGAAGGACAGAAAAAATCCAATTTATTCCATTTGTAAGGCATATTCTAAAGTTTCAATAATTGGGATATAAATTTTGTCGCAGAATAAACATTTCTCTCCAACAGGACACTCTGAATGCTGCTTTTCCCATTGGTATTAAAATGATCACAGTTTCAACAGAAGAATATGCCTTCAAAAAATAATACAACCAGCACTTGTCTAACAATGATAAATGTTGATTTATTTTGGCCTACATAATCAAGGCTTTAAAGTCCTCAAGTGAATCACAGGAAGGCTTCATCATATAACTGCTCCATAAAGCTGGCAATGAAGGCTTTCTGCATCCCCATTTCATGTCCTACATCTCTACTTGTCCAACATCGGCAGCTTGGCATCAGTTGACTTGGTCCCTCTTCATCAACACAATCACCTTGACACTTTGCTTTGTTCATTTACTTTAGTTCATATGGCTTAGTTCATTGACTATAGTTTAGCCTTTTAGTTAATGCATAGGCAGATCACACAGCCATGGTGAGTGTCACTCCTTAGCCTTTCTTACATGCAGTCAAAGCAGTGAACCTATCACAGATTTGTTTGCACAAAGAGACCCTCCTTATGACACATTTAACACTGAAATAGAGAGCTGATTAGGCAAACACAAGCCTGAAATGAAAGTGGGATTAATCATCTTATTCTAACATGTCCTAACAGTATACGCATGTAAAATGTAAAACATAATCTTCAACACAGGACCTACTTGCACAATGGCATCTTATCGCTGCAGCTACTGTGCACCTAGAGTTCGAGAGTTTCAGCACTATGATAGCCTTGTGACTGATACTAAATATCTGATTCATTTTGGGATTGGTGATATCCAACTAGTCAGAAGCTTATTGTGGACTGGTGGTCATAAGTAAAATAACAATATTTTTTGAGATCATCAGTCATCCCCCTGAAATTTCGGAAGTTTCGGAATAACAGAATAAACGGTAAATTTGAAGTAGGAAACAGAATGCGTAATACAAATTTAATTGTCAGGATCTTTTTCGATGGATGGTTTCTACTTTGTCTTGTTCATTAAAACAACACTTCATCCATCTGCTATCTCAAGTCTTGAAGACCTGGATCAACCCACTAAAAGTAATTACCCTAATTACGAAAAACAATACCTCAATTTCACACAAGCCATAGCCATTCTGAAAATAGGCAGCAAATCGTGAAGTCTAATCTCTGTTCTCTTAAAATCATTATCAACTGAGAAAACACACTGTCTATAGGAGATATCTGTCCAGATATCCAAAACAGGTCAATAGTAGATAAAAGATTTGTTCTCCAACTCACCACCCCTGGTTGTCTCCCCTGTTGCCGGGCCTGGTTGTCTCCCTTGCGGACTCTCCCACCATCTTGAAGTGGCCAGGCTTCGTTTGATACCTTGATGCACTGTTCACTATCTCACAACTCTCTCACAACAGTTTCAGCCACATAACACTGTGAAGGCAGCAGTATGGACCAGGCGCATTGCCAAGAAACAAATCTCCCTCCATGTGGGAGAGAAATTTGGAAGTTTGATAACTGCCAAAATTTTGTCAAAGGTGACCCAAATTACAAGTCTGTTTGAGCCAGTGGGGTGGCAGACTTGAACGTCATGGCATTTTCTGCTTTGATTTCTTAAAACTTTTGGTTTGGTCCATACACGCCTGCATGTATCAATGAAACACGAAGATAGGAAAAGTCTTTCGTACCTGTCCCAGTGGCACGAAAATCCAGCGGGCACTGCACTCTGTTCGTACTGCTCCAATTGCCTGTTGGCTTCGCGTAGACGACATAGAAAATACTCTGTGTCCAGGCCACCATCCTGCCAGTCACGGAAGCGAGTCTGAATATAAACGACAAACTTGAAGGATACTGTACTAATCACCCTGGATACTTCAACAGGTGAGTGAGTGAGTGAGTGTGGATTTACGCCATTCTTAGCAATATTCAAGCAATATCATGGTGGGACACCAGATATGGGCTTCACACAATCAAACCAGGCTCTTCGACAAGACGAGTGAACGCTTTAACCACTAGGCTACCCGACCGCCCCAATACTTCAACAAAAACCTGTCAAAGGGTATTTAATAAATTTGTTGTCAGAGATCGAGCAGTAGAGAACAAACACAGTTCGAGCGTCAATGATACTAAAATCTTATTTGGTCAATAGTAACTGTGCAGTTATCTACCCTTCTACACTGTTGTTTCTTCTCTACAAAAGTCTGCAAAACCTTCAATACTTGAAAATGGACTGTCATGAAAATTCACACAGGTTGCTTATGACAATTGGTCTAGAAATTGGCCAGGGTGCGCTTCTTGAAGCAGGTTGTATAATACGACAAATACAGCATTACGTTATGGAATATTCAGTGGCCAAAACAAACAACAATAAAAAAACAAAATCAAACCCTTGTCATTTTACAAAAATGGCTAACCTTGGCCTGAGGTCTTCATGGTATAACGGGGCCACGGGTGGCCCAGTCGTCTAAAGCGGCGCAATACACTGTGCAGAGTTGCGTCCCTTGGGCACGCCAGAAACCTACAATTGTGGGTTCGAATCCCGGTTCACCCCGATTATGTTTCTAGGTTTGTCAGCACCATACGGGTGCTCGTGGGTTTCACCGAAGTGGTAAACATCTCAGACCTGCATCACTTCGGGCTTTCCTTACACATTAAGCTGACACGCCGCGATATAACTGGAATACTGTTAAAAGTGACGTTACACCCAACTCACTCACTCACTCACCCATGATATAAGAGTCATACAAGTTTTGTTCATCCTATTAAAGGATCTTGTGAAAGGCAGATCTTACTGAACAAGTGAAAAACAAGAAGCTATTTCTACAAGTTAAAAACGCATGCACAAAAGTGTGCAATAGACAGGAAATTGTGCCACAAGGCTCTGTAGCTCACCTGGATTATGAAGAAATTTGTTTATGAAGTTCCAACCTTTTGATGTGACAAACATCAATAGTGAGTGAAGCAACATAGGTGCATAAGATAAGTTCCAATCAATGCCAATCACTATTCTTCGAACCTTGAATTCTGTCACTATCATTCACACAATGTGTCCCCTTTCTGCACTGGTTCTTGAGCATATGACCTATATTTTAACTATCATTATAAACCTATTCATTGGGATCGCTATTAAGTAAGAGACTTCTTTCTATAGGCATTAAGACCTATTGTGAGGTTTTACTTTCCAGTCGGGTTAAATCTCATAAACAGGAACGTTGTAATGTCCCAGGGATATTATATAATATCCCATGGATTTTATATTATGTCCTGGGTATTTTATTAATATAACTTCCGTTCAGATTGTAACATGTAATGAAATGTAAAATCAAATGACAAATGTTTTCTTCAATTCCCGAGGATCGAACTCGCAACCTTCATATCTGTAGCCCAGTGAGTGTACCACGAGGCTACAGAGGTGTTGATAAGCCTCACTGGTTTTTTGAATGTCCTTTTCAAGATCCGTACGCCAGCAACAGATATTTTACGCGCGTTTCCTAAGGTTCATGGAAAGTATGTTCTAAACATAAAAATGTTGATAAATGTTGTTTTAAGTTTCTTTTTTCGGGTTATAAGCATGGAAAAACACTTTCCCTCGGTTTTGGTAGACAGAGCATGCCCTGGGGGTCGGGAAAAAACGTGGGGGCATCGGCCCCTTGGTTTTTCCCTCTCCCCAGGGCATGCTCTGTCTACCAAAACCTCGTGAGCTTGTTTTCTCCAATACGTAAAACTCTTTAGCATCAAGATGATATTAACGAACTCATTCTTACAAAAGTATGATCACCACGGGTCATGTACCATTTGAGTAATCTTTTAACACAGTGAGTGAGTGAGTATGGTTTTACGCTGCTTTTAGCAATATTCCAGCAATATCACGGGGGGACACCAAAATGGGCTTCACACATTGTACCCATGTTGGAAATCGAACCCTTGTCTTCGGCGTGACGAGCGAACGCTTTAACCACTAGGCTACCTGACCGCCCCTCTGTTAACACAAGAAAGACATCCTCCTCAGAGGGCCGCAGGTACCCTATCCCTGCCAAAGTCCAAAGCATGAATATTTCAGCTCTGAAGTCAGGGGACTTAAACATCCTCCTACTCTTCATCAACGTACCTGCAACTCGAGGAGGAGCACCTGCAGTTTGGACAAGCCTTTCTTGGTGACCTCGAGGAACTCCAGCTTGCCCAGGGCAATGTTGGCCACATCCTCCACATCATCCTGCGTACACACAACATACAGCGTGAGACATTTCAGGTGGCTTGGGTTCAGGGGCTCCAGATCATAGTTTGAGCCACTGAATATTTACTAGTTCTCATTCACATTGGAATTGATAATTTTCCTTGGGTATTCACTTTATTTTTATTTTTATTTTTACTCCCTTTGGTCCAGTCTGTTGGGTACTTTAATACCACTGAGCATGCTGAGTAGACAGTTTTTCAGTTTGAGTGCAGGTGTGTGACATGTCGCATAAACTCACAACAGTGATACACATGTCTAAGCATGTGTCTGAGCGTGATTGTCTGAACATGTGTCTGAGGATACATGAGTGTCTGAGGATTCATGTGTGTCTGAGGATTCATGTGTCTGAGGATTCAAGTGTCTGAGGATTCATGAGTGTCTGAGGATTTATGAGTGCCTGCATGTGTCTGAGGATTCATGTGTGTCTGAGGATTCATGTGTGTCTGAGGATTCATGAGTATCTGAGGATTCATGAGTGTCTAGGGATTCATGAGTGTCTGAGGGATTCATGAGTGTCTGAGGATTCATGAGTGTCTTCATGTGTCTGAGGATTCATGTGTGTCTGAGGATTCATGAGTGTCTGAGGATTCATGAGTGCCTGCATGTGTCTGGATTCATGTGTGTCTGAGGATTCATGAGTGTCTGATGATTCATGTGTCTGAGGATTCATGAGTGTCTGAGGATTTATGCGTGCCTGCATGTGTCTGAGGATTCATGTGTGTCTGAGGATTCATGAGTGTCTGCGGATTCATGAGTGTCTGAGGATTCATGAGTGTCTGAGGATTCATGAGTGTCTTCATGTGTCTGAGGATTCATGTGTGTCTGAGGATTCATGTGTGTCTGAGGATTCATGAGTGTCTGCGGATTCATGTGTGTCTGAGGATTCATGAGTGTCTGAGGATTCATGGGTGTCTGAAGATTCATGAGTGTCCGCATGAGTCTGGGCTTGAGTGTGAGGATTCATGAGTGTCTGCATGTGTCTGGGCATGATTGCCTGCATATGTGCTTTATATCGTCTGTCAGCTCTATCCCCGCTGTACAGTGGTGTCTGGCATACCTTGACCTTGACGATGTGCGGCACCGGGACCTCCTTCGGCTGCTCCTCCTCCGTGGGCTCCTCCGACTCCTGCTTCACTGGCTCTGCCGGGGTTGGGGGGGTCTTCATGCTGGCATCCTCCTCCTCACTGTCTTCATCTGGCAACACCAACACCATCGTTGTACACACACTTACTGCAGATCAATTGATAGACCAACATTCCCGGAAGTAAAGTTATGTAAAATGTTAAAAGAAAATAGCTCAATACGGAAACCTGAGTACTGGCTGCAAGAGCTGAGAAGGGGATGAGTACTGGCTGCGAGAGCTGAGAAGGAGTCAGGACCAGACAAAGCTGTGATTGATATTATGAGGTGAGGTGAAAGGGGTCTAACGCCCCATCCAAGACTACTACACTTATATAGCGACGTGCATGCATGTGAATATGTGTATGGCTGCTTGTACTAGTCCAGAATAACGCTAATTTTTTGGTGCTAGCCCACTGAGACACCATGCCGCAGTTTAACATGAATATCCCACTCAGACACAGTATATTGACACCGAGCCGACCAGTCCTTGTTTTAGCCCCTTAGTACCTAATGCCAGACAGGGTAACAACAAGTACCATCTATTAACGTCCTTTGGTATGACGCGGCTGGGGATTGAACCCTGGACCTTCCACTCTCTGGGTGGACGCTCTGCCACTAGACCACAGACGCGGTCCACTGATATTATGAACAACGTCCTACATTAAAGGAGTGCATTCAACTAAGTCACTGAGTCTGACCATCCCAGGCTGCTGGGTATCTAACTGGAATCCCCACAAGGCTGATCAATGATTGAGATGTGACTGCTCTGGTGTGAACATTATCGTTGAGAGCATTAACCAGCACCATATAACTGCAAATACTGACCATATGCTGCCACAAGCCTTGCCTTCTTAGGCTGGCTCTCTGCTGGAAATGTCTTCTCTTCTGGTTCTCCGGAATTATGGCGTGAAGATCGTTTCTGTTTGGACTCGGATTTGTGTCTGGTCTCTGACTTGTCGTGCTTGTGTCGAGATTCCGACTTGTGGGAGTCCGACCGATGCTTGTCTTTCTTCCTGTCTCTATCTCTCCTGTCGTGTTTCTTGGATTTGGAGTGTTTGCTGTCTTTGGTTTCAAGTCTGTTGAGTTTCTTCAGTTCAGCCTGAAACAGATATATTGGATGTTGCTGGTAAGTTTACCTATTTCTACATGCCTGGACTATTATTGGTGCTATTGAGTATTTACTCACAAGTTTTTATTCACACAGGAGTTGATAGGTTTCTTTGGGTATTCAAAATATGAGTCCAGTCTACTTTGTAGTTTACATCAATGAACTGACATTTCTTAAATAATTCTGCTTCAAATGTTGTTTTAGGTTTTGGTTTGTTTGTTTGTTTTTGAATGCTGCACTCAGCAATATTCCAGCTATTGACAGTGGTCTGTAAATAATCGAGTCTGGACCAGAAAATCCGGTGATTGACATCATGAGCATTGATCCACAAAATTGGGATATGATGACGTGCATCAACCAATGACATGTCTGGTTGTGTGCAAGACATTAGCCCTCCGGACAGCACCCATTCCTATATCCCCTTCCACTTCGTGGCAGGTGATAAAAATAGCGGCTACACTGAAGAAATGACTATGTATTCAAAGGTGATGGAAGAATGTGAAGCTCTGCTGATGCAGTCTGAGGTTCTGCTACTCACTGTCTTGCGCTCCAGAGCCAGCTCCAGAGCTGCATCAATGTCATCGATGTCGAAGTCCTCTTCCTCCCCCTCCTTACCACCTTCCTTCTTCACTCCATTCTTTGGCAAGCTGACTCCATTTCCATGGTTACTGTCCTTGTCTTCACTCTTCTTTCCCTCTTTCTTCAAGACACTACTGCCACCAGTCTGATCCTTGCCACCCAAAAGTTCAGACACAAACATGTCCACCTCCAGAATATTGGGGTTCTGCTTTGAGGAAACCTCTTCCTCTTGTTTTTGAGGTTTGGTACTTGCAACGTCCATACTCTCTGGAAGAACAGGCCCATATGTCTTTTTGGACTTTTTGAGTTTGGATTTAAGCTTTTCAGGATCCTCTGGTTGTGGAGAGTCTACTCTAGCAGGTGGAAGCTGTGGTCCCACAATCTGGCTTGGGCTGGAAGATTTGGAATCCTGTTCTGTAAGGGGAGGTAACTGTGGAGCAATGGCCACAGGGTCACTCACTTCCTCCTTTTCTTGTTTTTTTCCATTTTGATGGGACTGTTGATTTTCACTGAAAAGAAAGCATTATGTATTTATGTCTGCTCCGCAGGGTTTCACCTGATGCGTAATTCCTGCGTACTTGACGCAATAATTTACTGTTATACTCACAAAAGTCTTTGATACGAGGAATACATGGCAAAACTGACACAATATATTTGATATGGAAATCTTAATTTAGACCCACTGTTTACAATATTTTGAAAAGAAATACTACTTCGCTAAATATAACAAATGTCCAAACTGTCGGAAACAAGAGTCATCAGGAGATGACATATCCCCCTGGTCTCGTGCGATTCGGAAATGGAGTTTGGCTAGTTATACCCCTTGGATACTTTGGATCAGTCAAGAGTGAGTGAGTGAGTATGGTTTTACGCTGCTTTTAGCTATATTCCAGCAATATCACGGCGGGGGACACCAGAAATGGGCTTCACACATTGTACCCATGTCGGGAATCGAACCCGGGTCTTCTGCGTGACGAGCGAACGCTTTAACCACTAGGCTACCCGACCGCCCCCTGGATCAGTCAAGAAAAAAATAATGCAGTTCACGATTTTTCAATATCCACAATCATCAAAAAGTACCAATTCATCACTAGAATGATCTGTATCATGTGTATAGAAAGTCTCGTCCTGAAACATTCACCGGTTTTGGAGTTTGCTCTGAAATGAGCACTACCCTAATCTTCAGTAAAGTCTAACTTATCGTCATAAAAACATAAAAAGATATAAAAAATAAAAATCCAAAATCATCAAAAGGCACCAGTTCATCACTTGACTGATCTGTATAGCAAGTTTCATCTAGAAATATTCAATGGTTTTGGAGTTCTGACCACTTTGGTAAACCCATGAGCACAGGAATGGCTCTGACAAGGCGAACCATCGATCTGAGGTTTCTAGCAAGCCTAAGCTGGGGCCCAGGGTATTTGAATCTAAGGTCCCCGTAACTTTTTAACTTCATCAAGAAGATAACAAATACAAAGAGCACTCATAAATCTTACCTGGCAGTCTTCTTGGCCTCGAGTCTCTTGCGGACATCCTCGGGTATGCGTGCCAGTTTGTCCTCGTATTCCTTCATCAACAGGAGGTACTGGGTATAGTCCATGGGGATTGTCCATGTCACCTCGTTCGTCACGTAGTTCCAGTAGTAAACGTACTTGGTGTTCTCGTCCTGACACTGCTGCCACACAGACATCGGGGCTGGCAACACAATACTCGGTATCAATACTACCCGTGAGGATCCAGGTTAGAATAGGTCTTCAGCAACGCATTCTTGCCGTAAAAGGTGACTATGCGTGGATTGATGCTCATGATGTTAATCACTGGATTGTCTGGGCCAGACTTGATTATTAACAGACCACTGTCATACAGCTGGAATATTGCTGAGTGCAGTGTTAAACAAAAAAAAAGAAAGAAACCAATACCAGAAATTAACTGAGACCAATTCTGTAAATCTCTAAAAAAAACGTAGACACGCTTTTGTTTGTTGTATGATGACACACTCTACAAGATAGCAACTGATGGCAGACAGTACATGATTCAGTCTGAACCAGACAATCCAGTGATTGATACTATGAGCAACAATCTATGCTCTTAGTTATGTTGACATAAATAGTCAAGCTTATTTCAGAGGTTTTCGGGAAGCGTTTTTTTTCTAATTTTTGAATATCTTTGGTTGAAGCTGATTACTAAGGTGGTGTAGATAGAAACAGTACAAGTTATACTTTAAAAAAACAGTAATTGACTTGCCCACAGTTACCTTTTTACAGCATTAGAAACTAACGATTGTAGTCCACTAGTCCTCAGAATGATAAAATATAGAAAAACCCTGATAAATGGCAAATTAATAGTAGTCCTTACAATGCCTTAACTATTGTTCAGTTTGGTTAGGGCTACAGGACTAGTGCCAGTTTCTAACTCTGTTTTACCTTAAAACTAAAATGAAAGATTCAACAAATATAGCCTCATGTATTTGTAAGAAACAAAAAAGCCTAGTTTGTTAATAATCATACTGATAAGACACAGATATTAATAACCTTAAAATCTGACATTTCAGGTGAGCCAATAAGGGCCCTATTCCCGGTCATCCTGTAACATGGTACTGAACGGTGAAGACAAGAAGGGCCCTATTCCCGGTCATCCTGTAACATGGTACTGAACGGTGAAGACAAGAAGGGCCCTATTCCCGGTCATCCTGTAACATGGTACTGAACGGTAAAGACAAGAAGGGCCCTATTCCCGGTCATCCTGTAACATGGTACTGAAGGGTGAAGACAAGAAGGGCCCTATTCCCGGTCATCCTGTAACATGGTACTGAACGGTGAAGACAAGAAGGGCCCTATTCCCGGTCATCCTGTAACACGGTACTGAACGGTGAAGACAAGAAGGGCCCTATTCCCGGTCATCCTGTAACATGGTACTGAATGGTGAAGACAAGAAGGGCCCTATTCCCGGTCATCCTGTAACACGGTACTGAACGGTGAAGACAACCTCGTACCTTCAGGCAGCTCAAACTCTTCGTCCTTCACATCCGCCACCACCTTGCTCTCTGCCGTCAGTCCCAGCACCTCCACACCCCCCTTGGTGAACTTGGACATGTAGGACTTCTTGTCCCCAAGCTGCTCCGAGCCTCCCTTCACAAACATGGAATAGCTGCTTGTCTTCTTGGTTGGCTTGGGTTCGACCTTGGCTTCCTCGGCCTGGAGTCTCTGAACAGCCTTCTCTGCCATCACCTCGGCGGTCTGGTCCCGGGGAATGAAGGCTCCGGGGGGTAGTGGGATGTCGTTATGGTCCACGGCTGGGTTGTCACTTGATATGGCATTGATTTCCTGAAATAGTGAGTGAGTGAGTATGGTTTTACGCCGCTTGTAGCAATATTCCAGCAATATCGCGGCGGGGGACACCGGAAATGGGCTTCACACAATGTACCCATGTCGGGAATCGAACCCGGGTCTTCGGCGTGACAAGCGAACGCTTTAACAACTAGGCTACCCGACCGCCCCTTTCCTGAAATAACCCGAAAAGATGTTACCATGGGTACAGCAGGGATAGACATGTCATAGTTTTCAAGTTTTCAGAAGTGACATCAGCATCTCAAAATCTCTTATCACTGAGAACTTCACTTGATCATGAGTGTAATTTGATTGGATGTCTATTTTAAGCGACATGTTAATTGGATCAGACTTCTTTCGGCAATATAGTTTCTACTTACAGCTAAGAAGTTGGCAACCTCGCAGTCCATGGCCTGGCCTTCTCCAGGATTCTTTGATTGGGGGGTTGTTTCCACAGCAACAGGAACTGGGGGCAATGTCGGTGGTGGCTCACCTGAAAACAAGCAGTTCACATTATACATCAATGGAGGCTACAATAAAAATGAAAACTTTAATTATTACTTAGCATCCTACACATTTCAAATATTAAAGTGGGGTTAGCAATGTTCAAGATTTTGTGTGTGTGTGTGTGTGTGTGTGTGTGTGTGTGTGTGTGTGTGTGTGTGTGTGTGTGTGTGTGTGTGTGTGTGTGTGTGTGTGTGCGTGCGTGTGCGTGCGTGTGTTGTGTTTTGCGTGTGTCATCTTTAATGCCATCTTTTGGTATGATGCTGTCTGGGGATCGAAAAGCCAACCTTCAGCTACCCACTTGACCATGGAGGCGGACTATTGCTGAGAGACAATATGGAGAGTATAACACTGTAGGATGCCACTTACATGACTGAGCTGGCTGCTGGCTAGGTTCATCTTCAGGCTCCGATTCGGAATCTGAGTCATCATAAGCTCCAACCAATCTGGAGAGACCTGCCTTCTCTGAAAGTCATAAAGAAGACAAAGTCATCAATATTGCCTGCCCTGTTAAATATGTTTTGAAAATCACAACATAAGTATATACTAGGGTTTATTCATAAGTCTTAAACCTTCAAGAGTAGAAGTAATCGCATAATAGTGAAATATTTTGTTGGACATTACATAAGTCAGTGCTAAAGCAGGGTCTGTGTACTATGAAAAATGGACAAACTTGCGGGACGTGAAACGACTGCCTTCCAAGGATACTTAATTTGGAGTCCTCCATTTTACGAAAGCCTCTTAGCTCTACGACCCACCTCTAAAATATTCATGACTTTACACCCAATCGTAAACAACATCCTAACCTATGACGGGTTAGGGACAATTGTAATCTCACTCTTATCTTAAGATGGGTTTACGACGGGCTTACGATACCGATGTGAAACGGTCGTAAAATGTGTCACTAGGTCATCGTAGCGGATAGGATGTCGTAGCACTACGAGGATTTTGTGAAATGGCACCCTGGACAGGAATATCAGCAACTGTACCTTGACTGGACTTCTCTTTCCGATCAGTGCTGACTGCATCCTCTGACAGGGACTGGTACCCATAGCGAGCTAGGAAACAAACGTGTTTTGTGTTTACTATGCTAACAGTTCATTTGGGGTTCATGATTCACAGATGCATACATGCACCACGATTGTAACCTGATGACACTGTAAACAATTCAACTTAAGGAACTTGATTTATCTTGCACCAGGTGCATGTTGACATGAAAACATAGTTGCACCTGGTCCAAAACACTTATCGAAGTTGAAATATAGATGCATAATATAGTCTAAATAAATGCTCATATCTTTGCTGACGGTCATAATCTTGCATAATTGTGAGTGAGTTGGGTTTAACGCCGTTTTTAACAGTATTCCAGTTATATCACGGCGTGCCAGCTTAATGTGGGAAGAAAGCCCTAAGTGATGCAGGTCGCAGACGTTTACCACTTCGGTGAAACCCCCGAGCATGGGTATGGTGCTGACACACCTAGAAACATAATCGATCAAACCGGGATTCGAACCCACCATCATAGGTTTCTGGCGTGCCCAAGGGACGCAACTCTGCACAGCGAATCGCGGCGCCTTAGACGACTGGGCCACCCGTGCCCCCTAATCTTGCATAAGTTAATGATATATTGCAGTAAAATGTAATAGGAACATGTGCACATAATCTTGTAGTGCCCACAGTTTGATGACACCAATCACAAGAAAGCATGACATTTTACACAGAACAGAGAGATTAGGGATGTGCTATGGTTAGAGGTATTGTGTGTGTGGACACAGATTGCTGTTGTTAGGAAAGTAAGGGTCAGTCAGACACAAATTATGTGCATACAGACATAAATATTAGGTTGCACTTTTCAATAAAAGATTGCACTGGTGTATGTTTTACATAGCTAAATCAAACCCTATGTGTAGATGCACCGATGTATAGACGCAACACGATTATAACCTGACAGTCCTGAACATGATTCACCGATGTATAGACGCAACACGATTGTAACCTGACAGTCCTGTACATGATTCACTGATATATAGACGCAACACGATTATAACCTGACAGTCCTGAACATGATTCACCGATGTATAGACGCAACACAATTGTAACCTGACAGTCCTGTACATGATTCACCGATGTATAGACGCACCACGATTGTAACCTGACAGTCCTGTACACCATTCATCGATGTATAGACGCAACACAATTGTAACCTGACAGTCCTGTACACCATTCACCGATGTATAGACGCAACACAATTGTAACCTGACAGTCCTGTACACCATTCACTGATGTATAGACGCAACACGATTGTAACCTGATAGTCCTGTACACGATTCACTGATGTATAGATGCAACACGATTGTAACCTGACAGTCCTGTACATGATTCACCTATGTATATTCAATCAAAACGGCGTAAATTTAGTGACCCGAGAATCACAATATGCATTGACAAGTGACGTATGCAAATTGTGACAACCTACAATCTTAATGACTTCAAGAATATTTAAGTGTGCTTCAACTAAGCAAATATATCATAAACATGATAAACATATGCCCAATAATATCCATGCATTAAACATGTCAAACAAGCATGATGGTACACCTGAATTTTCTTACTTTTAGGCAAGGTAGGACTTCCCCAAATATCAACAAATATATTATCATTTTAACAATGTCTTATGCTTATCACTATTGCAATACAATAGAATATTGAAACAACCACACACATTTGAATACTTCTTTGACAAACTAATTACGTAAATCAGATGTTTAAACTTGGTTGTCTGGCAGTTGATTTTGATGCACATTTGAATAGAATTGTGTATTGGCACATCATTTTACTTTGTATATCTACCTAAGTAGCTGGAGTTTGAGCTGGAGTTGCCCAACTGAAGTCTCCGTCCACGGCCTCGACCGAAGCTGGGGTTCATGTTTTCCTCATACACTGAAAGGAGAAATAAGATATGCACTCAAAGCACTGGGAAAAATTTAAGGGACTGAGCTCTGGTTCAGACTCTAAGGAGTCTGGTTCCTATTTCTTGTCTAGGTCTACTGCCTTGTGAAACTGTCAGATGTCTCAATGTGTTAGGATTAATAATTAACTTGCTTAACGCCACACTCAGCAATATTCCACCTATAGGATGGCAAACCTGACCACCCAATCCATTTAGCTGTTTCTTACGACAAGCATATGTTGCTGGGGAACTATATTCTTACCCGGCATCCCCACCGGTCTGTACAGCGTTAGAAATTGGCACTAGTCCTGTAGTCCTTGCCAAAATGCCCAATAGTTAAGTTATCATAAGGACTAGTAGAAATTTGCAATTTTTAAGGGTTTTGCTATATGTTATCATTATAAGGACTAGTGGACTAAAACTGTTCGTTTCTACTGCTGCAGTAAAGCGTTTGATCGGTATACTGGTACATCATTAACTGGAGTTAGCACACAGACAAAGGAGTAGAAAATAATCAATGCATAAGACTTATTTTCACACAGTGAAGTAATGTAAGTTAAGAAATGGCATATGAATATGACGTTTGTGTCAGCATATAGTGCCAAATGATTTACAGCCATGTTGGTCTGCAAAAACACCCAATCCCAAAACTAAGTGAGAATGTCAGATAATAATCTATTGATCCAGCAGACGGTATGTGGCTTAAAAGTAGTTCCTCCTTTGTGAACTCATTTGCATATTTATTGGATCGTGATTCCAAGTTTATTGGATTGGTCCATCACATTGATAACACTATCAACATGATCAAGTTTATGATGAAAGATTTGTTTCCCCTTCACTGACCAATTTGAAAATCAGCCTGCCTCAATTGTCTTTATTGTTTAGGAAAAATTTGGTTGCAGTTCCAGTTTCAGTTCAGCATTCTTAAAGTTATTTTATATTTGAAGTTTCACTTTTTTATGGAACCCACTAGTATTAAAAGTTATAGCCCTCATTTGTTTCTTCAAAATGGGCACATAAACCTACTCTAGTTCATCTTGTCCATGTTGTCTACATCACTGTTTTCATTTAGTACAATTGGGAATTTAGTTTGGAGTGGTTGGGAAATCTAAATACCCAATATTATAAAATTACTATTCAACCTACATGATGTACCTAAAATAAATGTATTATTATACATCGGAACTACTATCTTATGTAACTATTACATTATCACACGGTTAAAATTCAACGCAAAACTTACAGGTAACTCCTAATCAGATATGAGGCACTCCACATCATTTTTGTACCACATGCTGAATGTGTATTCGTCTCGTGCGACCCGTGTTGACACTTCATTTACACCCGTGCAAAATAATACTGGGCATGTCATTTCCGGTTCGTTTTCTTTTAATTAATCAAAGCTGCTATTATTTACGCATCCAAACAATTTAATGTTGCTTGTGATGTTCCTGTTTTATTACAGTTGAATTTATCAAATGCCTTTATCTTCAAGATTCTCTCCATGACAGTTTTCTAACGTACCGACATGGCAAAATAAATCATAAAATACACAAAGGTTAAACTAAATGGTCATAAAGTTACACATTCGGGAGTGTAAAAAATATTCACTTTTTTTTATCTAATTAATATCAATGCAAAACGTAAGGATAATTCCGCCTGCAATAACAAGTTGAGTCGATGTGAATGATCTATCAGCACAAACGGCATCCATTACAGCTGAGTCGGGAGTAGACGTGGGATGGGTGCTCTGCATTTGGATCCTACTGACATATATCTGGATACTGGGCTATGCTGATCTTGTGATAATTATGTTAAGTATTGCTATCACTGGTTATTCAGATTGTTTATTTGTCGGATAAGTGCACATAAAAGAAGGATTGCAGCTTTTATTTCAAGCCATTTTGCAGTTCGTGAAGCCCGCTCATGGCGACCCCGTGAAGTCATTAGGCTAACTTCTATGCTGGAGTCCAGTAGACTGGGGATCTCAGAGTGCTGACATGTGACACGATTGATTTCATTTCCAAGAACTGTACTTGCATCATATCACTGCACATGCTTAGAAGCCTTAATTTAATTTACATGTGGCACGTTGAGTGTTGATCAACAATTTATAACATTATCATGATTATCATGATTATCATCTGTTATTATTCTATCCACATGATCCAAACTAGACACACTTCAGTCAAATATTCAAAACAGGTGCATATGTATACCTGATATACATGAACTCCATTAATTGTATTTACCACATGAAGTCACAAAATAAAATGATGGACAGTGAGACAGCACGGTTAGTGAGATCCTAGGTCGCCCTGGCAATATTCAAGCAATATGACTGCTTGGTGCATAATAAATAGGCTTCACTTATTGTATCCATGGGGAGAATCAAACACATGGTAAAAGCTTCAACCACTAGGCTACCCCACCACTTATCTATCGTTGTATTTCACACTGGGAACTTCTGATTTCCAAGGTTTCTCACCAGGTTCACCTCACCCCCGACATCAGAAAGCTGTATCCAACTACAGTAAACTACGGTTATAACGAACACGCTTATAACGAACTGACCGATATAACGAACTTATTTTTTTAGTCCCGGACATTTGTTGTATAGATGTTGTATATATGCTTATAACGAACTTGGGTTATAACGAACTAAAATTAGTGGTCCCTTTGAGTTCTTTATAACCGTAGTTTACGGTAGAACGTCTCCAAAGCAGGAAAGGGAAAATCCCTCAAATGCGCTGAACACACTTAACTTTTTCAAAGAAATTTTGCCTGTCTTTGCCCATTCAGGATGACATTCAACTTTCGTTGCCGCTCAGATTATGTGACTCGTTCATGCTGATTTATGATGCTCTCCTATTTGGGAGATGTTATCCTAGATGGACAGTGATATGGGAGTGAAATGAACCTGCTTATGGCATGTGTTAGACCTTATCAAAGGCTTATGACCTAACTTAACACTGAAATATTCATTCAACTTTAACAACAGCTACCATTCTACTATTGTTTGCCTTGATATCATTTTCAAATTATTTAAAATACTCATCTCACATCTGTGAATCTTCCCGACATATCCGTTAAAACAGTCTAAACTTATCAACACAATTTGCCCGTGCACGAAAACTGAGGCTTTATTTACACTTTCATGTTTGTAGGATGTTTTCGCAAACATTTGCAGACACACTGAACTTACCTGTATAAAGCAATGTCACATACACTTGACGGAATGCCTTCACGAATAAAACTCGTTGTCTTGCGTAGCATTGGCTACTAAGTTGTTTTTGTTTTCGGAATCACATTGTCAAATTACAGACGCCATTTTGGATCTTTAGACATCGTGTCGGAATGTAACGCTATTGCTGATTGGCTGGTCGAACATCCAACGATTGACTACGACACATATTTCTGTACGGCTACTTCATCGTCAGAAGCTTTTCCTAAGATTTGGCTCCAAGGCTGTACTGAATGAATTTAGTCCATAGGTGTGTAGCAATTCTATCTAGATAAGAGGGCAGTCTAAGGACGCCAGTCTCATAAAGGGACAACGTGTTCTTATTATTTAAATAGTCTAGAAATAGAGAATCGCACACTCGTGTCTTTTGATATCATATCTATCAACACAAGTGGATAAAAGTGGATACCATAAACGGGATTGCCTAAAAGTCGGGCCGGGCCAAGACGGGCCAAAGTTGTAATGGCTAATTACTCCATAATCGGCGACCATATCTACATATTATTGATGCAACATACACACGACATTAATGAACAATCACCAACTAAGAACGTGCACCATAATTAAGTGATTCGGAGTAAATCGCTTGAAAACCAGAAAGTGGAGCTGTGTGTAAGCGTCGCTGATCGAGGAAACATGTAAAAGGGAAGTCGTTAAACGAAATAGGATTTGAAACGAATCAAATGCTTCTAGCTATCGCGATACAAATTTCCATCTGTCGGCATAGCGTTTACATTTATAGGACAGTACTACATCAAAGTAAATACCACTTAATAATGTCACTGTTTATGGTATTTAAAGCAGACACGTTGGTTAAAGTAGACCTCTTCTCCCCATACTCTCACAAGTGTTCGGTCCGACTTGGCCCGGGCTGTCAAAATCAACTAAACTTCACAGATGTATCATCAAATGTGTTTACCTCTACAGATTAGTATTATATCTACCTATATACTACTTTATAATGTCACAGAACGCGGTACTTAAAGAAAACAAGGTGGTCAAAGTGAAGCCCTTTTCCCTCTCCATTCTGAACATAGACTCTATCAGAAGTGTTTGGCTCAATTCTCATATCGTTTCCATATCATTATAATACACTTGTTAAAAATAAACTTCTTATAATGTGCCTTCTCTGTATGTTGAATGTACTTGTGTGTTTTGCACTTATTGTGCATATATTTTGTAGTTTGTGATAGTGTAATATTGCCACGGTTTCTTCATGGAATGTTACGCAATACATATCTCATCTTAAACATCTTTGTTGTGTGATACTTTGTTACAGTTGTGTACGGGGGCACAATTGGCCCAGTCGCCTTATGCGCTGCAATTCGCTATGCAGAGTTGTGTCCCTTGGGCACGTCAGAAACCTATGACAGTGTGTTCTAATCCCGGTTCGCCCCGATTATGTTGTCAGCACTATACCCGTGCTCGTGGGTTTCACCAAAGTGGTGAACGTCTAAGACCTGCATCACTTCGGGCTTCCCTTCCACATCAAGCTGACCCGCCGTGATATATAACTGGAATTATACTAGTTATACAATTTCTCGTGCAGTGACTGCTTTTGCCAACATTCGTATATATGAACAGGCTTTACAATTGTCTCGTTATAACGCGCCCAATGTAAATTGGATTTTTTGTTCAAATTAAACCCTCCTATTTACATTTTCAACCCAAACCTCGGAAGTACTCCTATATATACATACCCACGGCGGGGTGGGGTGTGGGGTGTGGGTGTGGGTGTGGGTGTGGGTGTGGGTGTGGTCATAGACGTTTACCACACGTGATGATGTGCTGACAAACCTAGAAACATAACCAAATCGAATCAGGGATTCGAACTCACGATCTTGTGTTCTTGGCACTCCTAGAGTGAGTGAGTGAGGTTTTACGCCGCTTTTAGCAATATTCCAACAATATCACGGCGGTGGACACCAGAAATGGGCTTCACACATTGTACCCATGTCGGGAATCGAACCCTGGTCTTCGGTGTGACGAGCTAACGCTTTAACCACTAGGCTACCCGACCGCCCCGGCACTCCTAGAGGATACAACTCTGGGTAGTAACTATTGAATAACGTCCATCTCAACCCGGTCTTGAAATTCATGATGAATGAAAACATGACACTATGCCAAGATTGTTAAAAAAAATAAATGGAGTTTGTTTTGAAGCATCATCGTCATCATTCCTCTTGTTATTATCATCATCGTCATTATTATTATTTATCATCCAAAACAGGCTCCCACGGGAAATTGCATCACAATGCTTTGCAGACCATGGTGACGTCATTGGTTACCATGATGTCACAATCAAATGACATCACTAATGGCTCTGCTACTGAAGGTGTTAGCAGTACTTTTTACACTTAAGACACTGCTTATTACTGTCTACAAACTGAAAAGGTTGGAAGAATGATGTTGGATGATAAATAAAATCTCACCCTCGTGTCTTTTGATATCAAATATATCAACACGAGTTGATAAAAGTGGAAAAACTCATCGGCAAGCCTCGAGTTTTGCTACTTTTATAAACTCGTGTTGATATATTTGATATCAAAAGACCCGAGGGTGTGATACTCTATATGGCTACAGATGACATTATTACACGTGTTTGCTATAGATTTGTATTAACACTCATATATTATATGGACAATGATTTGCCACATGTCTCTGTTATTATAGTCCCTAATACAGTAAACTACGGTTATAACGAACTCAAAGGGACCACTAACTTCAGTTTGTTATAACCGTAGTTTGTTATAAGCATATATACAGTATAACAATAGCAAATAGTCGGGACAAAAAAATCAGTTCGTTATATCCGTCAGTTCGTTATAAGCGTGTTCGTTAATAACGTACTTTACTGTATTTGCAATGTTATAATATCCCAGTTTAATAGTCCCTCTTATAAACTACTCACTAAAACTACATGATAATGCTACCATAAGAAATTATTACAGTAATGAAACGAAGTAATGAATCGTCTTAACAGGTCGTAGCAAAATATCTCATCAAAATCTTTATTATCAGTTACAAAGATTCAAGCTGCAAAAAAAAACCTTTCACAATTTTCCTAATTTGATCACGTCTATACTAGGTAAATATACGGTACGAGCTGGATAAAGCTAACTCGGTCAGTGTCCAAAAACGGTTTTACAGGCGCTGGTATGTTTGTTGGTATGCTTGGAGGAGGACAAGATATGTCTGTGTGCCTGGAATAGTGGACCGTGCTGTGTCCCCCCTGCCCCGTCATTGTCTAAGTCACAGCCTTTTGTACCCCGACATACTGAAACAGTTGCACGATACGGTTACAAATACTTTGACAACGTTTCTAAACTATCGTATCATCAACACCGCCTCATCGGCCATAGATGATCATGTAGATTATATTGGGATTACACGAAGACTTGATTCCGGTTCACTCCTGACTCCTACCCCACACCTATAGTGTTACGTGAAAAACTTATGGTTCCTGGTCTTTCGAATCGGATGTCTCTCTGTCTCGCTCCGGGGTATGTGATTAGACATTGTTTGTGTACTTGTAAAAACCAAGGAGTTATGTTTTAATGTTTGTGGTTATGTATTGATAAATATGACTATAATATTGATAACGACACATGTTTTTTAACTACCTATACGTACTGTACAGAGTGTTGGTTCTCGTTTGTTGGTGACACAGGTTCACGACTTCGGTGGCCGACGTAACGCAGAAACGAAACAAAAATATAAATTATATTTATGTCTTAAAAGTTATTTAATCTTTCAGTTTTGTGAATTAAATTTATTTGTTTGTTAAGTTGTTATTATCTACCAATTGATGAAAATTGTTTCGATCTGACATTGGATAACGTTGAGCCTATTTTGATCAATACATATTTAATGGTGATTATTATTATTATTATTGTTGTTGTTGTTATTATTATTATTCATTGATAAAGTTCTAATGTTACAAGTCATATCAATTTTCAGTTCTATTATTTTGGTTGGAATATTTGAAAAGTTGTACATTTTCATGTATGTTCTGTTGCCTGCGACAGCGACTGCAGCCTGTTGAATCTAATCGTCAATACATAGCCGTGACTACGAGTATCATTAATTTCTCTTCTCTCAATGATAACAAATTATGACCAAATGAAATCAATTCGTTCTAGAATAACATCGGGGTGGGGTTCTGGGGTTCTGGGGTTCTGGGGTTAGTATTTCCCCAACACCCTTATTGTCGGAAAGGGGAGGAGGATTAGCCGCGTGGTTAAAGCGTTCTCTCGTCACACCGGGTTCGAGTGGGTGGGAGGGAGGGTGGGTGGGTTGGTGGGTGAGTGAGGGAGGGAGTGGCTGAGTGAGTGAGTGAGTGGCTGAGTGAGTGGCTGAGTGAGTGAGTGAGTTGCTGAGTGAGTGAGTGAGTTGCTGAGTGAGTGGCTGAGTGAGTGGCTGAGTGAGTGAGTGGCTGAGTGAGTGAGAGGCTGAGTGAGTGAGTGAGTGGCTGAGTGAGTGAGTGAGTGTGAGGCTGAGTGAGTGAGTGAGTGAGTGGCTGAGTGAGTGAGTGAGTGAGTGAGTGAGCTATCAAACCGACCCAAATAGAGACTGAGTATAGTTTTACGCCGTTTTTGGAAATGTTCCAGCAATACCACGACCAGACATGGCTCCACACATCGAACTCGGGACTTCAGTACGACGATCAAACGCTTTAACCACTGGACTACCCCACCGCCCGAACTGTTCAGGCCGTTGTGTGATGATATGTTTCCCTTTCAGAGGAGTATGCACTAAGATGCTTCGTCTCGCTTTTCTGCTGATTCTGCCTAATTTACTTCACCCAACAACTGCAGGTAAGTCCACGTTGTATAGCAGCCATAGGACACGGATATCGGGAATAGTTTTCAGTAATTCTCACTTAAATCTACTTGGTGCCATTTTGGGACAGATAGTCACTAGTCATCTGAGGTGCCGGAATAAGCTGGTTCATGTATCAAATTTTTTAGTTAAAACTATGTGTCAAAATTTCAGCAACGTCTTTTTTGGGCGGACAATTTCTTGTTTTTTTTTAACATTATGAAGGACAATTATTTGTTTCAAAGATGTTCGGGGATAACTTATTTTTTAAGTTTTCGATAGAATCCCAGCTTAAGAGAAACTAAAGATGCTCTTTATAAACGAATACATAAAGCCTACGGAATAAAACCCACCTGAACAGACAAATAGATTAAAAAATGCCGTTAAGTTTTGTTGTGTCATGTCCAATACAGGTTCCCGTCAGCTGAGACCGAGGTCATATTACGGAGTTTGAATTTATTGCCAACTTTAAATAGGGAAGCTTCAAACTACAATTTGTGGTTCAAGTTTAATGTATTGCAGCGTTTTAACATTTTGGTAAAGTTTAAAAAATATTTTGCGAAGTTCAAAGACATTGTGATGGTTATATAAATTACAAAGTTTAAATTTATCTCGTGAAGTTTAATATATATAGAGAATCTCACCAGAGTGTCTTTTGGTATCAAATATATCAACACGAGTTGATAAAAGTGGGAAAACTCCGAGGCTTGCCGAGGATTTTTTCCACTTTTATCAACGAGTGTTGATATATTTGATATCAAAAGACACAAGGGTGAGATTTTATTCATCATCCATCATTCTTCCAACTTTTTCAGTTTGTAGACAGTAATAATCAGTGTCTTCAGTGTAAAAAAGTACTGCTGACAGCTTCAGTAGCAGAGCCATTAGTGATGTCATTTGATTGTGACGTCATGGTAACCAATGACGTCACAATGGTCTGCAAAGCATTGTGATGCAATTTCATTGCAGCGATATCTACAGTGTAGATATCGCTTGATCTCACCCAAGCGATATCTCCTGTGGGAGCCAGTTTTGGATGATAAATTGCGATGTATGACGTGCTGTAGTGACTTACATTTATCATGTTGTCAAATATATGTTTCAACATGGCCTTATCTGCTATCCCCCACCGCCACTGTTTGCAGAGAGTATTAAGTGCATTTAATGCAAGCAGATGTGGTGCTCACGGGCCGTAACTGGTGTACATGTACTCAATGCTTTGATCATTGATCACGTGACCAAGCGGCAGATAACCGATGGTAGATAACACTGTATGCACCTAACTGATTGTAAAGGCAAGTTTTGTGATATGGTTGTGTTCATATGAACATGATATGTGATTTTACACTGGTTGAAAACTTAAACCCCATTCTGACATTTTTTTTGTTACTGCTGTGTGTGGTTTTTACATCAATACAACGACCAACACAAAATTCAAATGGATTAAATAAAAATGTCAGTACCAGACGCCATCTTGTTTTCTAGCAGACGAGTCAATATTAATCACGTGACAGGTCAATACTGATCATGTGACCAGTCAATATTCGAGGTCAGTCACATGCTTTTGGGGTCAACATTCAAATACATTGTTTCGTCACGTGCTACTGATTAACCAATGGAATTGCATAATTCTTATTAGAGGTATAACAATATTTGTTAAAAGTCGGAATTAGTTGATTACAACGAAGTACAACGAAATATGTAAACAATACTGATTTTAGACGTTTTCAATTCTCAACCACTACCACAACCCCTACCCCACACCCCCACCCCCACCCCCCAAATATTCGAACATAAACAAATCTTTGAGCCATGATGAGTTCCTAAGGAGGTGGCCCATTTGTGGTGTCCCCCGCCGTGATATTGCTGGAATATTGCTAAAAGTGGCGTAAAACCATACTCAGTCAGTCAGTCCTAAGGAGATGACGGTAATGACAGTATTAACATGGTGAAACATTCATCTTGGGTCAGGGGGCACGGGTGGCCCTGTGCAGAGTTGCGTCCCTTGGGCACGCCAGAAACCTATGATTGTGGGTTCGAATCCCGGTTCGCCCTGATTATGTTTCTAGGTTTGTCAGCACCATACCCGTGCTCGTGGGTTTCACCGAAGTGGTAAACGTCTGAGACCTGCATCACTTGGGGCTTTCCTCCCACATTAAGCTGGCACGCCGCGATATAACTGGAATACTGTTAAAAGCGGCGTTAAACCCAAATCACTCACTCACTTACTCATCCTCGGTCAGAGACTTGTTTATGGTTAGAATGTCTCCTGAAGTTCGAACAATCAGCATTTTGATACATTTCAGCCAGTATTCCTTAATTCCTCATGTCGTGCAAATGATAGAAATAAAACAGAATCATTTGAACATGCCTCATTGTTATTTCAATGTTTTCTGTAAATTCAAAAGTTGACATTTCCGGTGTGCATAGAATGACCCTTATCATACATTGTTCTTTAGCTTCAGAAAGTGAATTGTACGTCTCTAAGCGCCATAATTCTCCCGAGGGACGATATTAAATAATTGTGTGGTATTAAAAAACACTCGTATTTTCATCATTACATCATTCTATTTCCCCCCAAGGAATCATAAGTTTAAGCCTTATATATGTGTTTTACTATATTTCTGATTGTCATTGGTTCTTTGAGACAATCGGGGAATAAGAAAACACGCATTTGCAAACTGAAATGTACCTGGAGTTGACTTTGAGTTATCTCCCCTGTAGGTCGCTGGGTGTCCTTGACTGCTGACAACAGCGCCTACAAGATGGCGAACGGTCTCGGGGTGCCCATCACGGGCAAGAATGAGGTCATCGCGGAGGTCAAAGTGTGCAAGGGTGCAGAGATCCAGATGATGGAGGACGACACCGGGGCAGGTGCGTTACATGTGGGTGAGCGGGGCGTGTGGGGTCGGGTGGGTGTGTCACATATGGGTCGGCGAGGCTTGTGGGTTGGGGTTGGTGTGTCACATATGGATGAGCGGGGCGTGTGGGGAGGGTTGGTGTGTCACATATGGGTCGGCGAGGCTTGTGGGTTGGGGTTGGTGTGTCACATATGGATGAGCGGGGCGTGTGGGGAGGGTTGGTGTGTCACATATGGATGAGCGGGGCGTGTGGGTTTGGGGTTGGTGTGTCACATATGGGTGAGCGGGGCGTGTGGGGAGGGGTGGGTGTGTCACATATGGATGAGCGGGGCGTGTGGGTTTGGGGTTGGTGTGTCACATATGGGTGAGCGGGGCGTGTGGGGAGGGTTGGTGTGTCACATATGGATGAGCGGGGCGTGTGGGTTTGGGGTTGGTGTGTCACATATGGGTGAGCGGGGCGTGTGGGTTGGGGTTGGTGTGTCACATATGGATGAGCGGGGCGTGTGGGTTTGGGGTTGGTGTGTCACATATGGGTGAGCGGGGCGTGTGGGGAGGGTTGGTGTGTCACATATGGATGAGCGGGGCGTGTGGGTTTGGGGTGGGTGTGTCACATATGGGTGAGCGGGGCGTGTGGGTTTGGGGTGGGTGTGTCACATATGGGTGAGCGGGGCGTGTGGGTTGGGGTTGGTGTGTCACATATGGATGAGCGGGCGTGTGGGGAGGGGTGGGTGTGTCACATATGGGTGAGCGGGGCGTGTGGGGTTGGATGGATGTGTCACATATGGATGAGCGGGCGTGTGGGGAGGGGTGGGTGTGTCACATATGGGTGGGCGGGGCGTGTGGGGAGGGTTGGGTGTGTCACATATGGGTGGGCGGGCGTGTGGGGAGGGTTGGGTGTGTCACATATGGGTGAGCGGGGCGTGTGGGGAGGGTTGGTGTGTCACATATGGGTGAGCGGGGCGTGTGGGGAGGGTTGGTGTGTCACATATGGGTGAGCGGGGCGTGTGGGGAGGGTTGGTGTGTCACATATGGGTGAGCGGGGCGTGTGGGGAGGGTTGGTGTGTCACATATGGGTGAGCGGGGCGTGTGGGGAGGGTTGGTGTGTCACATATGGGTGGGCGGGGCGTGTTGGTTGGTGTGGGTGTGTCACATATGGATGAGCGGGCGTGTGGGTTGGGGTTGGTGTGTCACATATGGGTGAGCGGGGCGTGTGGGTTGGTGTGGGTGTGTCACATATGGATGAGCGGGCGTGTTGGTTGGTGTGGGTGTGTCACATATGGGTGAGCGGGGCGTGTGGGTTGGGGTTGGTGTGTCACATATGGATGAGCGGGCGTGTGGGTTGGGGTTGGTGTGTCACATATGGGTGGGCGGGGCGTGTGGGGAGGGTTGGGTGTGTCACATATGGGTGAGCGGGGCGTGTGGGTTGGGGTTGGTGTGTCACATATGGATGAGCGGGCGTGTGGGGAGGGGTGGGTGTGTCACATATGGGTGGGCGGGGCGTGTGGGGAGGGTTGGGTGTGTCACATATGGGTGAGCGGGGCGTGTGGGGAGGGTTGGGTGTGTCACATATGGGTGAGCGGGGCGTGTGGGGTTGGATGGGTGTGTCACATATGGATGAGCGGGCGTGTGGGGAGGGGTGGGTGTGTCACATATGGGTGGGCGGGGCGTGTGGGGCTAGGTGGGTGTGTCACATATGGGTGAGCGGGGCGTGTGGGGTTGGATGGGTGTGTCACATATGGGTGAGCGGGGCGTGTGGGGTTGGATGGGTGTGTCACATATGGGTGAGCGGGGCGTGTGAGTTGGGGTTGGTGTGTCACATATGGGTGAGCGGGGCGTGTGGGGAGGGGTGGGTGTGTCTATTTACTGGACTATTTACAAGACGCCGTCATATAAACAAACTAACAAACAAACAAACAAAGAGTCCAAGAAACATAAAACAAAACAAATTGTCAAATATACACTGATGAATGTATCGTAGTTTAAATACAGAGATGATTCTTCTCCTTATTTTCGAGTCATTGTATGGATCTCATACACACATTCCCCCTCGAGGATGTCATCTAGCAATATCAGCTGACTTGAAGTTAATGGCATATTCATATCAATCAGCATTAGACACTGACTCAGCTGTGTCAAACACACCCTGAAACGATTCAGATGCGAATGTAATAATCTGATGATCGAAATTAGGACGTGCACGGATGTTGATCACGAGAGTCGCCTGTGTAGATTTTGTGCTCGGAACAATATTTGTTTAATTGAAAATGAGTATCACGTTTTACTTAAACGTCATTCTTATACCGACCTAAGAATGAAATACATTCACCCTAAATACAACTCTATATATAAGGTCAACAATTTTGAAGGCGACGTTAAACCCTATTTCACCTCACCATACCCAGTGCGATGAAATTACATAATTAACACCATCAAGATTGTTAGTTTAACCAATACTGTTATACTTGTATGAATAGATGCTTGTATTGAATAAGGATATCTAACAAGCTCGAGTTTGACATCGATTCTTTCTGCTTCACAGGAAAGGGCGGTCGGGTAGCCTAGTGGTTAAAGCGTTCACTCGTCACGCTGAAGACCCGGGTTCGATTGGGTACAATGTGTGAAGCCCATTTCTGGTGTTCCCCCGCCTTAATATTGCTGGAATATTGCTAAAAGCAGCGTAAAACCATACTCACTCACTGCTTCACAGGTATGTGGTCCTACTTCAAGCTTGGCGGAGACAACAACGAGTGGTCAGCCATGGCGTCCAGTGAGAACTGCGACAGTAACGACTGTCACTGGGTGGACTACAAATACGATCCCGTGGTCGATTGCAACACCTTCCTGCCCTTCTGGTTTTCTTGGAATGCAGGAGGAGTGCACTCAGTCGGCAAAGGCGCCGTTGTCGGAACCGACGTCATCCTCACTGGAACCTTAACGGCCTTTGACGTCAACATATTTCAGGTGTCCAACTTCGATGCCGGCGTTACCGGAGTGTGGAGGTTCCTCATAGGTAGGTTGTTGGAGTTACGTGTTCTTGTGGTGGCACGTGGTCCATTCGTGACCAACTCGTGTTATTGCGGGACAAGCCGAATAGCGGGTTACGGAAAGGGGCGAGTTGTGACGAATGGCACGTAGTCCTGTGCACAGCGTACAGGTCACAAATTACTGTAACACATGTGGCGTCTCCTTGGGCAAGTGACTTTGTTCGAAACGTGCCTCTGTTCACCCAGCAGTGAGTGGGTACCCGGCAGGATGAGATGGTTGTTAATCTTCTAGCACCAATCAAGCAGCTTGGGTTGTATACTCCCCGGGGAGCTGAGAATAATTCTTGTGTAATAATTGCGCTTTGAGCATGCCCCTGAGTGGTGTGCAGATATGCGCAATATAATAGCCTATCATTATTATCATGAGTATCAAATAGTAGCAAAGGTTATATTTGGGATAACACTTTCTAAGTTAAGTACATATTCTAGTCCTTTTGGGGGTTGAATCCCATCCGGTATTCGAAACTACACTGCCAGAGCGATGCACCTAATCGACAGAACACAAAGTCAGCGATCTGACCCACTCAGCCACCAGGCTTCCACAAAATGAAAGTCCGACAACTCGTAGTCTAGATTACGCATTTGGTGTACCCCTCTGAAAAGTTTAAATTGGCACGGCTCCCATAGCCGATGTCATTGTGTATTCACCTTATCATATAGGTGGTCGGAGGCTGACAAGAGTGACATTGGCATTACGTTTCCTTGTCATGAGTATCAAATAGGTGGTCGGAGGCTGACAAGAGTGACATTGGATTTACGTTTCCTTGTCATGAGTATCAAATAGGTGGTCGGAGGCTGACAAGAGTGACATTGGCATTACGTTTCCTTGTCATGAGTATCAAATAGGTGGTCGGAGGCTGACAAGAGTGACATTGGCATTACGTTTCCTTGTCATGAGTATCAAATAGGTGGTCGGAGGCTGACAAGAGTGACATTGGCATTACGTTTCCTTGTCATGAGTATCAAATAGGTGGTCGGAGGCTGACCAGAGTGACATTGACATTACGTTTCCTTGTCATGAGTATCAAATAGGTGGTCGGAGGCTGACAAGAGTGACATTGGATTTACGTTTCCTTGTCATGAGTATCAAATAGGTGGTCGGGGGCTGACCAGAGTGACATTGACATTACGTTTCCTTGTCATGAGTATCAAATAGGTGGTCGGAGGCTGACAAGAGTGACATTGGCATTACGTTTCCTTGTCATGAGTATCAAATAGGTGGTCGGGGGCTGACCAGAGTGACATTGGCTTTACGTTTCCTTGTCATGAGTATCAAATAGGTTGTTGGTGGCTAAAGTTGCTGTCTGATGTATAGGTATGTAACCTACACTTAAAAATACACCCCAGATACAGTTAAGCGTGTTCAATAATACTGTATCAGTACCGTAGGTTATGTAAATAGCGTCTGGAATATATATGACATGGTCGAAATATACGTAAATCATTACGCAACGAGTTAACAATTCTTTTAACTATGCGCGTTTGCGCTTAGACGGAACCCAGTCGCAAAAATGGCCACAAGAGGCATTCGTCACCACTCGCTTCTTTCCGTAACCTGAGAGAAGACTCGTCCCCCTATCGATGAATGTTATGTGCTAAAATACGACAAACTAATCAGACTGCGCGAATGATTTCAAGTTCTTCGTCAAAGTATCCCTCAGAAATAATTTTTGATTTTTACGTATGTCTTGCATCTAAAAATATACCCAAGACACAGTTAAATGTGTTCAATCATACTGTATAATTCCGCACGTCCCGATGTGCTTTAAATTGCATCTGAAATATATGTAACACATGGGGAAATATATGTGAACCATTTCGCAAGGAACTGACAATTGTTTTAGGTATGCCCGTTTGCGCTAAGACGGAACCCGGTCGCTAAAATGGCCACGAGAGGAGCAAGAGTCAATATTCGGCCGGTCCCGGAATAACACGAGTTGGTCACGAATGTCTCAAATGGTTACCAAATGGACGAGTTGTGTCGAATGGTGCTCTAGGTCTCTCGCCCTTTTCGCGAAATGTATAACCTATATAAGTTACATGACCACCTATTTCCACACAAATACAATATAGGTTTGTCAGCACCATACCCGTGCTCGTGGGTTTCACCGAAGTGGTAAACGTCTGGGACTTGCATCACTTCGGGCATTCCTCCCACATTAAGCTGACACGTGGTGATATAACTGGAAACCTGTTAAAATCGGCGTTAAACCCAACTCACTCACTTACTAATTTCGCCATGAAGTAACTGGATTTTTGGTTACTATGGCGTAAAACAACATTCATAGACTTTTATGCACCCTAATATAACCAATTCATACGAAGGAGTTGGAACTATACATGCTTACATGCTACACGTTTACATACTGTTTCCCAATCTGTGAGTGCTAATATAGTGAGTGAGTGAGTTGGGTTTAACTCCCCTTTAAACAGTATTCCAGTTATATCGCGGCGTGTCAGCTTAATGTGGGAGGAAAGCCCGAAATGATGCAGGTCTCAGACGTTTACCACTTCGGTGAAACCCATGAGCACGGGTATGGTGCTGACAAACCTATAAACATAATTGGGGCGAACCGGGATTCGAACCCACAATCATAGGTTTCTGGCGTGCCCAAGGGACGCAACTCTTCACAGCGAATTGCGGCGCCTTAGACGACTGGGCCACCCGTGCCCCCGAGTGCTAATATAACAATATATGATCACATACTATGTATGATACCAAAAAATGATCACATCAAAGGCCACTGACCAATGCTGACAACAGTTGCGCGAATTCAGAATTCCAGTAAACACATTGATTTTTCATGAAATATTGCAGTTGTTTTGAAAAGGCATCATGTCTACCAAAATTAGTTTTAAGACTCAGTCATCGAATTTAATGTTTGCTGTCCACGTAACACAGGTATCACGTATTACACGCACGCACGCACGAGCGCACGCACACACGCACTCACGCACACACTTGAATGTGACGTTGAACCCCATTTTCATTTCATCTGCCTCATATCTTATGGCTGTGGCGACTCCATGGAAATAACGTGTAGCAAAAAGAACCCTGAACCCCGAGGTTGACACTTTCAACATATCAGGTAACTCGACGGTGTTCCTATTCCAGAGGGGGCGGTCGGGTAGCCTAGTGGTTAAAGCGTTCGCTCGTCACGCCGAAGACCCGGGTTCTATTCCCGACATGGGTACAATGTGTGAAGCCCATTTCTGGTGTCCCCCGCCGTGATGTTGCTGGAATATTGCTAAAAACGGCGTAAAGCCATACTCACTCACTCACTCCTATTCCAGACGAAGCTCCGTTCTTCAACAGCCCTGCTCCTTTAGGCGACACCGTGGTTGACGTCAGCGAGGACGCCAGCATCGGCGAAACCATTTACACCGTGGTTGGGACCGACGACGAGGGCGACACTCTGACCTTTACCCTTGATACCCACGCGGATGCGTTCGAGTTTGCTGGAACTGCCCTGAAGACACTCAAGCTGCTCGACTTTGAAACATTGGCTTCATATGACATTATCATGAGGTATTAATATCCCGAACATACTATTTTTTAATTGACAAAAATTACATTCAGCGGAACCAAGTCACTTTGCCTGCAGGGGGCCTTTGTGACCCGAGGAACCCAGCTACAGCTTGCTGTTCCACCAACCAGCAGAACAACATATGGCGACAGAACCTTCCGAAAAACAGGTTCGACTCTATGGAATGCACTGCCCATTGATGCCAGGGGATCTGAAGATGTAAACACCTTTAGATCAAAACTCAAGACCATCCTCTTCAAAAGAGCATACGACTGAGCGCTCTTGAGCAGGCAGTATGTCTGGATAGTTAGCGCTATATAAATGCTTAATTTGAAATTTAAAATATCACTAAATTGAAAGTATTTTACTAACAAGAGCCAAAACTTTATCGAAAGCTTTCTAAAACCATCACCGTCATCTGAACCCCTGTAATCACATATGAACCTTTGCAGTCAAGCTTAAATCCTGGCAGTCATTATCAAACCCATGTCACACCTGATTCGTTGCAGTCACATTTGAACCCTTGTAGTCACATTTGAACCCTGGAACCACATTTGAAACCTTGCAGCCACATTTGAACCCTTGTAGTCACATTTGAACCCTTGTAGTCTCATTTGAACCCTTGTGGTCAAATTTGGACCCTTGTAGCCACATTTGAAATTCCTGCAGCCACATTTAAACCCTTGTAGTCAAATTTAGACCATTGCAGCCACATTTGAACCCTTGTAACCACAATTGAACCCTTGTAGTCATATTTGGACCCTTGTAGCCACATTTGAAACCTTGTAGCCACATTTAAACCCTTGTAGTCATATTTGGACCCTTGTAGCCACATTTGAACCCTTGTAGCCACATTTGAAATCATGCAGCCACATTTAAACCCTTGTAGTCAAATCTGGACCCTTGAAGCCACATTTGAACCCTTGTAGTCTCATTTGAACCCTTGTAGTCAAATTTGGACCCTTGTAGCCACATTTGAAACCTTGCAGCCACATTTGAAACCTTGCAGCCACATTTGAAACCTTGCAGCCACATTTAAACCCTTGTAGTCACATTTGAGCCCTTATAGTCACATTTGAACTACTTGAGTCACATTTAAACCGTTACAGTCACATTTACATCCTTGTGTTATTTGAATTATTTGAAGTATTGCAGTCACAATCAAACCCTTCTGCCGCACTAAGCAACACACAACAAACAAACAACAGGGGTTCAAATTTTCTTACAAGTGTTGTCACTTTGTAACCCATACGTTGAGATTCCGTTCTAGGTGTGAGAACACGCCTACTATGTAAAACCACCCTCTTTTGTGTTCTTCATTTCTTCTCCAGCATGAGCGATGGGCAGAACACCCAGCAGGCGAGGATGACGGTGCGAGTTACCGACGTCGTTGACGAGACGCCGGTCATCACGTTGTCGGGGACGTTGTATATCCCGGAGGAGATGGCAGTGGGCAGCGTGGTCAACAACCTCTTCGACGTGGACGACCCAGACAAGGGAGACACACTAACGTATGCTATAACTGGTGAGATATATATATTTAGGTACCAACAAACCAACTCCATACTTCGGGGGCACTATGAAGAGTTACGTCCCTTGGGTATGTCTGTAAATAATCGAATCTTGACCAGGCAATCCAGTGACTGGGACACGATGACGAGTATCAACCAAGTCAACAAGCTTGATCACCCGATTCCGTTAGTAGCCTCTAACGACAAGCACAGTCGCCTCTAACAACAAGCATGGGTTGCTTAAGACCAATTCTCCACCCGGATCTTCACGGATCCACTGGAACGAGACCGTGACTTAATTCGTTAGTTACAAAGAGCGACTACACCCTATAGCGGCCATAACGTAGTGGAAACAACCCGTGAAGTACTGGCTCTTTCCATTATTTGTTTGAATGTCCATTATATACTAGTCAAAGAGAACAACTTGTATTAACATTAAGAGCATACCAACAAGAAACACATGTGTTCCAATCAATGTGAAGCTTTTGTTGGATGGAAGTGCAGACCTATCACCAAGTCATAATATGTAAGTATTTAAGGCAGTGCAATCAGACCAAACGCTTTGTCTAATTTATCTCTTTTCTTCTGTATCATCAGTCCTTATTGTACTAACGTGCCCACGTCATCTTTTGTACACAGGTTAATACATTCGTGACCAACTCGTGTTATTCCGGGACAAGTCGAATAGCTTCTTTCAGGTTACGGAAAGAGGCGAGTGTTGACGAATGAGGTTAATAAGGTATAGCAATACCAAGGAGAGGGAGACCTAAGTTGGATAACTTGTTCCTAATCATTTTCCATTTGTGAATAAAATATCTTTAAACTTATAGTACTGACGTCGGTGAATAATAGGGATTTGGTGCCCAATGCATTGTTATATGGGCGAATGGACCAAGTCAACCTACGGCGGTGATATGGCTAGATGTAGGTCATGGTTTGAACCGTTGTTCGCACTATCGACCACCGGCCTGGAGGGCGGTTCAGCTATCTCTTTTAAATTTTTGACAGAAGCCAACAGCGCACTCTTCAACATCGATGCAAGCTCAGGGCTTTTGACAATTGCCAGTAGAATAGATCGGGATCAGGCGGCCTTGACTTCCTTGACCTTTGACCTGCAGGTGACCGACAGTAACAGCTTGCAGGCGACGGAGACTGTCACTGTGAACATTGTCGACATCAACGACAACGACCCAGTCTTCGCCTCGACGTCGCATACTGTGAGTGTTGCCGAGAACACAGCTGCTGGTAGGTATAGACACAGGTCGACGATGATTCCGTAAGGATAATTTTGTAATGAGAATTTAATTATACCTTAACAAAACAATATTCCTTAACTATTAAATTCATGTTGCCATAGACACGTCGCTATTGGATTTCACTGTGAGCGACACCGACGACGGAACCAACGCTGCTTACAGCATATCAATTGAGGCTGGAGACGACGTTTCTCCCAAGTTCAAGGTCACCGGAAACCAGCTTCAGACAGAGGCTAACGCTCTGGATTATGAGACGCTGGCCGGCTCCAGCTTTATGTATACTCTGACAGTTGTAGCCGTTAACGACGACGCCATCAGAACGGGGACGACGACAGTAACAATCATGGTAAAGATGATTTCAATATTATGTCCATGACATTAAAGCGTTCGCCCGTCACGCTGAAGAACCGGTTTTGATTCCCCACGCCAGTAAAATGTGTAAAGCGCATTATTGGTGTCCTCGTTATTGTTTGAATATAGAGGCGTAAAACAATACTCACTCACTCACTCACTTACTCATAACCATAACGCTAACATTGTCACGTCAAAGGTGATATGAATATATCATGTACCCGTGCCCCCGGCGTTATATCTGGAGTCCAGATTCATACATTTACAGGCTGACGTGGGGGTACGGGTGGCCCAGTCGTCTAAGGCGTCGCGATTCGCTGTGCAGAGTTGCGTCCCTTGGGCACGCCACAAACCTTTGATTGTGGGTTCGATTCCCGGTTCGCCCCGATTATGTTTCTATGTTTGTCAGCACCATACGGGTGCTCGTGGGTTTCACCGAAGTGGTAAACGTCTGAGACCTGCATCACTTCGGGCCTCCCTCTCACATTAAGCTGACACGCCGTGATACAACTGGAATAATGTTAAAAGCGGCGTAAAACCAAACTCACTCACTCACTCACTTATTGATGGAATATCACTAAAAGCGGCGTAAAACCGTACTCACTCACTCACTGTTTGTTTTTTATTGCACAGATATCAAAGCTTTGTAAAAAGCGATCCGTCAATGTGACCTATTCGATTTATATGGTTCATCCTTTGTCCAGGCTGCGTTTGACCTTGACCTTGACCTTTCAGGTGACCCCAGAAAATGAATTCGACCCCGTGTTTGACACCCCTGCCGTGGACGCCACCAATCAATTTCCGGGAGATAGTTTATCAGAGGACGTCCCCGTCAACCACGAAATCCCCTTCACCGCCTCCGACGCCGACCGCGGAGTGGACGGTGACGTCACATTCTCCCTCGTCTCCGCGGTGGACTGTGAGTACCTTGGACAGCAGAGCTGTGTCACATTCATGAATGATATCATAAAGCATAAAACTACTGCATATTGATTTGCTTTTGTTGTTTGTTGTTTAACATTGTCCAGCTATATGACGGCGTTCTGTAAATAATCGAGTCTGGGCCAGACAATCCAGTGATTGATATTATGAGCATCAATCTACGCAATTGGGATACGATGACATGCATCAACCAAGTCAGTGAGCCTGACCACCCGATCCCGTTAGTCGCCTCTTACCACAAGCATTGTCGCCTATTGTTATTGATTTGCACCTATGTGAACCAAATTCCAGCCATATAAGGGCGCGGGACACTGACAATAACTTTTACACAATTTACCAATGTACAGTAAACTACGTTTATAACGAACACGCTTATAACGAACTGACGGATATAGCGAACTTACTTTTTTGTCACGACTGTTTGCTGTAGTTATGTTGTATATATGCTTATAACGAACTACGGTTATAACGAACTAAAATTGTGGGTCCCTTTGAGTTCGTTATATCCGTAGTTTACTGTATATAATAATCTCTTATTGCAAGTATTGTTGAAGGTCCTTTGCTGTGTAGAGTTGCGTCCCTTGTACGTGCCAGAATCCGACGATCGTGGTTTCGCGAAAGTGATTATAACTTATGAATTGCTCAGATGTCTCTTTAAGTCTCACATCTACAGCTGACGGTGCTGACGCAAGTGCAAAGTTCACCATTGATGCTGCGACAGGAACGTTGAAAACCCTTGAACTCCTCGACAGCGACACAGCCACGGGAGGCGTGGATTATTTTGACGTCACAATCAGAATAGCCGACGCGGGAAGCACCCCCAAAACCGCAGAGGGGACAATACGGTTGACGTTATCTAACGTCAACGACAACCTTCCGACGTTTTCATCATCGTTCTACAGCGCTAGTATCAGTGAAGACGCTGCTGTCGGGGATAGCGTGGAGGCTGTTGCAGCGACTGACAATGACGGTGACGCCATAACATATACCGTAGAAGGCAGCTGGGCAAGCACTTTTGAAATTAGCGGAACTGATGTTGTTACGAAGACATTGTTGGATTATGCCTCGAATGCTTTCTACGTCATCACTGTAAGGTGAGGACTAACGTCGTCATAACTATAGGGACACCTTGAAGACACATCATTATATACTACTTTATTTAAGAAGACCGACTCCGTGGTCTAGTGGTAGAGCGTCCGCCCGGAGAGCGGAAGGTCCGGGGTTCGATCCCCGGCCGCGTCATACCAAAAGACGTTAAAATATGGTACTTGTTGTTACCCTGTCTGGCGCTCGGCATTAAAGGGCTAAAACAAGGACTGGTCGGCTCGGAGTCAGTATACTGTGTCTGAGTGGGGTATTCATGTTAAACTGCGGCATGGTATCTCAGTGTGCTAGCACTATACATCGGCATCAGTCCGGACTAGTACAAGCAGACACGCTTTATAAGTGCAATAATCTTGGACGCGACGTTAAACCCAATTTCACCTCACCTTATTTAAGAAATAAACGACGAGTTTTACAATAAAACACTGCAGGGAGAATAAACAACGAGGGGCTGGGCCCTACAGTGTTTTATTGTACGGTGAACAACGACCACGAGTCGTTTATTTCTTATATGAGATTTTTAAATATTTACACCCGTATTTTAATCATGATGACTCCCTCAATAGAATCCGACCTCGGCAATGTCGGACAAGTCCATTTTATGCACAGGTGGGTATTTCCCCGCATATTCTCACAATCCTCACGTCAATTACCAGTTACAGTGCCGTAGCCAGCCGGGGGTGCAGGAGTCAGTTGTTTGAGTAAGATATATAAAAAAAATTATATTATACAAAACACTTACTAAAGCAGATACATAGAATTATTGATACTGACTGACATGAATAAAAAAATAATAATATGAAACCTGAGCTGTATTTATCGCAAATATAACTTAACTAAGGCTTAATTTCATGTTACAAAAGATGATACTTGAACGGTACTTAAACCGAAAACAATAAGCCACTAACTTATTAACATTAACTCGCCTATTTCGACCAGCATAGGCTGTAAAGATTACAGGGGCCGGTTTTAACCGGAATACCCAAGTGTTGACCTCTGTCGGTTGCTGGGGACCTGTTCTAACCCGGAATACACAAGGGATGACCTGTATCGGTTGGTGGGGACCTGTTCTAACCCGGAATACCCAAGGGATGACATGTATCGGTTGGTGGGGACCTGTTCTAACCCTTAATACCCAAGGAGTGACCTGTATCGGTTGTCGGGGACCTGTTCTAACCCGGAATACCCAAGGAGTGACCTGTATCGGTTGGTGGGGACCTGTTCTAACCCGGAATACCCAAGGGATGACATGTATCGGTTGGTGGGGACCTGTTCTAACCCTTAATACCCAAGGAGTGACCTGTATCGGTTGTCGGGGACCTGTTCTAACCCGGAATACCCAAGGAGTGACCTGTATCGGTTGGTGGGGACCTGTTCTAACCCGGAATACCCAAGGAGTGACCTGTATCGGTTGGTGGGGACCTGTTCTAACCCGGAATACACAAGGAGTGACCTGTATCGGTTGGTGGGGACCTGTTCTAACCCGGAATACCCAAAGGAGTGACCTGTATCGGTTGTTGGGGACCTGTTCTAACCCGGAATACACAAGGGATGACATGTATCGGTTGGTGGGGACCTGTTCTAACCCGGAATACACAAGGGATGACCTGTATCGGTTGGTGGGGACCTGTTCTAACCCGGAATACCCAAGGGATGACCTGTATCGGTTGGTGGGGACCTGTTCTAACCCTTAATACCCAAGGAGTGACCTGTATCGGTTGTTGGGGACCTGTTCTAACCCGGAATACCCAAGGAGTGACCTGTATCGGTTGGTGGGGACCTGTTCTAACCCGGAATACACAAGGGATGACATGTATAGGTGGGTGGGGACCTGTTCTAACCCGGAATACCCAAGGGATGACCTGTATCGGTTGTTGGGGACCTGTTCTAACCCGGAATACCCAAGGGATGACCTGTATCGGTTGTTGGGGACCTGTTCTAACCCGGAACACCCAAGGAGTGACCTGTATCGGTTGGTGGGGACCTGTTCTAACCCGGAATACACAAGGGATGACCTGTATCGGTTGTTGGGGACCTGTTCTAACCCGGAATACCCAAGGAGTGACCTGTATCGGTTGGTGGGGACCTGTTCTAACCCGAAAAACCCAAGGAGTGACCTGTATAGGGTACCGGGAACCTGTTCTAACCCGGAATACACAAGTGGTGACCTGTATCGGTTGGTGGAGACCTGTTCTAACCCGGAATACCCAAGGAGTGACCTGTATAGGGTACCGGGAACCTGTTCTAACCCGGAATATCCAAGTGGTGACCTGTATCGGTTGGTGGGGACCTGTTCTAATCTGGAATACCCAAGTGGTGACCTCTGTCGGTTGGTGGGGACCTGTTCTAACCCGGAATACCCAAGGAGTGACCTGTATCGGTTGTTGGGGACCTGTTCTAACCCGGAATACCCAAGGAGTGACCTGTATAGGGTACCGGGAACCTGTTCTAACCCGGAATATCCAAGGAGTGACCTCTGTCGGTTGGTGGGGACCTGTTCTAACCCGGAATACCCAAGGGATGACATGTATCGGTTGGTGGGGACCTGTTCTAACCCGGAATACCCAAGGAGTGACCTGTATCGGTTGTTGGGGACCTGTTCTAACCCGGAATACCCAAGGAGTGACCTGTATCGGTTGGTGGGGACCTGTTCTAACCCGGAATACCCAAGGAGTGACCTCTGTCGGTTGTTGGGGACCTGTTCTAACCCGGAATATCCAAGGAGTGACCTCTGTCGGTTGGTGGAGACCTGTTCTAACCCGGAATACCCAAGGAGTGACCTGTATAGGGTACCGGGAACCTGTTCTAACCCGGAATACCCAAGGAGTGACCTGTATCGGTTGGTGGGGACCTGTTCTAACCCGGAATACCCAAGGGATGACATGCATAGGTTAGTGGGGACCTCTGTCGGTTGTTGGGGACCTGTTCTAACCCGGAATACCCAAGGAGTGACCTGTATAGGTTGGTGGGGACCTGTTCTAACCCGGAATACCCAAGGAGTGACCTGTATCGGTTGGTGGGGACCTGTTCTAACCCGGAATACCCAAGGGATGACATGTATCGATTGGTGGGGACCTGTTCTAACCCGGAATACCCAAGGGATGACATGTATCGGTTAATGGGAACCTGTTCTAACCCGGAATACCCAAGGGATGACATGCATAGGTTAGTGGGGACCTGTTCTAACCCGGAATACCCAAGGAGTGACCTGTATAGGGTACCGGGAACCTGTTCTAACCCGGAATACCCAAGGGATGACCTGTATCGGTTGTCGGGGACCTGTTCTAACCCGGAATACCCAAGGGATGACCTGTATCGGTTGTTGGGGACCTGTTCTAACCCGGAATACCCAAGTGGTGACCTCTGTCGGTTGTTGGGGACCTGTTCTAACCCGGAAACCCAAGGGATGACCTGTATCGGTTGATGGGGACCTGTTCTAACCCGGAATACACAAGGGATGACCTGTATCGGTTGGTGGGGACCTGTTCTAACCCGGAAACCCAAGGGATGACCTGTATCGGTTGATGGGGACCTGTTCTAACCCGGAATACCCAAGTGGTGACCTGTATAAGTTAGTGGGGACCTGTTCTAACCCGGGATACCCAAGGGATGATATGTATAGGTTTGTAGGGACCTGTTCTAACCCGGAATACCCAAGGAGTGACCTGTATAGGGTACCGGGGACCTTCTAACCCTTAATACCTAAGGGACCAGTATAGGGTACAGGGGACCTGTTGTAACCCTGAATACCCAAGGGGTGACCTGTATAGGTTGCTGTGGGATCAGTTCTAACCCAGATTCTCCAGGGGCGAAATTCATGTTTTTACCGATGAAAAAACAATTACAAATCATTATGAACGTTATCAGAGGTGTTTGTTTAAATGAGAAGTACAATGTGTTGTTTTCAACAACAACATGTTTGGGACAACAAAAATGTGCTGTTTCAGGAAGCGTCTTTTTAGTATTTGAACATCAGCAAGTCTTGGACCGAGGCTGATTTTCTTGGGAAATGAAGATGATAATTTAATTCAAATTAATAATAATTTAACAAATTCAATTGGACGGGTTTAAAAAAAATGCAAATTGTGTATTGTGGCGGGCTCTGCCGGTAAGGCAGGACATGCCTACCCTTACACCCGATGTCATCACTGATTTTCAGCGATCCATTCATATAATTTTGATCGCTATTTTTTATTTACGCCCAACTGAGTGAGTCAAGAAAATGCCTCGCTCTTTTAACCCTGTGCATCCGAAATGAATCAAGCTATACTATGAGCGTAGTTTGTTATCCCAGCATTTAATTCTCAGCATTAAACTACCTTTCTGATTCATTAATGTAGAAACGATTGCTGCATCCCCCTGCGACTTATTTACAGATATCTGAACATGTTTGACCGATTACTTCATCACTGCAGGGCTGATGACGGGACGTTCCAGACGGACACGTTGATGACGGCGAGCGTAGTGCAGGTGGTGGCAGCGACGTTCCTGATCACGGCAAAGGCTGACGTGGAGATACGCGAGGAACAAGGCGAGGGGACGGTGATATCGGGGGTGTACAAAACAGCCGGCAACTCAGGAAGCGTCACGTACACATTGGAGGGTGAGTCACGTACACGCTGGAGGGTGAGTCATGAGACGCTGGAGGGTGAGTCACATACACACTTGAGGGTGAGTCACGTAGACGCTGTAAGGTGGTCACTTACACACTTGAGGGTGAGTCACGTAGACACTGTAAGGTGGTCACTTACACACTTGAGGGTGAGTCACGTAGACGCTGTAAGGTGGTCACTTACACACTTGAGGGTGAGTCACGTAGACGCTGTAAGGTGGTCACTTACACACTTGAGGGTGAGTCACGTAGACGCTGTAAGGTGGTCACTTACACACTTGAGGGTGAGTCACGTAGACGCTGTAAGGTGGTCACTTACACACTTGAGGGTGAGTCACGTAGACGCTTAAGGTGGTCACTTACACACTTGAGGGTGAGTCACGTAGACGCTGTAAGGTGGTCACTTACACACTTGAGGGTGAGTCACGTAGACGCTGTAAGGTGGTCACTTACACACTTGAGGGTGAGTCACGTAGACGCTGTAAGGTGGTCACTTACACACTTGAGGGTGAGTCACGTAGACGCTGTAAGGTGGTCACTTACACACTTGAGGGTGAGTCACGTAGACGCTTAAGGTGGTCACTTACACACTTGAGGGTGAGTCACGTAGACGCTGTAAGGTGGTCACTTACACACTTGAGGGTGAGTCACGTAGACGCTGTAAGGTGGTCACTTACACACTTGAGGGTGAGTCACGTAGACGCTGTAAGGTGGTCACTTACACACTTGAGGGTGAGTCACGTAGACGCTGTAAGGTGGTCACTTACACACTTGAGGGTGAGTCACGTAGACGCTGTAAGGTGGTCACTTACACACTTGAGGGTGAGTCACGTAGACGCTGTAAGGTGGTCACTTACACACTTGAGGGTGAGTCACGTAGACGCTTAAGGTGGTCACTTACACACTTGAGGGTGAGTCACGTAGACGCTGTAAGGTGGTCACTTACACACTTGAGGGTGAGTCACGTAGACGCTGTAAGGTGGTCACTTACACACTTGAGGGTGAGTCACGTAGACGCTGTAATGTGGTCACGTACACGCTGGAGGGTGAGTCATGTAGACGCTGGAGGGTGAGATACGTAGACGCTGGAGGGTGAGTCACGTACACGCTGGAGGGTGAGTCAAGTACACAGCAATGCGCTGTGCAGGGCACGCCAAAAAACCTATGGCCGTGGACCGGATTCGAATCCCGGTTTGGCCCGATTGTGTTTCTAGGTTTGTCAGCACCATACCCGTGCTCGTGTGTTTCACCAAAGTCATAAACGTCTGAGACCTGCATCACTCCGAGCTCTCCTCCCACATCAAGCTGGCACGCCGTTATATAACTGGAATACTGTTGAAAGCAGCGTAGAACCCAACACACTCACTAATGATTGGACAAATCAAGCCTTGGTTCTCTGGAGACGCTATGTGCTTCAACATCACGAGTAGAGGTCCTATTTGCACCTTAATGGTATTTACATAATGCTGAACATTTCTCAAACCTACCGATAATCCTTGATCAGTGTTTTATGTTCCCAGATCAGTATATTTCGAGTTTTTGTATATATCCAAAACGTTGCCTCGTGTTCTTAACACATACGATATGTACTCAGCGGCAAGAGTTATCGTGTCATGCAAAAAACAAACAGAATTTGCCTGTACTGCCGTATTCCTCTATACTCGTGTATATTTATACCGTATACCGTTATACCATGTATGTTTATACCATATACCTTTATACCTATGTCTATTTATACCGTATACCATTATACCTGTGTATATGTATACCATATACCGTAATGCCATGTATGTTGATACTATATATCTTTATACTCGTGTATATTATACCATATACCTTTATACCGTATACCTTTCTATCATGTATATTTAATCCGTATACCTTTATACCCACGTATATTAATACCGTATACCTTCATACGCGTGTATATTATACCGTATACCTTTATACCCGTGTACATGTATACTGTATACCTTTCTATCATGTATATTTAATCCTTATACCTTATACCCATGTATATTATACCGTATACCTTTAAACTCGTGTATATTATATCGTATACCTTTATACCCGTGTACATTTATACCGTATACCTTTCTATCATGTATATTTAATCCGTATACCTTTATACCCGCGTATATTTACCCCTATACCTTTATACCCGTGTATATTATACCGTATAACTTTATACCATGTATATTATACCGTATACCTTTATACCCGTGTTCATTTATACCGTATACCTTTCTATCATGTATATTTAATCCGTATACCTTTATACCCGTGTATATTAATACCATATACCTTTATACATGCATGTTTATAACCTATACCATTATACTATGTATGTTTGTACCGTATACCTTTATACCGTGTACCTTTATATCCGTGTATATTAATATCGTATATCTTGGTACCCATGTATGTTTATACCGTATACCTTTATACCCGTGCATATTTATACGATATTCCTTTATACCCATTTATCTTTATACCCGTGTATCTTTATACCCGTGTAGGCACGAACGCCAACAGGCTGTCAGTAGACCCTGCTTCTGGTGAAATAACCTACAGCTCCGAACGCATTGACCGCGACGGTGGCGGCATGACGACGTTGGCGGACATCACCTTGAAGGGAGTGGACGGCCTCGGTGCGGAGTCAACAGCGGCACTCAGCTTCATCGTCACCGACATCAACGACAACGCCCCCGTGGCGACTGACATGGCCCCGACGATACAAGTTCAGGAAAACTCCGCCAATAGTAAGCTCATCGACTGCGTTCGTTTCATTACTGATGTCTTTCTATTAAATTAACAACTATTTGCGGCCCGGGTGACCCCGTCGTCTAAGGCCGTCGTCTCAGGCCGTGAAATTCGCTGTTCAGACTTGCGTCCCTTTGATCGTGGGTTCGAATCCCGGTAAGCCCCGATTATATATCTAGATTTGTCAACTCCATACCCGTATTCGTGGATTTCATGAACAAAGGTTAACGTCTGATAGCTGCGTCACTTTTGGGTTTCCTCCCTTATTAACCTTGAATGTTGTTTAAAGCGGCGCTAAACCCAACTCACTCACTCACCCATTCTCTCGAATGCTGGTAATGATGCAGTAGTTGTCAATGTCAAGGTCATTTGATGCCTGCTTCGACACACTGCACTGATACGTTATCTAAATTAGTTGCAGAATGAAAACATTTACTGCGGGAGTATATACTTTCAGATCAACAAATTCTGTCGCTGACGATGAGCGACGCGGATGACGGTGACAACGCTGTCATCACTCTCAGTATCGACAGCGGCGACACAGACAACGTGTTCAGCATCACAAACCATGACCTCTACGTCAACGGCGGCAGCGTGGACTACGAATCCCTGCCTGCAACCAAGACGTACAGTCTGGTGCTGTTAGCCGTGGATAACCCGACGTCAGCACGCGCTATGACGTCGGCTATCCGCGTCACTGTTGAGGTGAGCGAGTTAGTTTGATTTAACGCCGCTGCTAGCAGTATTTCAGTTATGTCAGGGCGTTACTGCTTGATGTGGGAGGAAACCCCGAAGTGATGCAGGTCTTAGACGTCTGAGATGTTTACCACTTTGATGAAACCCACTGGCACAGGTATAGTGCTGGCAAGCCTAGACACGAAGAGCTAAGTGTGATCAGAAGCCGCGAACATAGGTTTCTGGCACGACCAAGGGACGCAACTCGATCTGAGGCGCCCTTGCCAACTGGGCCCCCTGTTGAGTGAGTGAGTGAGTGAGTGAGTGAGTGAGTGAGTGAGTGAGTGAGTGAGTGAGCAATATTCCACCAATATATTGGCTCCACACAATGCACCCATGTAGGGAATCGAACCCGGGTCTTCGGCGTGTCGAGCGAACGCTTTAACCACCAGACTACCCCACCGCCCCGTACAAATTAACACAGAGATAACGTTTTAATTTTGCCAGTCCGATCAAAAATTCCGTTTGCAAGAAGGGGAGCACAATTGATGACCATGGCGCTGTTTTTCTTGCCTGAAAGTCTTAACCCCAAATTTCACAGATATGTTATCAATGAGGAAATTTAGCATTTCACATATTTCACAACTTCAGATGACATGTGCTTTCATTTTTGACAAATTCTTGAAGTAAATCGCCTGTGAGGACCAACATAGGTGCTGGGGATTAGTTCTAGGTATCGGTACAGGTCGCATGTTGTGCTGTGAAGTACATCACAGTCACCACCCGCCTTCATTGTTGCGCCCGGAGAGCGGAAGGTCCGGGGTCCTGCGTCATATCACAATACGTTAAAAGATGGTACATAGTATTGGCGCTCGGCATGAAGGGGCTAAAACAAGGACTGGTCGGCTCGGAGTCAGTATTCTGTGTCTGAATGGGGTATTCTTGAAAAAAACGGCGTCATACCATAATACGTTAAAAGATGGTACATGGTCTTGGCGCTCAGCATGAAGGGGCTAAAACAAGGACTGGTTGGCTCGGAGTCAGTATACTGTGTCTGAATGGGGTATTCTTGTTAAAACTGCGGCATGGTATCTCAGTGGCCTAGCACTATAAAATCGGCATTTTTCGGGACTAGTACAAGCAGCCACACATGTGCATGCAGGTCGCTATATAAGCGCAATAATCTTGGACGCGACGTTAAACCCCATTTCACCTCACCTCGTTTCATTGATGCAGATTCTGGGTGAGAACGAGTTCGAACCCTCATGGACCTCCCCGACCCCCGGGGCCGGTTCCACCTTCCCCGAGGTGACCATCAAGGAGTCAGCCACCCTGGGGCAGACTGTGGAGACGTTTGTAGCCACGGACAACGACGGCGGCGATGACGGATTGATCACATACAGCGTCCTTGACATCAAGAATCGTGAGTGGAAACTTTTACAAAAATATATCTTCATTTCATAAAATAGCCTGTAATATGAGCGATACTCATTCTAGATTATTCAAGTATGTATTAAATTTCCATTTTGTAATTATTATAATTATCGCCGCTGTACCTCCGCCTTGTGACCGGATTGAACAAAGCCTGTGAAGTGACGCAAGGTCAAGGTCGTTATTTACACAAGAGGCACGTCTACATCGAGCGAAAGTACCACTTTACTCACAAGAGTAAATATATTGCGAACACCTGGTGTCATCACTGATTTTCAGTGATCAATTCATGTAATTTTTATCCTTTATATATTTTGCCCTTTGCGCCCATTTGAACCTGTTATTCTGTGGCGTAAATAAATAAATAAATAATGTCCTCGTGTCCACCCCCAAATAAATAAATGAATGAATGAATGAATGAATGAATGAATGAATGAATGAATGAATGTCCTCGTGTTTCAACCCCAAATAAATAAATAAATAAATAAATAAATGTTCGTTGGACAACAATACGCTGTAAAACGTCCAGATAACATTATGCTGTAAAATTCTTGTTCAATGTTGGACTCCATCACAGAAAGTTTTGAATCAGTAACCATCAATAAATCCTGCCAAATAACGATCCCAACATTAGAATATAAAATAGTGGTTCCCTCATCCCACTGCACAGATGTTATCTTCTGCAGCTTCTAGCATCAGCGTAACGGGCAAGTTTGTGATGACGACAGACGGGCGTCTGGTGGTGGCGTCCCTGCTGGACTACGACGCCGACACTGGCGGAGTGGACTACTACATCGTCACCGTCGCCGCCAGCGACAGCAGCAGCACCAACGTGAAGAGCACCACCGGCAATGTCAAGGTCATTCTGGAGGATGTTGAAGTGGAGAATGTCATTAGTAAGTGTTCTTATCACGGAGGGGGCGGTGGGGTAGCCAAGCATTCGCTTGTCCGGAATGACCGTGTTCGATTCCCCAGATGGATACATGAAGCCAACTTCTTGTGTTGTCCAACCGCCTCCGTGGTCTAGTGGTAGAGCGTCCGCCCAAAGAGCGGAAGGTCCGGGGTTCCATCCCTGGCCGCGTCATATCAAAAGATGGTACTTGTTGTTACCCTGTCTGGCGCTCGGCATTAAGGGTCTAAAACAAGGACTGGTCGGTTCGGAGTCAGTATACTGTGTCTGAGTGGGGTATTCATGTTACGCTGCGGCATGGAAACGACATCTCAGTGGGCTAGCACTATAAATCGGCTTCAGTCCGGACTAGTACAAGCAGCCACACACACGTGCATGCACGTCGCTATATAAGTGCTGTTATCCAATTTCACATCACCTTCTCCTCTGGTATTCTCTGCCGTAAAATTGATGCAGTATTTACAAATGCATCGTTATAACATATCAAGCTATGGGATTCGTTGATTTACATTTCGCAGGCTAAATTTGTCACTAATCTGTTTTATATTAATCATGATTTATGTCTCTAACTTTTCACCATACATTTCAAAAAGGGTATGTGATGTTGGCCTGTACAGCCCACCTTACATGTGGTCTGCCAGGTACATCCTGGGCGCTGGCACATGCAGTCTTTGCAGTTGTTGTAAAGGCAGGTCACGTGACATAGGTTGGACAATCTTCCTTATGGCATATAATTTGTTATAATTGACAGATCTTTTCCAAGATAATAAATGTACACATCGGCCAGAGCACGATTCATGTTGTTCCTCGGACATACATGTAAATGTACAGTAAAGTTGTTCAGTATGAGTTATTGTTCTAAAGGGACCCGTTTAAGATCCGGGTTGGAATAGGTCTTCAGCAACCCATGTTTGCTGTGAAAGGCAACTGTAAACGTAAATAATCGAGTTTGGACCAGACAATCCAGTGATTGACATCAAGAGCATGGATCCAAGTTAATTGTGATACGATAACATGCATTAACCATGTCTGCGAGCCTGACTGCCCGATCCCGTTAGTCGCCTCTTACGACAAGCATGGGTTTCAGAAGACCTATTCTAGCGTGGATCTTCACGGCTAAACTTGTCCTTGAGATTATGAGAGTAACGCGTACGTTTCCCATTAAGAGCATCGTAAGAGCATTTTGTCTTGAGAGTAATTTGTCTTAATGAAAGCATATTACCCTGAGACACACACGCACGTACACGCACGCTCGCACGCACTAGCGACTATCTAATAATCTAATAAGATGGAGAGTTCCACTGTTGACCAGTAGCTAATGCCCTGCCTGTTTTGTCCTATAATGTAGCTAACGCCCTGCCTGTTTTGTCCTATGATGTAGCTAATGCCCTGCCTGTTTTGTCTTATGATGTAGCTAATGCCCTGCCTGTTTTGTGCTATGATGTAGCTAATGCCCTGCCTGTTTTGTCCTATAATGTAGCTGATACCCTGCCTGTTTTGTCTTATGATGTAGCTAATGCCCTGCCTGTTTTGTCCTATGATGTAGCTAATACCCTGCCTGTTTTGTCCTATGATGTAGCTAATGCCCTGTCTGTTTTGTCCTATGATGTAGCTAATGCCCTTCCTGTTTTGTCCTATGATGTAGCTAATGCCCTGTCTGTTTTGTCCTATGATGTAGCTAATGCCCTGCTTGTTTTGTCCTATGATGTAGCTAATGCCCTGTCTGTTTTGTCCTATGATGTAGCTAATGCCCTGCCTGTTTTGTCCTATAATGTAGCTAATGCCCTGCCTGTTTTGTCCTATGATGTAGCTAATACCCTGCCTGTTTTGTCTTATAATGTATCTAATGCCCTGCCTGTTTTGTCCTATAATGTAGCTAATGCCCTGTCTGTTTTGTCCTATGATGTAGCTAATGCCCTTCCTGTTTTGTCCTATGATGTAGCTAATGCCCTGTCTGTTTTGTCCTATAATGTAGCTAATGCCCTGCTTGTTTTGTCCTACAATGTAGCTAATGCCCTGTCTGTTTTGTCCTATAATGTAGCTAATGCCCTGCTTGTTTTGTCCTATAATGTAGCTAATGCCCTGCCTGTTTTGTCCTATGATGTAGCTAATGCCCTTCCTGTTTTGTCCTATGATGTAGCTAATGCCCTGTCTGTTTTGTCCTATAATGTAGCTAATGCCCTGCTTGTTTTGTCCTACAATGTAGCTAATGCCCTGTCTGTTTTGTCGTATACTGTAGCTAATGCCCTGTCTGTTTTGTCCTATAATGTAGCTAATGCCCTGCCTGTTTTGTCCTATGATGTAGCTAATGCCCTGCCTGTTTTGTCCTATGATGTAGCTAATGCCCTGCATGTTTTGTCCTATGATGTAGCTAATGCCCTGCCTGTTTTGAACCATGATGTAGCTAATGCCCTGCCTGTTTTGAACCATTATGTAGCTAATGCCCTGCCTGTTTTGTCCTATGATGTAGCTAATGCCCTGCCTGTTTTGTCCTATAATGTAGCTAATGCCCTGCCTGTTTTGTCCTATGATGTAGCTAATACCCTGCCTGTTTTGTCTTATAATGTATCTAATGCCCTGCCTGTTTTGTCCTATAATGTAGCTAATGCCCTGTCTGTTTTGTCCTATAATGTAGCTAATGCCCTGCTTGTTTTGTCCTATAATGTAGCTATTGCCCTGTCTGTTTTGTCCTATGATGTAGCTAATGCCCTTCCTGTTTTGTCCTATGATGTAGCTAATGCCCTGTCTGTTTTGTCCTATAATGTAGCTAATGCCCTGCTTGTTTTGTCCTACAATGTAGCTAATGCCCTGTCTGTTTTGTCGTATACTGTAGCTAATGCCCTGTCTGTTTTGTCGTATACTGTAGCTAATGCCCTGTCTGTTTTGTGCTATGATGTAGCTAATGCCCTGCCTGTTTTGTACTATAATGTAGCTAATGCCCTGCCTGTTTTGTCCTATAATGTAGCTAATGCCCTGTCTGTTTTGTGCTCTGATGTAGCTAATGCCCTGTCTGTTTTGTCCTATAATGTAGCTAATGCCCTTCCTGTTTTGTCCTATGAAGTAGCTAATGCCCTGTCTGTTTTGTCGTAGTCGTGTCCCAGGTGGAGGAGGCCGATGAGTCTCAGCTGTGGGTGATGAGGGCGTTTGTGGCCGTCCTCTGTGTGGGCGTCCTCGTCCTTGCCGGCGTCATGCTGAAGGGGATTATGTAAGTAAAACGTCATCATACAAATCCTTCAATACCCACACCCCATCATGGTTTACCGGAAGTTGTCCGAAGTTATAAGTCCTCAGCATGAGAGGGCACGGGTGGTCCAAGGGTAGTCCAGGGGTGGTCCACGGATTGTCCAATAGTGGCCCCAGGGTGGTCTACGGATGGTCCAATAGTGGTCCAGGGGTGGTCCACGGATGGTCGAATAGTGGTCCAGGGTGGTCTACGGATGGTCGAATAGTGGTCTAGGGGTGGTCCACGGATGGTCGAATAGTGGTCCAGGGGTGGTCCACGGATGGTCGAATAGTGGTCCAGGGTGGTCGAATAGTGGTCCACGGATGAGCCAATAGCGGTCCAAGGGTGGTCCACGGGTGGTCCAAGGGTGGTCCAAGGTAATCAAAGAGTGGTCCACGGGTGGTCCAGGGAGCCGCCGGAGCTGGCTGTACAGGGTCGTGTCCTGTAGGCGTACAAGAAACATATTATCCTGGGAACAAATTCCGGTTCTCCCTGCTAATGTTTCTAAGTTTGTCAGCAGCATATCCGTGCTCTTGGTTTCACCGGAGTGAACATTAAAACCTGCATCCATTCGGGATGACACTCACAAGCTCACACTGAAATAGCTGAAGTACTGTTCAAAGTGACGTTAAACCAAACTCACTCAACCACCAGTTCCAGCGACCGTTAAAGCTGTCTTAGAGCTACGACTGTTGTGAATCTATGTAAATATGGAAGTTAGGATCGCCTAAGTGCTGTGGTCGCTTTGTCGAACGAGGGCCAGGGTGTCTTTGTACAAAACAACCTTAGCATACGACTGTCGTAAGTCTATGTTAAGGTATGGGAGTTACCATCATCTTAACGCTAAGCTCGCTTTGAGTAACGGTCCCCCTTTTGCCACCCGGCTTTGTCTTGAGTCAAAATGAGATAACGCTAAAAATAGCCGTCCAATCAAATCGTTCTCGTGAGCAACGGACATTGATATTGACATGTGACGTCACTTCCGTAAACAAAGCTAAGGTAGTGAATCGAACCAAGGTATTTATCTTGTCTGTTTGTTTGTTGTTTTACGCCGCACTGAGCAATATTCCAGCTATATGACGGCGGTCTGTAAATAATCGAGTCTGGACCAGACAATCCAGTGATTGACATCATAAGCATCAACCAAGTCAGCGAGCCTGATCACCCGATCTCGTTAATCGCCCCTTACGCCAAGCACAGTTGTCTTTCAGGGCAAGTATGGTTTGCTGAAGACCTATTCTACCCCGGATCTTCACGAGTCGGGTATTTATCTAATAGAAGCGAGATTCTGTATAATTGTTTCTATCGGATCTGTTTCAGAGCAAATGCTTCTTCATCACCAACTGTCAGCAGTAAGTATTTCCATCAGCGTACCCAGCTTTTCAGTTTGATTAAAATAGACAGTACTGATAATTTATGGTTCACGAATTTTTACTTACCAGTTAGCCTGGGCCGACCAAGATGTAAAAAGGAATAAGGTCTTTATTTTTTTCTTTTTATTTGGCCTGAAATTGTTTAGGTATGTCGGTTTAGTGATGAATTTGTGGCACGTGTTTCTGTGTACTGCAATAAGGTCACAATCAGGCGAAGATAAGCATCGTTGATCGCGGAGAGTAGGTGGATGGGTGACTTGAGACTCATGAGAGTTTCTAGGGCTTCGGCCCTGACTCAAACAGAAATATATGTTCCATGTGGCGTCTCCTTGGGCAAGTGAATGGGTACCCGGTAGGATGAGATGGTAATGGTTATTAATGGCATACAATGTATCTGTGCAATCGGTGTGTACACAGTTAACAGATGCTTTAACTGTTCCATAATTATCACTTGTGATACATGTACTCCACTCGTCTGTGCAGAGTTGCGTCTCTTGCGCGAGCCAGAAATCCCAGATTTGATCATTTTTTAGGTTTGTCAGCACCATGCCAGTGTTGGTAGATTCCAGAAATTACTGCACTAAACCCTGCACCACCGAGGACACCACTCATTTAACTGCAACACTGACCAAGCAGTTGTTAAATCAAACCCACTTCTTATTTCAGGAAAGGTTGCACCTACACAGGAGATGGAGCGATCCATCTCGACGACGCCCCACATGTCCCTCCAATCTGTGGTGAGTCTCTGGCAAACCCCGTGATTCCTCCAAAGTATCATGAATACAACCAAAATGTAAAGAAAGCCGCAAAACCCTTTCCATGTCCAATACAAACACTGCAGAAGGCGGGGTCGATTGTACGATTCCGACTATATCATGAGCATGTGTTTATGAATCACTATCAAATAGAGATGAAATCAGGTGTTCGAGAAAAAGTGTGCGTATCCTGCCCCGCGCGAGACACCCGTCACAAACACATGCAAAGGCAAGTCAATTGTTCACCTGAAAGAACACGAGAACATATGGTACAAGTCAAAATAGGGAATTGCATCGGACATCATTTTTTTGACTGATTTAGAAATGTCCAAATTTATGTAAGAAAGTAAGTTCAGAATGGACTTCAAAATATATTTTGCGTCTATGGTGGTGTAAATTGTTTAAATCCGCGATGTCTCCATAAACGCAAAAAACAACACATTGAAGCATTATAAATATACAACAATAATAACTACTGCTCATTTAATCATTAACAGACAAAGCTGTAATCAGCAATACAAAATCTGTGATATCATTCAGCGCAGTAATGCAACACAAGCCCCGCCCCTTCTATTATCAGCCTATCAAAGAAATAGTTGCTGGTTAGTGGGTGTGGCCACTCTTTAGTGGGCGTGGCCTATACATTTATTATGGTATATGGAAACATAAACACAAAAATTTGATTGGTTAACCAATTAAAGACTTCCATTGCTTGTCCTCAATAACCGATGGTTGTTGCAGGAGTCTACTTATGGGGATCAGGCGATTGTTGATTGCATGTTATTTTTCCATGATGGCGTGGATCGTTGTTCATGCTTTCAGTCACTGGTTTGGCTGGTCCAGACTTGATTAATCACATTTCGCCGTTATATAGCTGGGATATTTCTGACTGGGCTGGTACAAGGAACTCACTTAACTTATATAGATTGGAATTATGACAGCATTGGCACGCCATAATTCAGTACCATTTTATTCTTTGTCATCGTCAATGACAGTTTCCATCTTTTTCGCAAGTATAAAACCTTTCAAAACGTAATTTTGTGTGATGAAACATTACATCTTCCCGAGGCAAGGGAAAGCAACTGACTGTAAAAGTCCTGGAAACTGGACTTTTGTCGTCCGTTAACACCCTTGCCTGGAAACTGGACTTTTGTAGTCCGTTAACACCCTTGCCTGGAAACTGGACTTTTGTAGTCCGTTAACACCCTTGCCTGGAAACTGGACTTTTGTAGTCCGTTAACACCCTTGCCTGGAAACTGGACTTTTGTCGTCCGTTAACAGCCTTGCCTGGAAACTGGACTTTTGTAGTCCGTTAACAGCCTTGCCTGGAAACTGGACTTTTGTAGTCCGTTAACAGCCTTGCCTGGAAACTGGACTTTTGTAGTCCGTTAACAGCCTTGCCTGGAAACTGGACTTTTGTAGTCCGTTAACAGCCTTGCCTGGAAACTGGACTTTTGTAGTCCGTTAACAGCCTTGCCTGGAAACTGGACTTTTGTAGTCCGTTAACAGCCTTGCCTGGAAACTGGACTTTTGTCGTCCGTTAACACCCTTGACTCGGGAAGATGGAAACATGTAAGTAGCACTGACACATTCGCAAATAGTTTTCAGAATGATTAATTGAACAATTCTTATATCAATTCAGCGCATGGACGAAGAAGAAGACCAATTAAGCTGGATGAAAAATCAGTAGGTAGATAAGCACATTGTTCTCTCACATTGTTCTATCGCGAAGCAGCGGCCATCTTGACGAACTAACATGTTGCAGTAACCTTTAAGATGAATAACGTACTGCCTTTCTAGAATAAACGTTAATCTCGACATACCACCTTTCTCGTATTAGCGCCTTTCTTGACGTTCCACCTCCAATTAACGTGTGTCTTGACGTTCCACCTCGAATTAACGTGTGTCTTGACGTTCCACCTCGAATTAACGTGTCTTGACTTACCACCTCGAATTAACGTGTGTCTTGACTTACCACCTCGAATTAACATGTGTCTTGACGTTCCACCTCGAATTAACGTGTCTTGACTTACCACCTCGAATTAACGTGTGTCTTGACTTACCACCTCGAATTAACATGTGTCTTGACTTACCACCTCGAATTAACGTGTCTTGACTTACCACCTCGAATTAACGTGTGTCTTGACTTACCACCTCGAATTAACGTGTGTCTTGACTTACCACCTCGAAATAACGTCTGTCTTGACTTACCACCTCGAATTAACGTTTCTTGATCCTTGAGGTACCACATATGTCGAATTAACGTGTCTTGATATACCACCTCGAATTAACGTCTGTCTTGACGTTCATATGTTGTGTCATCTGTTAATAGGTTGTGAAACACATGTTTGTTCATATGTTACGCAATCTGTTCACCTGTCGTGTAATATGGTAAAATGTTGTGTAGTATATTCAAATGTGACAATTTAGCTTAGAATGCAGTCGCGGATTTGCAATAATGAAACTGACAAAATATTTCACTAACATATCTATTGGAGTGTCTTGTGTCATTTTTATTTAATAATTAAAAAAATGACATGTACATTCTTTGTCATGGGTTAAATGTTATAATAACTTACTTGAAACTGGTGATTGTCAGACTATTTTTCTGATGAACACTTTTATGTTAGCCGCCTTTAATTTTAATTACTAAATTGATAACATTGTCAAAACATATGTTTTTTTTTTTTTCAGGGCCGCATCAGGGAGGTTGGATTTGTGAACCATCTCAACTCGAAAAAAGGTTACAAGAAGATAGCAAGGATGTCTTCTGATTGTCATCATATGGCGTTGATATGACTTCACGTTGCAAATGACATCCTTGCACAAAGGAAAATCTTGAAAAAAAACCGCGTGAACCGGTTAACGTGAGATAAATATATAAAGCTCAGTGAAAATGACAACAACGAACTGAACCGCTGCCCTTGTCTCTATTGGTAATTGTCCATTCTTGATACCTACATGTACATGTATATACTAATGAACAACTTGAGTAATGGACATATTACTAGGGTTATTGTAAAACTGGGTTTCAGTTTGTTACAATGATGAAGTGCGCAATGCACCATGTTGTGACACCCAGTCTATGTCTTGACCTTGTACTGTGTGACGCGTGAAACGCGTTGTTGCTGTTAGTATTAACAGTGATTTCGTAATATCAGCCGTTACTAAAATATAACATACAATGACTGTCAATTGACGCAATTGTGTTTTTTCTCATTTCTGATGGAAATATTTAATATTATTTTGTTGTTGTTGTGGGTCTAGGCGGGTTTTATTGTTCTAAGACTTCTTTAATATACAAACATTATTGGCACATGTCATTCGGCACCACTCGACCATTTCCGTAATCTGCGGAAGTGTGACCGATGGTCACCAGTGGAATGTATGTATTATAATGAGGAAGGCAAGTAATTAATATTTTGACGTGAATATCTGTATAATTTAATGTTTGTCATTTATGAATATGTGAATAACCTTTGTGATCATATTCAAATGAACCAACAGTACTTGCTTGTGTAAATAGAAATATTTGTGAAAACTGTAATATAACTTGAAACTCACATGCATGTGAATAGTTCTGTAATAACAACCTGCGGAAACCTGATGGATTTGAAATGGAACTACAATGTGAGAGTAAACAGGCAGGGTGTATTATTATTGATATTGTCCCACCAGAACGCTTGTCTCTATGGATTACACGATTAGATAATCCCCAAGACGATTAACCGAGGTTCACTGTCGTAAATGTTTGAACCATTTCCTGTGTATATTAAATATCGAGCGTGTGTCTAATAAAATGGACTAAACGTCAGTGTGTGTCTGATCCTGTTTTAAAGGGCGCTATCGAGGGATACTCAAAGACTGGAAACCTAAAGTAACACGTGACCTTGACGTCACAATGGTCGTTTTTTCACTACACCAATGATATATAGTGTTTATGAACACCTTGTAAAAAAACTTGTGGATGGAAAACGCCAATGACGTTAAAATAGAACAATGATATGAGACTCATTTTGGGTTTCAGCTGCGTTTGGTACGAGCGCTTGATGGCTTGGTTTTATTAATTATGACAATGTTTGGGAAAATGGCCACCTCCTTGGTTCAGTGATGTACTTACTATGCAGCTCGTACCTTCGACTGAATGAATGCTGTTTTAAGTCACATTCAGCAATGCTACAGTTATAATGCTACCATAAAAGTGACCATAGTGTACACAATGAAAACTCGTTAAAGGGGAAGTGTACACGCAAAAATCACTTTCTTTCTTTTTCTAAACAAAACGCAATTTTAGAATTAATTAGTATCTGTGTTTGAAAATATACACTCATTTTTTTCACAGAGAAAGTAGGAAGCTCACAATAGTGTGAAAATGATATGCCGTTATGAGGCCTTCGTTTTTCGAGCTAAACAGGCCTGAGTTATCCCCCTTAGATTATGACGTAATTGGTGCCAATTCAACTGGGTCCCTGTCTATTCTCAACGCAAAAGATATCAAGTACCAGTTTGCGGTAAAACAACATGGCCTACGACACACTCCGGCGCAGTGGTGACTCAGCATAACACTATGCTGGCTGGCATCTGAGACGCTAAAATCACACACATAGACCTACACCACGTGAAGCGGCTCTAACAAAGCATGATGACGTCATAATGTTTATCAATTGGCACCAATGACGTCATATTGCAAGGGGCATAAGCCATGGTGTTTTTGTTGTGGAAATAGAACACTTGGTAAATGTGAAAAATATAAATCGTTTTAATGCGAAAAATATGTTAATTAATTGTGATATTTTTATATTTTTGTCTATGACACTTCTAGGTTAACACTTTTAATGTGGAAAAAGTACAAGAAAAATAGGTTAATTTCCGTGTGAACTTGCCCTTTAATCGAAAAAAGTCAAAATACACACGCATAAAAAACTTGACTGCACACCCGCACAAAAAACGTGAGCACAGATATATACCTAACAATCGTCATACGATACACCTGTATCACGAGGTACTAATTATGTTGAAAGGTTGTTCTAGATATGATTGTTAAACTATTTACATGTTTGTATGTTTTTTAACGCCGCAATCAGCAATATTCAAGCTTATGACGGCGGTCTGTAAATAATCGTGTCTGGACCAGAAAATCCAGTGCTTGACATTTTGAGTATCGATCTACGTAATTGGGAAACGATGATATGCATCAACCAAGTCAGCGAGTCTGACCACACGATCCGGTTAGTCGCCTCTTACGACAAGCATAGTCAGCTCTTACGACGAGCATAGTCGCCTTTCACGGCCAGCATGGATTGCTGAAGACCTTTTCTCTACGCGGATCTTCACGGGTTATTTTACATGTAGACAGACATACGTGTATGCTTCACGTATTCTAACCAGATCGGGAATCGAATCCGCTTTACTAACCCATCGACCCACCCACCAATCCACTCACTCACTCACTCACTCACTCACCCAAATACCCACCCACCCACTCACTCACTCACTCACCCAAATACCCATCCACCCACCAACTCACTCACCCACCCAACCACCCACCCACCCACTCACTCCCCCAAACACCCACCCACTCACTCACTCACTCACTCACTCACTCACTCACTCACTCACTCACTCACTCACCCACCCACCCACCCACCCACTCACTCAATCACTCAATCACTCAATCACTCACTCACTCACTCACTCACTCACTCTGTACAGTGTAACAATCCTTCGATCTGGGAACATTTGCCACCTCATTAATTCCCCTGACTATCAAATCCCATGTACACGAATCTCCCTAAAAACAATTCCCAAGGACGAATATAATGACTAAACAGTTTAAAACAAGTGCTTGATGTATCACTCGACGCGAGGACCTGAGCACCGAGTTGCCTCATTTGTATTTCACAAAAGAAAAACCAGAGATCATATAAAGATATTCTACAGTTGCCAGGCTATCACAGCGATCAATGTCCATTCATTTGGATGAAAGATTACACAGGGATTACCAAGCATGCATGACCCCATGCAATCCCCAGTACACTTGGTGACAATGAAGGTTCGAGGCACATCCATGTGGGTGAGTATATCCATTACAGAAGCGCATTACGCTTGGAACTGACACTCATATGTCGAACAATATCGTAAACTAACTTGTCATACGTGGCACACACCAATAGTCCGAATCACCAGCAAATCCTGAAATGGAACTATCACAGAGCTGATTAATGAGGAGTTGGTGTCTGAAAGTATCAACCCCGAACCTTCATTTGCATTGACTTACCGCGATGTGTTTTTTGTGTACCGGAAATGCATCGTCATATTAATGTTGAACAAAAAGGTTATACTCTCAAGGCATGAATGAGTTATCAACTCATGCCCTTAACACCTTGTGCATTCGAATTTGTGTTTTCTTTACAAGAATATAGTTCAACATGAGGATGGATAGAAGAATCTGTGGTTTCAAGTGATCGTGAAGTTCAAGTAACAAGATGCCGACATTCAGTGGCAAGGATACAAATCAGATATTCTAAGTATCTTCAGCATATTTCGGAATGAACATTGTCTGGACGCTTGCTTTTCAATGTGGTTTAATCCCGATTGTCATGGGAGGTAAGTCGTACTGTTATAGTTTTTTTAAACCATTAATCATTAACACCAAACTCGTTTTGTAAATTACATTACAAAATTGCATCTTGTTACTATGATTTGTCTAGAAATAGAATATAAGGTGTGGTGAAATATGATTATTAATGATAAATACATGACACTATATATTTGCCAATGATGACGATGAGGAAGAGAAGCTATACCACGATGGTGGCGACGATGATGTAGATAACGATGAAACGGCTTTTCTTCAAAAGAAATTCTTTTGGTGACTTTAAATGATAATCGCCATGCATACCATGTTGCCAGTCCCATATTGCTGTATTTCCAGACACGTGTAAGTATCTGATGAAATATACAGGTAAAGAAGCCACTGTATTGATTTCATTGTGAAAAAATGGTTTATCCTACAATATCAGATGAGGACGAACCTCCTAAATGTGTCGCCTGTGATGACAAGTTCACCGTCAAGCATATTTTGCTTGACTGTGTGAACTTTGCAATCGCAAGAATTTACATTTTCAAACAGTAAATCTGAAAGATGTTTTTTCCCGTGTAAGCGGGCATCTCATTCCCATCTACTTTAAAGAAATTGGTCTGTATCATAAATTTTAAACATGTATGTGAATAACTATTTGCTTGTTTTATAATGTGTGTGATGCGTTTATCAAGAAAGATTATAGAAGACTCTGTCCAGGAGGTTAAAGTACCATGAAATTATTGTCCCCTTGTGTGACACGTAATTCCTGTCATAATTGATGTAACAGTCATCAACCAGTGTTTTAAGCCAACTCAATGCTGAAATTTATTTTATATTGGCTAGTATTGTGAACAAGTATCATGACTAAGGTGTATATATATAAAACGTGTATGGCAGTATGGCTGAAATAATGCCGATGCGACCTTACATTTAAGTTCACTTCCCAAATGTGTACGGACCTTAATATTTTCGCAAGACACTTTTATTGAGAGCATTTTCAATGGTTTGCCTGCAAAAGACAATATGGACTTCTGTGCTTATTATAGGAAAGTGGATCAGCATTATGTCGGACAGTAACTCCTACAAGAAGGTGAATGGGTTTGGGGTGAGAGTGACGGGCGCGAGTCACATGCTGCTGGAGGTGAAGGCGTGTAAAGGAGCGGAGATACAGCTGCAGCAGGATGACACGGGCTCGGGTAAGGATGGATGTATCCGTGGTGGGTGGCGGTGATGGGATTGAGGGACAGACTCGGGTAAGGATGGATGTTCTGTGGTGGGTGGCGGTGATGGGATTGAGGGACAGACTCGGGTAAGGATGGATGTTCTGTGGTGGGTGGTGGTGATGGGGTTGAGGGGAAGACTCGGGTGAGGATGGATGTTCTGTGGTGGGTGGCGGTGATGGGATTGAGGGACAGACTCGGGTGAGGATGGATGTTCTGTGGTGGGTGGCGGTGATGGGATTGAGGGACAGACTCGGGTAAGGATGGATGTTCTGTGGTGGGTGGCGGTGATGGGGTTGAGGGGAAGACTCGGGTGAGGATGGAGGTTCTGTGGTGGGTGGCGGTGATGGGGTTGAGGGACAGACTCGGGTAAGGATGGATGTTCTGTGGTGGGTGGCGGTGATGGGATTGAGGGACAGACTCGGGTAAGGATGGATGTTCTGTGGTGGGTGTCGGTGATGGGGTTGAGGGGAAGACTCGGGTGAGGATGGAGGTTCTGTGGTGGGTGGCGGTGATGGGGTTGAGGGACAGACTCGGGTAAGGATGGATGTTCTGTGGTGGGTGGTGGTGATGGGGTTGAGGGGAAGACTCGGGTGAGGATGGAGGTTCTGTGGTGGGTGGCGGTGATGGGGTTGAGGGACAGACTCGGTCGAGGATGGATGTTCTGTGGTGGGTGGCGGTGATGGGATTGAGGGACAGACTCGGGTAAGGATGGATGTTCTGTGGTGGGTGTCGGTGATGGGGTTGAGGGGAAGACTCGGGTGAGGATGGAGGTTCTGTGGTGGGTGGCGATGATGGGGTTGAGGGACAGACTCGGGTAAGGATGGATGTTCTGTGGTGGGTGGTGGTGATGGGGTTGAGGGGAAGACTCGGGTGAGGATGGAGGTTCTGTGGTGGGTGTCGGTGATGGGGTTGAGGGACAGACTCGGTCGAGGATGGATGTTCTGTGGTGGGTGGCGGTGATGGGGTTGAGGGACAGACTCGGGTAAGGATAGAGGTTCTGTGGTGGGTGGCGGTGATGGGGTTAAGGGACAGACTCGGGTAAGGATGGATGTTCTGTGGTGGGTGGCGTTGAGTGGGTTGAGGGACTGACCCGGGTAAGGATGGATGTCCCGTGGTGGGTGGTGGAGATAGGGTTGAGGGACAGACTCGGGTAAGGATGGATGTTCTGTGGTGGGTGGCGGTGATGGGGTTGAGGGACAGACTCGGGTGAGGATGGATGATTCCTGGTGGGTGGCGGTGTTTTGGGTTGAGGGACAGACTCGGGTAAGGATGGATGTTCTGTGGTGGGTGGCGGTGATGGGGTTGAGGGACAGACTCGGGTAAGGATGGATGTCCCGTGGTGGGTGGCGGTGATGAGGTTGAGGGACAGACTCGGGTAAGGATGGATGTCCCGTGGTAGGTGGCGGTGATGGGGTTGAGGGACAGACTCGGGTAAGGATGGATGTTCTATGGTGGGTGTCGGTGGTTTGGGTTGAGGGACAGACTCGGGTAAGGAATGGATGTTCTGTGGTGGGTGGTGGTGATGGGGTTGAGGGGAAGACTCGGGTGAGGATGGAGGTTCTGTGGTGGGTGGCGGTGATGGGGTTGAGGGACAGACTCGGTCGAGGATGGATGTTCTGTGGTGGGTGGCGGTGATGGGATTGAGGGACAGACTCGGGTAAGGATGGATGTTCTGTGGTGGGTGTCGGTGATGGGGTTGAGGGGAAGACTCGGGTGAGGATGGAGGTTCTGTGGTGGGTGGCGGTGATGGGGTTGAGGGACAGACTCGGGTAAGGATGGATGTTCTGTGGTGGGTGGTGGTGATGGGGTTGAGGGGAAGACTCGGGTGAGGATGGAGGTTCTGTGGTGGGTGGCGGTGATGGGGTTGAGGGACAGACTCGGTCGAGGATGGATGTTCTGTGGTGGGTGGCGGTGATGGGGTTGAGGGACAGACTCGGGTAAGGATAGAGGTTCTGTGGTGGGTGGCGGTGATGGGGTTAAGGGACAGACTCGGGTAAGGATGGATGTTCTGTGGTGGGTGGCGTTGAGTGGGTTGGGGGACTGACCCGGGTAAGGATGGATGTCCCGTGGTGGGTGGTGGAGATAGGGTTGAGGGACAGACTCGGGTAAGGATGGATGTTCTGTGGTGGGTGGCGGTGATGGGGTTGAGGGACAGACTCGGGTGAGGATGGATGATTCCTGGTGGGTGGCGGTGGTTTGGGTTGAGGGACAGACTCGGGTAAGGATGGATGTTCTGTGGTGGGTGGCGGTGATGGGGTTGAGGGACAGACTCGGGTAAGGATGGATGTCCCGTGGTGGGTGGCGGTGATGAGGTTGAGGGACAGACTCGGGTGAGGATGGATGTCCCGTGGTAGGTGGCGGTGATGGGGTTGAGGGACAGACTCGGGTAAGGATGGATGTTCTATGGTGGGTGTTGGTGGTTTGGGTTGAGGGACAGACTCGGGTAAGGAATGGATGTCCCGTGGTGGGTGGCGGTGATGAGGTTGAGGGACAGACTCGGGTGAGGATGGATGTCCCGTGGTAGGTGGCGGTGATGGGGTTGAGGGACAGACTCGGGTAAGGATGGATGTTCTGTGGTGGGTGGCGGTGGTTTGGGTTGAGGGACAGACTCGGGTAAGGAATGGATGTTCTGTGGTGGGTGGCGGTGGTTTGGGTTGAGGGACAGACTCGGGTAAGGAATGGATGTTCTGTGGTGGGTGGCGGTGGTTTGGGTTGAGGGACAGACTCGGGTAAGGAATGGATGTTCTGTGGTGGGTGGCGGTGGTTTGGGTTGAGGGACAGACTCGGGTAAGGAATGGATGTTCTGTGGTGGGTGGCGGTGGTTTGGGTTGAGGGACAGACTCGGGTAAGGAATGGATGTTCTGTGGTGGGTGGCGGTGGTTTGGGTTGAGGGACAGACTCGGGTAAGGAATGGATGTTCTGTGGTGGGTGGCGGTGGTTTGGGTTGAGGGACAGACTCGGGTAAGGATGGATGTTCTGTGGTGGGTGGCGGTGATGGGGTTGAGGGACAGACTCGGGTAAGGATAGAGATTTTGTTATGGTTGGCGGTGATTGGGTTGAGGGACAGACTCGGGTAAGGATAGAGGTTCTGTGGTGGGTGGCGGTGATGGGGTTGAGGGACAGACTCGGGTGAGGATGGATGTCCCCTGGTGGGTGGCGCTGATGGGGTTGAGGGACAGACTCGGGTAAGGATGGATGTTCTATGGTGGGTGTCGGTGGTTTGGGTTGAGGGACAGACTCGGGTAAGGAATGGATGTCCCGTGGTGGGTGGCGGTGATGAGGTTGAGGGACAGACTCGGGTGAGGATGGATGTCCCGTGGTAGGTGGCGGTGATGGGGTTGAGGGACAGACTCGGGTAAGGATGGATGTTCTGTGGTGGGTGGCGGTGGTTTGGGTTGAGGGACAGACTCGGGTAAGGATGGATGTTCTGTTATGGGTGGCGGTGATGGGGTTGAGGGACAGACTCGGGTAAGGATGGATGTTCTGTGGTGGGTGGCGGTGGTTTGGGTTGAGGGACAGACTCGGGTAAGGAATGGATGTTCTGTGGTGGGTGGCGGTGGTTTGGGTTGAGGGACAGACTCGGGTAAGGAATGGATGTTCTGTGGTGGGTGGCGGTGGTTTGGGTTGAGGGACAGACTCGGGTAAGGAATGGATGTTCTGTGGTGGGTGGCGGTGGTTTGGGTTGAGGGACAGACTCGGGTAAGGAATGGATGTTCTGTGGTGGGTGGCGGTGGTTTGGGTTGAGGGACAGACTCGGGTAAGGATGGATGTTCTGTGGTGGGTGGCGGTGATGGGGTTGAGGGACAGACTCGGGTAAGGATAGAGATTTTGTTATGGTTGGCGGTGATTGGGTTGAGGGACAGACTCGGGTAAGGATAGAGGTTCTGTGGTGGGTGGCGGTGATGGGGTTGAGGGACAGACTCGGGTGAGGATGGATGTCCCCTGGTGGGTGGCGCTGATGGGGTTGAGGGACAGACTCGGGTAAGGATGGATGTTCTGTGGTGGGTGGCGGTGATGGGGTTGAGGGACAGACTCGGGTAAGGAATGGATGTTCTGTGGTGGGTGGAGGTGATGGGGTTGAGGGAAGACTCGGGTAAGGATGGATGTTCTGTGGTGGGTGGCGGTGATGGAGTTGAGGGACAGACTCGGGTAAGGATAGAGGTTCTGTTATGGGTGGCGGTGATGGGGTTGAGGGACAGACTCGGGTAAGGATGGATGTTCTGTTATGGGTGGCGTTGATGGGGTTGAGGGACAGACCCGGGTAAGGATTGATGTTCTGTGGTGAGAGTCGGTGATAGGGGTTCAGGGACAGAGTCACAAAGTGGTGGCATTTTAAAGAACTGAGTTACAACTTTAACACGATGGGGGCGTTCTGTGGTGAGAGGCAAGCGTCACTTACAACTAAGACGGGCGGGAACACCACTGTACAGGACATTTAGCTTACATGAACAAACTTGGCATTGGAAAGATCCTGATGACTTTTTTATGTCCTAATGCGTATCCATGCCCATTTGGACACTAATTGAAAATGCATCTTTGCACGAAACGTACCCAGATTAAGCATATTTTCATTTCGAAGTTGCCACGTCTGGATTTAAGTGGAATAGATAGAAGATGAGTTAGCGAGCCAGGCATTAGTTCAGGGAAGTGTCACACGGGTACAGGTGAGGGTTGTGTATAGAGAAGGTTAGATTTTTTTTATAAGGCCGATTTGGTTTGGAGACATTTGACAAACACCAACTTCTGTACAGGGTGTCCTTACCAATCATAATGGGTGCATCACATCTTTCAAAGGTTAAATGACCCATTCTGCCTGTTGTTAACGTGGAAGAAAAGTTTGGTATCTATTCTCCCGTTTTGGACAACTTTATTATTATAAGAATAATGCGTTACCCATCTCTCATCAGGTTCTTGGGTTTACTGCAAACTCGGCGGCGACTTGAACGAGTGGACAGCCATGGCAGCCAGCGAGCTGTGCGACGATGCCGGCTGTGGGTGGCTGGGTTACGACTACCAGCCTGTACTGGACTGTGACAACTTCAAGCCGTTCTGGCTGGCGTGGGACGCTGCCGGGAAGTTCAGTGTTGGAAAAGGGAACGTCCTGGGCTCTGACGTCCTGGTGACGGGGACCGTGACGCCGTTTGACGTCAACTTCTTCATGGTGTCCCACAATGACGCCGACGTTGTAGCAGAATGGAGGATCCTTGTTGGTAGGTAGGATCCGAGTGTAACAGAGTTGTTTGATCATTAGCAATTGCTAGTGATTCCGTGGTATTTGATGGCTAATCAACCCTTCTTTTGTGTTTGTGTTTCCGAGTTTGTTTTTACGCCGCTTTTACCAATATCCCAGCAATATCACGGCGGGGACACCAGAAATGGGCTTCATTTATTGCACATATTTGGGGAATCGAACCCGGATCTTCGCGCGACGAGCGAACGCTTTAACCACTAGGATACCTGACCGCCCCTCAAATCAGAGTATATACATATGATTGATGTGTACTGTGTTACGATCTGATTTCCAAACTGAAACGCAAACGTTAACCCAGAAATATGTTCGTACAGAAATAAATTGTTAAATCAGCAAAAATAGATTTTAGGACAACTCAAGATCAATGAATAATCAACAAACTATATTGAAACACACTATCAGGTTTACAGTCAATGCAATGGGTCACAAGTAAGTTGCAGCAGGAATAGACAACAATAGACAACAAGCTCTATAATATGTTAGTGAACTCACGTGTATCCAGATTTAAGTCAATGTCGAATGTCTTGCAACAGGCCTGTCGCCGTTCGAGAATTCGGAATAGTGATGGAAGCTGGTAGGAAGTTCCCATCCGTACCTGGCAAGTAGATGAGACGCACGTCAGGTCGCAAAGCCTCGAAGCCCCCATGTACCTCTCATATATATATGTATAGCCAGACTTCTAAAAACTGTCCCGTCCCGAGACTTTCCGAACTTGGCAAGTAGATGAGACGCAAGATAGGTCGCAAAAGCCTCGAAGCCCTCTTGTACCTCTCTTATATATGTATAGCCAGACTTCTAAAAACTGTCCTGTCCCGAGACTTCCCGAACTTGGCAAGTAGATGAGACGCACGTCAGGTCGCAAAAGCCTCGAAGCCCTCTTGTACCTCTCTTATATATGTATAGCCAGACTTCAAAAAACTGTCCTGTCCCGAGACTTCCCGAACTTGGCAAGTAGATGAGACGCACGTTAGGTCGCAAAAGCCTCGAAGCCCTCTTGTACCTCTCTTATATACTAGTATGTATAGCCAGACTTCTAAAAACTGTCCCGTCCCGAGACTTCTCGAACGATAAACACTTTCATGCTCACTGACACACAATAACTGAAATCTGGCCACGGCAAGACTCGTTATTTTACTAACGCTTCAATCATGTCCTGCCACTGACAGTCGCCACAATCCATTCATCATTCTCCCATCTCCCCCAGACGAAGCCCCGGCGTTCATCAGCCCCGCGTCAACGGGCACCACCGTAGTCGACGTCAGCGAGGACACTCCCACAGGCGTCATCATCTACACCGTGGCGGGGACGGACAACGAGGGAGACTCACTCACCTTCACGCTTGATACCCATGCTGATGTATTTGAGTTTGTTGGTGGAGGACTGAGGATGCAACAGCCCCTGGATTATGAAACGTTGAACACCTATCGGCTCTTGATCAGGTACATTGAAATGCAGTGCCGTACAGAGTAGATTGAGTTTGTTCAGAAACTGAATCTAATCTATGTAACTACCAAAACCTCTCTTTTAATTTTTAGAGTATAGGGTCATTGAAGACATCCAAGATAAAACAGTAACATCTATGTATATAGATTAGTTAAATGAAGATAATTTAAGAAACGCTTAAGAATTAAAATCCGATTTTTATCATGTTATGGTAAATATTGAGATCGATGTTACAATGGCGTTTTGCAATTACTTAAAGCGTTATCAATTATATGCTTAATTTTGTGACGAGTTAAAGTATCCTCGTGGTATGGGTTTTCGGACACTTAAGAACATTCGTAGTTTTCTCGCTAATCACAAGAACAGCTGTAAAACATTTCACTCACTCATAAAAGAAAACTTTATCTTAAAAACAAGCCATCATCTGAGTATTTACAATGTCTGTGTGTCTCGACACCCCTTGTTATAACGCGAGTAATCGCAATAAACATGGCTGTCCGAAAACGTATGATGTTCGGAACCTATGATCCGACGATATATTTTCTCTCATTCTGAACCTCGACTTGTTATTTTTTTATTTTTATTATAAAAAAACGTTCTATCGTCCTCGTTAATCCAGTGTATAATATCTCCATATCTCACCCATTCCCATCATAGTTTCGTTACCAAAAGGGGGCACGGGTGGCCCAGTCGTCAGGCGCCGCGATTCGCTGTGCAGAGTTGCGTCCCTTGGGCACGCCAGAAACCTATGATTGTAGGCTCGAATCCTGGTTCGCCCCGATTATGTTTCTAGGTTTGTCAGCACCATACGGGTGCTCGTGGGTTTCACCGAAGTGGTAAACGCCTGAGACCTGCATCACTTCGGGCTTTCCTCCCACATTAAGCTGACACGCCGTGATATAACTGGAATACTGTTAAAAGCGGCGTTACACCCAACTCACTCCCCCAACTCGTTACAAAATACGCTGATTTTAGAATCACGAACCACAGAAGATAGACAGTGATGGAAAGTCACTTCCGACACGAAGTATGGTGACGAATAAATCCGGTATTTGATCAACGAATGGCGATATGACAGACTGGGTATTAAAAGGTGTCAGTCACTAGTGGCTTCCCATTTCAAATAGGTGAGGTGAAATGGGGTTTAACGTCACGTCCAAGATTATTGCACTTATATAGCGACGTGCATGCACGCGTGTGTGTGTGTGTGTGTGTGTGTGTGTGTGTACTAGTCCGGACTGATGCCGATTTATAGTGCTAGCTCACTGAGATACCATGCCGCAGTTTGACATGAATACCCCACTCAGACACAGTATACTGACTCCGAGCCGACCAGTCCTTGTTTTAGCCCTTTAATGGCGGGCGCCAGACAGGGTAACAAGAAGTACCATCTTTTAACGTCTTTTGGTATGACGCGGCCGGGGATCGAACCCCGGACCTTCCGCTCTCCGGGCGAACGCTCTACCACTGGACCACGGAGGCGGTAAGAAAACATATAGTTGGTTGTTCAGAACATGCCAGTCTACCCATAAATATCCTTACGAGACGGAATCTCCTCTCATACCAATACTGATCGAACTTGATGAGAGGGGCAGTGGGGTTGCCTAGTGGTTAAAGCGTTTGCTCGTCAAGCCGAAGGTCCGGGTTCGATTCCCGACATGGGTACAATATGTGAAGCAAATGGTGTTGTATTTAATACGGGTATAAGCGTTGCATTTGGACCTTATAAGTTTGCAGTGATTCGGTGACTGTTTTGAGCCCAGTAACGGTTTCATAACGTTCGTCACTTTTTGGTTAAATCCAATTTTCAAGTGTATACTTTTTCCCCCGGCAGTATATGTTATTGTGGGGCAGGGCTTTGAACCGTCCAGTTGTCAAAGCGCCTTAATTCTCTGTGCAGAGTTCGGTCCCTTGGATATGTCAGGATCCACAGATTGTGTGTTTGAATTCAAGACTCGTCTTTAATATCATCATTTGTTTGTCAGCTTCTAGGTATCACGAACGTGAAAATATGGAAGACCTGTTTCACTTCCTTCACATTAAACTGAGGCGCCTTGAGATATATGTACATTGTATTGTGACCCGTGAAGATCCGGGGTAGAATAGATCTTCAGCAACCCATGCTTGCCGTAAAAGACGACTATGCTTGTCGTAAGAGGCGACTAACGGGATCGATGACGTGGTTGATGCATGTCATCGTATCCCAAGGGCGTGGATCGATGCTCATGTCAATCACTGTATTGTCTGGCCCAGACCCAATTATTTACAGACCGACGTCATATAGCTGGAATATTGCTGAGTGAGGCGTTAAACAACAAACAAACAAACAACATCGTATTGATCAAAGCGACATCAAAAAGCAGTTTCATTATTTTGAAGCATGTCTGATGGTCGGAACACGGAGCAGGCGATGATGACGGTGCGAGTGACCGACGTCGTTGACGAGACGCCGGTAATCACGTTGTCAGGGACGTTGTCTATCCCGGAGGAGATGGCAGTGGACAGCGTGGTCAGCAACCTCTACACCGTGGACGACCAAGACGAGGGAGACACACTGTCGTATGCGATAAGTGGTGAGAAGTTCATTGTTGGTCATTAGACTGCGAGAATACTCATGACGTTTGTTGGTTGCTTAACGTCACAGTCGCAATATCCAAGACATCCAAAATTGAACTATACATAATTTTCCTTACTTGTTTCTTTTTTGAAGCCACAGTCATCAATATTTCACTTTTTTACCGTCAGCCTATAGATAATCGAGTCTGTATCAGACAAATCAGTGATTGATATTATAAGCGTTGACACGCCATCAATAAAGTTACTGAATCGGAGCATCCCTTCCAACAAGTCGCAGCAAAGGCTGCTGGGAACCAAGCCTTATCTGTGGCAGTAAATAATCCAGACTGGGTGAGGTATGGAGATTATTATACGAGCATGTGTGTCATACTGATTTTACGAAACTAGTTTCAGAATTCTTGTATTTCCCGAGCGTGTGTCGTCAAGTGTGACGTCATTCCGTCATTCCGCAAACGAGCATACCTAAAAGAATTGTCAACTCGTTGCATAATGATTAACATGATTTTCCCCATATGTATATTTCCCAGATGCTATTGAAAACACATCTGGACATACAGTATTATACAGCATGCATGAACACATGTAGCTGTATGTTGGGTAAATTTTCAGTTCCAAGACATATGTACATTTAATTATTCCTGAGGGATTCTTTGCCTGAAGTACTTGAAGTCATACGCGCAGTCTGATTGGTTTGTCGTATTTTCGCACATAACGCTCATCGATAGGGGACGAGTTTTGCAGGTTACGGAAAGGAGCGAGTGGTGACGAATGGCCAGCATCGATTCGTCACATCTTACACACAGTGGTGTTATGCTAAATCACCACTGCGCCGGAGTGTGGTGCGAGAAGTAATATTTTCACTAGTGCACATACGATTTTAATGAACTCTGTTATTTCTAACCCTTGGGATGATAAAAACCAGTAGTCACATATTATCCTCCCGTGTTGGTGCACACGATCCCCGCTTCAGAAAAAAATCGTTCTATAGCTGGAATTTTTCTGAATGCGGCGTTAAACAACAAACAATCACCCCCGCTTCAGAAAGCTGTCGCAACACGCATGCGTTATTGGGGACTCGGAATGTCAAGAGAACATGTTTGTTTGTTGTTTAACGTCACACTCAAGCTGTGTGACTGTGCCCTTTAAATAATCCAGACGAGACCAGACAATCCAGTGATTGATTTTGTTCACAACTGTCCATGCCGTAGGCGTACGTTATCAACCAAGTCAGAGCATGACCACCCAACCCATTTGGGCTGACGGCCCAACAATTAACAATTAGCGACCAACTCAGTCAACAAGGCCATTATAGTTATGCTTACTGTCCATGAATTTCAATAAAAATCTTTTCAACTAATAATTCTTTTTGAACTTAAGTAAGAAAATTTTAAGAAGCTTCGCAATGTCTAATGCAGATTTTTGGTCTTTTGTTTTATATATCTTTTGTACTATCAAAGATTTGTCATTGGTAAGCCTGGATATTTTCAGTTAATCATTATTAATGTTATATTAAATTATACTTAATCATCCTTGAACATTAACTATGCAGGAAGTGAAAGTACCTTCTTCAGTATGGATCCAACATCCGGGGTATTGAAGATAGCTCAGAGAATCGACCGGGACCAGGCGGCCTTGACCTCCGTCTCATTTGACCTTACCGTGACCGACAGCTCTGGCCTTGGGTCGACCCAGACAATAACTGCGACCATTGTAGACATCAATGACAACAACCCTGCATTCTTCGCGACATCGTATACGGTGGACGTCGCAGAGAATACTCCGGTCGGTGAGTCCACATAAGTCCAGAAGCTTCTTTGTTTCAAAGTTCTTCCTTGGTTTGAGGATCGTAGTGTAGTGATGGAGTTGGCAAAGCGGCTTCCGGACCAAACACGTTAAAAGATGGTATTATTTGTAAAAGAAGACCTGGCTGGCTCGGAATTAGTGTTGTGTGTCTGATCCATGTTAACTGTGACATGGTCCAGTTATTGTACTGTCCGTTGTTGATATGCTTTTATCGTTGAAATGTATTTATTATATATTATCTTTGAAAGTCAAGACATGGCTGAAATACTGCAAATGTAAATTTAAACTCACTAACTAACTGTGACATGGTAGGTCAGTGGGCTAGTAGTATACCTCACCTCACCTCACCTCGTCTCACCTCACCTCACCCTACCCCACCCCACCCCACCCCACCTCACCTCACCTCACCTCACCTCTCCTCACCTCACCTCACCACACCACACCTCGGTTTGAACCAACTATCCCTGCATAAGGATGTAATGCACCACCACAACAACCCTAGAAACCCAACATCCCTCGGTTCAGCGGTATCTTTCTATTCTGCAACGCAATATTTACAACCAGGGAATGAAACACATCTCAGAGATAACGCAGTACGTCAGTGTGTTATAAAGGTAACCATAACATTTGCTTTTATTTCTTTACAAATCCATTGTTGTTAAAAATGACGTCTTCATGTCGCGAGGACTAGTACTGTGGTGGTTACGAGATAATTCCACGTTGATGATTCTAAGTTAACTTCTCTGTGAACGTAAAAAAATGTCAAAATACATAAAAACTGAAAATATTTCATGTTCCATAATGATAAATAAAATGCCCCAACCGTTGATGTAATTGTATACGTTGTCGATTCGCTTCTAATAATGAGTTGGTGATTTTGGTATAACCGCCTTTCACAGTATCTCAGTTATAGCACGGTATGTCGGCGTAGACCTAACATCAGCGGATCCTGCCACGACGAGGGACGCAACTACATAGGGAACTGCATGCCTCCCACTTTATATAACCAGGACAGCTTGACCCCAAAGTATTCACTAGTCACGTGCTAAAAGCAGCGTAAAACAGCAACTCTCTCATTCATCATTTCCGACAGATACCGTCGTCCTTGACCTTGTTGTGAACGATGCCGATGACGGTACCAACGTCGCCTCCAGAATCGCCCTGCAAGATGGTACTGCTCAAGACATGTTCAATGTGACCGGAAGCCAACTGAAGACCGTGACCAGTAACCTTGACTACGAATCTCTGTCAGTTTACGAGTTCATATTTACCATTGTAGCTGTCAATGAAGACAATCTGAGAACAGGAACGACAACCGTCAGTGTCAAGGTGGGTATCTGACTTGAAGAGGTCTAGAAGTAATAGGCTTATCCATCGGGGATTAGAGTTTAATGTACCCTCTGTATAGGTGTGGACAAGCTAGTTAACAAAACAAGGATAAGCACACCACGAATGTATCTTACCACCGTCTTTATCATTTATCACAATTTGAAAAGAAATGGAGATTTGGATGGAATCTATGTTTGTCGCCATTTTGCCAAATGAGCTCCAGACGTACATCAAAGTCAATGTTAATATACATGTACACTCGACGCCGTTTTGCTGTAAGGAGCTTGAATATAAGCAAAATAACTGTTGCCATGGTGGCGTGGTATATATTTTCATGATGCAAATGGAAATTTATAAGAAAGAATTTTGAGTGACATGTAAGGTAAGATACATAACAATAAACCGGTTGATCAAACTGCGATTTGCCCTCTGCAATTTACACATCTCGAAAAAAGCTAACGCGAATCTCATTACATCAATTTTTTCTCGTGAAAGTAACGCGGGGTCGTGAACCCCAATTTCCACATCATCATTTCTAGAAAACACTTGCTTGCTGAAAATGTGTGAACATTTTCCCACTTGAATGTGACTGAAAAATGAAAATCATGTTATTATGGAATCCACGAAGAGACGGCGCGTTGTCGCCCTCACCAAAAAAGCAAAAAGTGTCAAAATTTATCAAAGCGCGACAATGCGACAACGCACAATTTTGGCCAATTGTTGCATTGTCGCGTTATCGCATTGTCACGTTTTGAATAATATTTTTTATTTTACCAAAGGGCGATAGTGCGCCAACGCGACATATTTTGACTTGAAAAATGTCGCGTTGTCACATTGTCGCGACAAGTGAAAAAAAACCCACAGTCAATCCATAAATGACGCATGATCTAGTTGGTTTACTGAGGGCGTGAATCATGTCATGCTTTGATCCACCTCATCCGACCTTGACCTTGACCTTTCAGGTGACCCCGGTTAATGAATTCGACCCCGTGTTTGACACCCCCGCCGTGGACGGCACCAAACAGTTTCAGGGAACCAGTTTATCAGAGGACGTCCCCGTCAACCACGAAATCTCCTTCGCCGCCTCCGACGCCGACCTTGGAGTGGACGGTGACGTCACTTTTTTCCTCGTCTCCGTGCTGGACTGTGAGCATTAAGTGTTAAACCTGAAGTCTCAAAATACATAGTTTGTGTGTTTATCGACGTAGTAAATTGTGAAATGAATGGGTGATAGTGGGGTGGGAGTGGGGTGGGAGTGGGGTGGGTGAAACAGACATAGCACTTTACCGTAAAGCCTCGTCAACTTAAACGTGATTATCTCTACATATACCTTGAGACGACAGGGGTGTGAAATTTCGGGCTAGATTTATAGGTTCCGAGCACCGTATTCTTGTGGGAGGGGGACCACACGGATCTGGCTTGGTCGATTGCATGTCATCGTATCCCCACGGCGAGGGACAATGTTCTTAATATCAATCACCGGTGTGTCTTGCCCGGACACGTTAATTTAGTAAGAGCGGCGTTAAACAACAAACGCACAATTAAGACGATTCATATTTGAAGGTGCAGACATAGTACTGGTGTTTAATATCGGCTGCCACGGCATTCCACGGTTCTAACGACTTCGTTAACGATGTTTACCAACCAAAATATATTTGATGAGTGAGTGCGTTGTTTTAACGCCGCTTTGATCGGTAATGTCAATAACATAACTGCGTGTGTGGGGAAAGCAGAAAGTGATATAGATCTTTCATGTTTCACTCTTTAATTAGTGAGAATGAGAAGTGGAGTACAAAGGTACCCACTAGTCAGGGAACAAAAAAACCCGCATTTGAGCAGATAATGTACTTATACCTGGATACCTGCGATAAATAAATAAATAAATAAATAAATAAATAAATAAATAAATAAATATATAAATAAATAAATAAATAAAAAATAAATAAAAAAAATAATTAAAAAATAATGAATAAATAAATAAATAATATCCACGTTGACAAACCTAGAAACATAAGCACGCGAACCGGGATTCGAACCAACGATCTTAGCTTTCTGGCAGGCATAAGGGACGCAACTCTGCACAGAGAATTGCAGCGCCTTAGATAACTTAGCCACATGTGCCCCCATGGTGTATTTGACACACCAGAAACAACATAATTGTATGAATATCATGCGATCCTTAAAATTTGAAGAAACAAAATTCTTTTCCTTCTGGCACATAATCTTTTCTTCTACAGCAAACGGAGGAGACAGTAGTGACAAATTTGAAATTGACTCTAACACCGGCATCTTAAAGACACTTAGACCCTTAGACACTGACACCGCAACGGGGGGCGTGGCCTATCATGACGTAACGGTCAGGATCACCGACGGAGCTAGCTCACCCAGATCCTCGGACGGGACAATGCGGTTGACGTTAATTGACGTCAACGACAACATTCCCAAGTTTGATTCAACTCATTACGCCGTCACCCTCAATGAAGACATTGCTGTGGGTGACGTTGTTGCTACAGTGGTCGCAACTGACGACGACGGTGACCAAGTCACACTCACTTTGGAAGGAGGAGGAAGTTATTTCGAAATAACCGGAAGTGACGTTGTTCTTAAATACCCTTTAGATTATTCATCATCACCGCTTCATGTATTGACGTTAAGGTACGTATCTAGCTCACTGAATTAGTGTGTGTGGTTTAACGCCGCCTCTTGCAATGTTCCTGTAAGATCACGTCATGAGATAAAGACATTGTACCCACGTTGGGAATCGAACCCGGACCTTCGTCGTTTCGAGCGAACGCTTTATCCACTCGGCTACCCCTACAACGAATGGTCAGTGAACGACGAGATGTGTTTCACAGGCCATACAGTATTAGTTTAATGAATCAAACCATTTATGAATATAGTGAGAAAATACCTTTTTATAACGTAAACATGTACGACTGAATAAGCTTCAGAATTGTTATAATTATTTCGGTGATATCTTGATCCTATTCTAGAGCAGATGACGGAACGTTCACCACCAACGCTGTGATGCTAGTTACCGTTGTAGATGTTGTCTTGACAACGTTGAAGATCGTGGTGGCCACAGACGCTGCTATCCCCGAGGATCAGAACGAGGGGACAGTCCTGAAGGGTGTGTTTGTGACCCACGGGAACACTGGTGCCGTCACCTACAGTCTGGGGGGTGAGGTCAAACTTGAACACATTCCTCACCACTCGCCTCTTTCCGTAACCTGCTCGATCCCAATTGCGTGGATCGATGCTCATGATATCAATCACTGGATTGTCTGGTCCAGACTCGATTATTTACAGACCGCTGTCTTATAGCTGGTATATTGCTGAGTGCGGCGTAAAACAACCAACCAACCAACCAATAAAACGTAACCTGCTGGAAGACTCGTCTCCAAATCGATCAATATTTTGGTTGTGTGAATTTTTGCCTAAAATAGTTCAAGAACGTACCGGAAAGTGTCTTACACTATCAAATCAAAACACCCTGGAATAAAAAGCATATCTTGATATTTTTTCTTGCGGAACTACATACATTTTTAGTCGATGTCGACATTTTGGATGCCAAAAATGCAGAAGATTTGAAGAGCTCCCGTGATGATCCGGGTTAGCTACATGACTGTCGTAAGAGGCGACTAACGGGATCGGGTGGTCTGGCTCGCTGACTTGGTTGATGCATGTCATCGTATCACAGTTGCATAGGCCGATGTTCGTGATGTCAATCACTGTATTGCGTGGATTTACAGACTGCCGTCACGTAGCTGGAATACTGCCGAGTGCGGCGTTAAACAACACAAAAACAAACAAAAATCAAACTGGAAATTTTTTATTTTTTTTATTGAAAACATATCACACTTTGTTTCATAGGCACAAATGCTGGCTTCCTGTCATTGAACCCAACTGGGGAGTTGAGTTACGGCTCGCAAAGAATTGACCGCGACGGCAGTAGCGGTATAACCACGTTGTCAGACATCACACTGAAGGCAGTTGACAGCTCCGGTAACGAGGCCACAGCAGACCTCACATTCATCATCATCGACATCAACGACAATGCACCGCTGGCGACTGTGTTGGCACCGACGGCGCAGGTTCGAGAAAACTCACAGGATAGTATGTTGTTTACCTTCAAAAGCGTTTTCATCTCAGACTCTAAGATTAAATATTACGAAGATCTATTTTAATAATTCATACTATTCCTTTCTTCATGCATCACCCACAGTCATAGCTTAGCGTATATAGTATTATCCACTACTACACAACTTGACCATATATATCCTATATCCATCCTACATGTATACCCATCCTATATCTATCATTTATCCATCACTTATCCTATATCCATCCCTTATCTATCATATATCCATCCTATATCCATCCTACATGTATAACCACCCTATATCCATCCTAAATGTATACACATCCTATATCCGTCCTATATCCATCATTTATCTATCATATATCCATCCTATATCCTTCCTACATGTATAACCATTCTGTATCCATCCGATTTCCATCATATAACCACCCTATGTCCATCATTTATCATCCTATATCTATCTTATATCCATCCTATACCCATCCTATATCCATCATTTATCCATCTTATATCCATCCTATATCCATCATTTAACCACCCTATATCCATCCTATATCCATAATTTATCCATCCTATATAGATCATTTATCCATCATATATCCATCCTATACCCATCCTATATCCATCATTTATCCATCATATACCCATCCTATATCCATCCTATGTCCATCCTATACCCATCCTATATCCGTCCTAAATCTATCATTTAGTCATCAGTTATCTATCATATATTTTTGATTTCTGTTTATAAATCAATCATCATAAATCTCACATATGCCTTTGTTTTTGGTGTTTGGTCAAGTGAAGTCGGTGAAAACTTTCTTTTGCCCGGTAGTTTATATCCATCCTGTACCCATCCTATATCCATCCTATATCTATCATTTATCCATCATTTATCTATCATATATTCATCATATATCCATCCTTTAACCATCCTATATCCATCATTTATCCATCCTATATCCATCCTATAGCCATCATTTATCCATCCTATATCCATCATTTATCCATCATATTATTTTTGTGTAATTGGAGAAAGTAAAATACAACATGCAGTACATATACACTGAAGCGCACGTACAATATTGAAACGCGGCTTCTGTCCCGATTGTTTTTATTTTAAAAGCGCAAACCTACTCAACTGGTACTGCACGATTGGGTCAGAAGGCCCAAGTGTCTAAGTATGAACCCACATATACGGTAGCAAATAAATGGAAAAGCCATTTGTAACAACCCAAATTTCTGTTCTTGAAGATCAGCTAGTGACGTCATTAGACTTCACAGACGCTGATGAAGACTCCAACAGTAACGTCACACTCAACCTCGTCAGTGGTGACATTCACAATGTTTTCAAAGTCGTCGACTACGACCTGTATGTCAGAGGCACCGGTATCGACTACGAGGCTTTGACTGGAGACCACAGCTACAACATCGCCCTCCATGCTGTTGACAACCCACAAACGTCAACGCCGTTGACGTCAACCGTCACTGTTCACGTTGAGGTATGGACAGTGTTCGATACAGTCTCAGAGCGGACACTTTCCCCAAAAACGTAGCAATTGATTTCATCATGAAACAGAGCTGTTTTGTCAGCATATTACAAAGATATGACGTTTAGTGAATAATTGCACGTCGTTCAGAACACCTAATTTATGACAAGACTGTCATATTGCATAGGGTTAAGAACTTTGTCTACTGTCTTAAAGTCATTCTGGGGCGGTCGGGTAGCCTAGTGGTTAAAGCCGAAGACCCGGGTTCGATTCCCGACATGGGTATAAAGTGTGAAGCCCATTTCTGGTGTCCCCCGCCGTGATATTGCTGGAATATTGCTAAAAGTGGCGTAAAACCATACTCACTCACTCACTCACTCACTCACTAACTAAAGTCATTCTGTATAACTTAGAATCTATAGCATATACAAATAGATAAACGATAAGAATGAAATTAGATCAATTTATTTCTATCGAAAACATCACAGTGTGATTTGCAATTACAAAAAATGTACACTTAAACTTGGACCAATTTACGTTGTCAGTTGGCTCGATTCATACGATTTAAGGACCATACGTGGTTTTGACCTTCCTATACTTTCAGATTCTGGGTGAGAACGAGTTCCAACCCTCATGGACCTCCCCGACCGCCGGGGCCGGCTCCACCTTCCCCGAGGTGACCATCAAGGAGTCAGCCACCCTGGGACAGACGGTGGAGACGTTTGTAGCCACGGACAACGACGGCGGCGATGACGGACTGATCACATACAGCGTCCTTGACATCAAGAATCGTGAGTGATTATAGTCATTGCGTTGGGTCCCCTAGATCACAGATTGATTTCAGATTTATTGTACAAAATATAACCATAGAAATATGATGTCAGGTTTTGCACGGGTTATGTTTGTAAGCTTCTGAGAAACATATGACGATATTACGTATGCGTGTATGTAATTACCCACGGCATATGTACCGCAGTAGATGCTTTTGTATTGCAGGGTCGGTCGGGTAGGCTAGTGGTTGAAGCGTTCGCTCGTCACATCGAAGGCCCGGGTTCGATTCCCCACATGGGTACAATGTGTGAAGCTCATTTCTGGTGTCTCAAACTGTGATATTAATGGAATATTGCTAAAAGCTGCGTAAAACCATACTCACTCACATTAGTATTACACTGGACGAAAAAATATATTTCTATACAGGGACAAAGAATGAGCGCTCATTCAAAACTTTCAAATCGTTGAGTGGCTGGCAGGTACTCCCAAAATCTACGCGCGTCATTCTTTGCTTGTATTATCTTAGAGACAGCTCTTTCCCTCCCGATTGAGGTTGAATATTCTGGTTCTTGCCGAACTAAAGTTTATACGTTGTCACAAGGTATACTAAATGAATGATTGAGTTGGGTTTGACATCACTTGGAGCAGTTTTCAGTTCTATTACCGTGATCAGAGCTCTGTGGGAAGAAAGACCTAATTGGTGCAAATCAACACGCGCACGAGTATCGTGCTGGGAAACCAAGGATCATTTTTCATGATCTATGGTGACGGTCAGCGGATCCTGACACACCTAAGAGATGCAACTGCATGAACAGGATTCCAGTGTCTAAGGCCATCATGTCAATCAAAGACATAGAACACCAGATTATTATAGTGTCCGAGAGGGGACAATAATGGCCACGAGAAAGCGAATACACGAGTAAAAAAAACGATACAAATTTCGCTTTCTCGTCTGGTGCTGCCTCTTTCTCGCCTCGTACTATCGCTTAATCATCTCGTGATGTCGCTTTCTCGTCTCGTGTATTCGCTTTCTCGTCTCGTACTATCGCTTTCTCGTCTCGTGCTCTCGCTTTCTCGTGTCGTCCTGTCGCTTTATCGTCTCGTGATGTCGCTTCATTGTCTCGTGCTATCGCTTTCTCGTCTCGTCCTGACGCTTTTTCGTCTCGTGTTATCGCTGTATCACTTTCTCGCGGCAGTTATTGAAGGCGAGAAAGCGATGTCCCCTCTCGACCACTACGCAGTATAGTGTAGTAGATTCGTCCTGTCACGTATTTTCAGCTTCTGGCATCAGCGTGACGGGCAAGTTTGAGATGACGACAGACGGGCGTCTGGTGGTGGCGTCCCTGCTGGACTACGACGCCGACACTGGCGGAGTGGACTACTACACCGTCACCGTCGCCGCCAGCGACAGCAGCAGCACCAACGTGAAGAGCACCACCGGCAATGTCAAGGTCATTCTGGAGGATGTTGAAGTGGAGAATGTCATTGGTTTGTAACGAATATTCGATTTAACGTTTTTGAAGTAGACCTTACATGGATTCATATATAGTATAATGACACTTATATCTGTTATAAGGAGCCTGGGTTTACGCCGCTTTGAACTGTATTCCAGTTTTATCATGGCGTGTCAGCTTAGTGTGGGAGGAAAGCCAGCAGTGAGTTTTGAGTTTACCACTTAGATGAAACTGACGAGGACGGGTACGGTGCCGACCAACCTAGAAACATTGTCAGAGGTCATACGATCGTTGGTTGGTTGGTTTGTTGTTTAACGCCGCACTCAGCAATATTCCAGCTATATGACGGCGGTCTGTAAATAATGGAGTCTGGACCAGACAATCCAGTGATTGAAATGATGATAATCGATCTGCGCAATTGGGATCGATGACATGCATCAACCAAGTCAGCGAGCCTGCCCACCAGATCCCGTAAGTCGCCTTTTACGACAAGCATAGTCGCCTTTTACGGCAAGCATGGGTTGCTGAAGACCTATTCTACCTTGGATCTTCACGGGTCTCATACGATCGTACGATCATAGGATTATTGAACGCATAAGGGACGGAACTCTGCAGAGGGAATTGCGGCGGTTAAGACGCGCGGGCCTTCTTTCAAGGTCAGTGTGTTGTATCCAGATCTTTTTCAACGAATACCCAAAGAATATCCCATATAATGTGAAGTATTGTTTGTAGTTAATTTGCGAAAATGTTATTCTATATATTTGTATTTGAGCAACCGCAACCTATAGCCTTGGAACCCTACATTCTGACAGTTACACACACTTCAACCCACTTTTTGTGGTAACACTGCATTGTTTCTGACAGTTTGTAAGTACTCGCCTATATATTTCAGTGTTGCCAAAGTTGCCCGTTGCCGACACGACGACGGAGTTGTGGGTGATGAGGGCGTTGGTTGCCGTCCTGGGAGTCGCTTCCGCTGTATTCGCTTGTGTCATGATCAGAAGTATCATGTGAGTTTTGCAATATTAGTCCTGTATAAGTTGCCTCCTGATGTCCTATAGAGCGCCTTCTGATGTCCTATATAGTGCCTCGAATGTCCTACATAGTGCCTCCAATGTCCTATATAGAGCCTCCAATGTCCTATATAGTGCCTCCTGATGTCCTACATAGTGCCTCCAATGTCCTATATAGTGTCTCCGATGTCCTACATAGTGCCTCCAATGTCCTACATAGTGCCTCCTGATGTCCTATATAGTGCCTCCAATGTCCTACATAGTGCCTCCAATGTCCTACATAGTGCCTCCAATGTCCTATATAGTGCCTCCAATGTCCTACATAGTGCCTCCAATGTCCTACATAGTGCCTCAATGTCCTATATAATGCCTCCAATGTCCTACATAGTGCCTCCTGATGTCCTAAGTAATGCCTCCAATGTCCTACATAGAGCCTCCCGATGTCCTACATAGTGCCTCCAATGTCCTACATAGTGCCTCCTGATGTCCTATATAGTGCCTCCTGATGTCCTATATAGTGCCTCCTGATGTCCTATATAGTGCCTCCTGATGTCCTATATAGTGCCTCCTGATGTCCTACATAGTGCCTCCTGATGTCCTATATAGTGCCTCCTGATGTCCTATATAGTGCCTCCTGATGTCCTATATAGTGCCTCCAATGTCCTATCTAGTGCCTCCTGATGTCCTATATAGTGTCTCCAATGTCCTACATAGTGTCTCCAATGTCCTACATAGTGCTCCAATGTCCTACATAGTGTCTCCAATGTCCTACATAGTGCTCCAATGTCCTACATAGTGCCTCCTGATGTCCTATATAGTGCCTCCTGATGTCCTATATAGTGCCTCCTGATGTCCTACATAGTGCCTTCTGATGTCATATATAGTGCCTCCTGATGTCCTACATAGTGCCTCCTGATGTCCTATATAGTGCCTCCTGATGTCCTATATAGTGCCTCCTGATGTCCTATAATGTGCCTCCAATGTCCTATATAGTGCCACCTGATGTCCTATATAGTGCCTCCAATGTCCTATCTAGTGCCTCCAATGTCCGACATAGTGCCTCCAATGTCCTACATAGTGCCTCCAATGTCCTACATAGTGCTCCAATGTCATATATAGTGCCTCCAATGTCATACATAGTGCCTCCTGGTGTCCACCACGCAGCCATATTGAAAAAAACATGTTTATTACCATTACTCTTTTAGTTTTGTTGTAGTGGGGCTCAACACAAATGTTCCGTTTTCGTGATATTATAAAAATTTGAACTTTGCAATTTGCACGTTGTCCATGCTCCAAAATGCTCTTATCTCATCATCATCTCCGAAACAGCTGGGCCAGTGAAGCTGAAACTTCACATGCTTGTGTCCACCAGTGATAACACCTGAATTTCTTCAGATGTTGTTATCCAATGTCCAATATGAGAGAGCTTAACTCAGGACGGTTTGTTTCACCTCATGATGACATCGTGTTTTGAGAAATCGTTATATTTTAGTATTTATATTCTTCAGTATTTATGCATAAATACTTATTTGAATATCAACACTGACAGCAACTTTTGGTTTTAGAAGTCACGGTTTCTGCTGATACTTTAAACTATTGACTTCATATCCAGGTGAGCTACAGTGATGTGGCTCTTTTTTGTAGTTATTTTCTTTGTATAAGTTCTGATTTGGGCTATTGAATCCGTAAAAAATATCCCTTTTAATTTGAATGTGGAACAGATATAGTCCCATAACAAGGACGCTTCTGCTCTAATTAAAACTATGTGTTTACTTCTTTTAAGAGAAACGGTGTCATCTTCCACTCCAGAAGTCAGTGAGTACAAACTATGACTGGTTATTAATTTATCTGATGATTGAACCCAAATTAAAATTCAAACAAATTTCTAAATTTCCAGCAAAGATTCTGCTTGCATCATTTGTGTTCTTTACATAAATTAAAGTGACATGTTTAATATTCTGTCAATGAAGTCTTTGATAACCATTAAGAGTGAGTCAGTGAGTGAGTATGGTTTTACGCCGCTTTTAGCAATATTCCAGAAATATCACGGCGGGGGACACCCGAAATGGGCTTCTCACATTGTACCCATGTCGGGAATCGAACCCGGGTCTTCGGTGTGACGAGCGAATAACCATTTAGAAGTTGGAAGAATATGAACACATGACACTTTTAATGGATATAAACTTCTTTAATTTTGTGTTACGACGTTTGAGAGCTACTTCTTGTCCTGAAAGAAGTAGCTGTCAAGCGTCGTGTATACTATCATTAATTCAGAAGATTGATAAATCGATAAAACCACGCATCACCAATAACAAATAAATCTTAATTTCAATTTATCGATATACTTATATTAGCACTGCACATTTACAGTTGACGAGGGAAGATGAATAATATCTAAGTCGAAAGACGACCTGTTCTCTGCTCAACACGAGCTGCACATTCAACAGTGGAAATATACTGAAGACCAAAAGAAACTATACCTCTCAGTTGATTTTACCATATGTATGATTTTGAATTGAAAATACCTATAGTTAGTGATATTATATCCAAACAATGAACTGGACTGGAGCTTAGTCAGCAATCAAAGGATACTTCTACCTGGTTTTAATCAAAAAAATATTTTTAAATATTTTTATTTAAACTTTTAAAAATTAAAAATTAAATATTTCGCATAATACACAACTCCTGATGGGTATCTTAGAAATCTGATCTGACATGGTAGGGGTATGTGGTTGCAAATTCCTCTCATACTAAAGTCTTGATTCAACAAATTTCTTTCTTGGACATTACCCAACAACAGATTACGTTTTTCATACTGTTGCAGGAAAGAATGATGGTTAAATAGACACAATCAAATTTAGTTTCAAGTTTCAATTACAAAATAAATCAATAAAAAAATTCGGTATTCTTTCTTTTGCCCCTCAGTTTTTATAAAGTGTGGACGCCTAATCCTTTTGAATATTTTGTCCCAGCTAAGCCACCAGACAAAGTTTGGATGGAGCGGGCTGTGTCAGTGACGCCTCATATGTCTCTGGAGTCTGTGGTAAGTATGGAAGCCTGTAAGGAACATATTACTCCCTTGCATGCTGCAATTCTGAACTATAACAGATAATATGATGCAACCGAACAATATAACAATAAAACATATAACTTTGGATACACCAAGAACATGTTGATTGTCATATCCACAAGGCTATGAGTATTGTTTTACGCCGCTTTTAGCAATATTACAGCAATATCCCGGGCTTCAGATAAGTTGAGATTCGACCCGGTCCTTCCATGTGGGTAGCGAACCTTAAACCACAAGGCCACCCTACGCCCTATCACATTCAAAAATATGTTATCGCCAAACATGACGTCTCTCCTAAATGTTGATGAGATTTGTCAGCTTCAGTATTAATTTTATATAAAAAAAGGGGGACACGGGTGGCCCAGTCGTCTAAGGCGCCGCGATTCGCTGTGCAGAGTTGCGTCCCATGGGCGCGCCAGAAACCTTTGATTGTGGGTTCGAATCCCGGTTCGCCCCGATTATGTTTCTAGGTTTGTCAGCACCATACCCGTGCTCGTGGGTTTCACCGAAGTGATAAACGTCTGAGACCTGCATCACTTCAGGCTTTCCTCCCACATTAAGCTGACACGCCGCGATATAACTGGAATACTGTTGAAAGCGGCGTTAAACCCAACTCACTCACTCACTCACTTTTCTGTTGATGAGATCTATCAGTTTCAGTATCAAATTTCATCTTAAAAAGTCTCAAAGATCAGGTTGAATGAATGTATGTAACTGCTATACTTACATGTATATCCCACAAAACGATATTGATGGCACAGGTGTCTCAGTCCTCTCAGCTGTAATTCATTGGGCAGAGTTATGTCCCTTAGGCGTACAAGGAAACCATGATCGTTGGTTCGAATTCCGGTTCTCCGTGATAATGGTTTTAGGTTTGTCAACACCCTACTCGTGCTTGCGTGCTTTACGAAAGTGGTAAACATCTAAATAAAAGTAACAAAGCCCTTTCCCATATTCATAAGGAATAAAAAAACACAGTCGATTGTACGATTCCGACTATATCATGAGCATGTGTTTATGAGGTGAGGTGAAATGGGGTTTAACGTCGCGTCGAAGATTATTGCACTTGCATAGCGACGTGCATGCACGTGTGTGTGTGGCTGCTTGTACTAGTCCGGACTGATGCCGATTTTATAGTGCTAGCTCACTGAGATACCATGCTGCAGTTTAACATGAATACCCCACTCAGACACAGTGTACTGACTCCGAGCCGATCAGTCCTTATATTAGTCCTTAATATCGAACGCAAGGCAGGGTAACAACAAGTACCATCTTTAAACGTCTTAAATGCTCTGCCACTAGACCACGGAAGCGGTATGTATTTATGAATCACTATGACCTCATCAACCTGACACGCCGTGATATAACTGAAATTCAGTTCAAAGCGCCATAAAACCCACACCTCATATTTTTTTATTTCTGGTTACTAGTCCTGTCATACTTATGGTTGCAGATAATTGATGACGACGATGATACTTTTACATCAGCCCAGTTCAGGTAGGTATTTAAACCATCTCATTAAAATCAGATCTTAGTTTTCGCTACCGCTAAACAAAGATCTGAGTACATCCAATTAAGGGTCACGTCAGAACGACCTTTCGCGAATTTTGACCGACCAATGAAATGACTGACAAAAAATCGACATTGGCCAGTCAGAAGGCAGCTTTCTCGAGCTTTACGACATTAGTTTCAAACTGGCGACTACGCTTCGAAACATATTTTGACGTATTCTCGATTAAAAATTTTAAAACTAATAAGAAGAACATTCTTTAATGGCTTATAGATGGCACAGATTGTATGGATAAAATCATAAAACCTGTAACTGTCGTTCGGAATACCCCGTGTTAAATATATCGTGGTTGCATGATTAGAAAACACATTCCGACTGTCACTTTCATGATCTGGTAAGCGACACTCTGATTGGTTGGATGAAAGGTCGTTCTGACGTGACCCCTAATGGGATGTCCTCAGATCTTTGTTTAGCGATAGCGAGAACTAAGATCTGATTTGAATGAGATTGGTGTTTAAAAGGTATTTGGACCCTTAGAAGAACTCGATTCCTGTAACTTGGTTTTAGTTATCTGAATATCTTAACACCCAGGCAGCATTGCGAATGACCAGGACAATACGTACATAAGACAATGGCTTCTCTTAATCTTTTTACCGCCTCCACACATTTCAGTGATTGAGTGAATGTTGTTTTACACCGCAGGCAGCAAGACTATAGCTATTTCTCTGAGAGTCTCCGTTTTAATGTGTATTCCATATTTCAATATCAATAAATCTTTTATTGATGTCACATATTCAATTTTGATATCATAATTGATATCTTAAAATGTATTTTACGACTTAAAAGAATCGAAGTCTTGATATGTAAAATATTGAAATATTTAATTCATTTTATCATTTTTATGATAACTATGCAGAAAGTCCAATCTGGTCTCATGTGAAAACATTACACGAGACCATCAACGATTCCCCCTGTTTCTACGCTCTAAACACCATCGGAATCGTGCTAGAATGTGCGGATTGGTTAACGGTGGTACAACAATATCCTGACTTCCATTACCTGAACCTTTTCACCAAATACCGATTGTCACATCTCCCCGTTTTGTGATACGATCGTTCGGCCATGGCGTTATCTGCGTAGCCCAGCTACACATATGGGGAACAACTTACTAGACACCCCTCTCAAAAATAACGTCGTTATATATCCGACGTCATCAAGATGCGAGCCGCATGTTCGGATCTCCAGAAATGACGTCATGATAGAATAATGTTTTTTCGTGAACTACCACGCTTTGTTCTTCATTGTTCTTTGCGATTTATCGCGTAGCTATCTTACATTTATTAATAACAGTCCAATCGTGTTGATACTTCAGACCGAACACAACCACACCGGAGACGACACAACCGTCACTCGGTACCGGTCAAGGGAAGGACCAGTAATAAGGAACATAAGCACATCCGGACATGGTCAGCCACGAGGACGAGCTGGTGGTTCAGGGTTTGAATCTCACTTCGGTTCTGTCTGTAGTGAAGGTGTCTGTGTCGCCATGTTGTCACCATTGCCAGTGAACACTGTGTGTTGTGTGTGTTGTGTGACATGGTCAGCCCCGAGGACGAGCTAGTGGTTCAGGGTTTGAATCTCACTTCGGTTCTGTCTGTAGTGAAGGTGTCTGTGTCGCCATGTTGTCACCATTGCCAGTGAACACTGTGTGTTGTGTGCCGATATCTTGTCATTAAAGGAGTTCTGTCTCGCCATCATAGATCATTCTCAATCATGTTTGATTATCTCAAATTAGTGCTGCGTTCGATTTCAAAATCCTGGACGACCCATGGGAACCCGGGCTGACCAAGGTGTGACCCAAGTTAACTTTGGTTGACCAGTTTAAGCACATGTTCACTCATTTATGTCATACTCCGGTTGACCTTAGCTGAAGATCCGGGGTAGGATAGGTCGTCAGCAACCCGTGCTTGCCGTAACAGGCGATGTTGCTTGTCGTAAGAGGTGCTAATAGGATCGGGTGGTCAAACTCGCTGACTTGGTTGATGCATGTCATCGTATTCCAATTGCGCAGATCGATTATCATCTTTTTTAATCACTGGATTGTCTGGTCCAGACTCTATTATTTACAGACCGCCATCATATAGCTGGAATATTGTTGAGTGCGGCGTTAAACAACAAACCAACCAACCAACCAACAAACAAACAAACAAACGAAATATCCACTGAACCCCTGGCGTGCGCTACCCCAGTTAGCAGTCTCCAAGTGACGTCATCGTAAAAACTAATTAGTTTCATTTATTGATTCAGTCATATACAAAAAACATTGTAATAAACATATTTAACTAGGTATTGATGTTACATATGTGTTCTTATATGTGCCAGGGCAATTTAACATTCGGTTGTTGATTTTAATATATACTTAGAATCAGTCATGCAATGATGATGATATTGTATCTCTGTTTGATGTTTCTGTGCGTTATTTTGAACTGTGTTGTTTTACATGCAGTAAATACAACATTTTTGTGTTTTGTGTTTCTCCTTTTGGCAGCCATGTTGTTTTATACCTAAGGTTGCATTTTATGCGTTTTATTTCGGGCACTAATTATACCTCCGTTTACGAAGTAATTCGGGGGTATATAGCATTCCGTCTGTCCGTCCTTCCGTCCGTCCGTCCTTCCGCCCGTCCTTCCGTCCGAGCTTTTGTACGGCCCATAACTTTTAACCATGCACCTTAGCTTCACCAAACTTGCTACACACATTTACCACAATGAGTACTTGTGCCCTTTGCCAGTTTGAAGATTCTGATTTTTTTAATTTTTGCCGTTTCCATGGAAACATTAAGAAACTTAAACTTTTAGGGTGAATGTTTTTTACGGCCTATATCTTTTTAACTATGCACCCTAGCTTCACCAAACTTTTTACACACATTAACCACAATGAGTACTTGTGCCTTTTGCTAGTTTGAAGATTCTGAATTTTTTAATTTTTCTCCGTTTCCATGGAAACATTAGAAACTTAAACTTTTAGGGTGGGTGTTTTGTACGGCCCATATCTTTTTAACCATGCACCCTAGCTTCACCAAACGTGCTACACACATTAACCACAATGAGTACTTGTGCCTTTTGCTAGTTTGAAGATTCTGAATTTTTAAATTTTTCTCCGTTTCCATGGAAACATTAGAAACTTAAACTTTTAGGATGGGTGTTTTGTACGGCCCATATCTTTTTAACCATGCACCCTAGCTTCACCAAACGTGCTACACCCATTTACCACAATGAGTACTTGTGCCTTTTGCTAGTTTGAAGATTCTGAATTTTTTAATTTTTGCTGTTTCCATGGACACATTAAGAAACATCAAGAATGTATGTTGTGCTAAGCATTGATTATCCCACAGTAGATTGAAATATATTTGCCAAAACATGTGTTCATTTCAAACATAATGCATCCTCATGGGGTTACAAAGGAAACTGACTTAAAGCAACAGGTATATTTCATTAATTAACAAACTATTTACTATTTGTTGTTGACCAGCGGGGATAACGGGGGTATGTGAGCTTTGCTCACTTCTTTCTTGTTATACCTAGATTATCTCCTTATTAAACCGTTATTCGCTTATGAATTTAACAAGGCGCAATGACAACATACAGAGTATATTATTCCGATGTCATATTTCTATAATTCTGGGTAGAGTACATCTAATAGTTCCAATTTGAGTGAGTGAGTGAGTGAGTGAGTGAGTGAGTGGGTGGGTGGGTGCGTGGGAGGTTGGTTGGTTGGTTGGTTTGTTGTTTGTTGTTAATCAAGTGATTAATATCATGAGCATCGATCCACGCAATTGGGATCGATGACATGCATCAACCAAGTCAGCGAGCCTGACCACCTATTCTACCCCGGAATCTTCACGGGTGGGAGGGAGGGGTGTACATGATTGAGACTGAACAAGACAACCAGTGGCTATTGTGCCCTGATCCCTCCAGGCGGAGAAAGATGACACGCAATAACCAATTCACCGAGCTGGACGAACCGATACAATCAATAAGCATTTAGAACTTTATTGGTGGTCTTGTGGGTGGGGAGTGTCCCCGGAGAATGAAAGGCTAACGGTTCGATTCCCGGTCGCGTCAACAAAAGACCTTAAAAATGTTCTTTGTTGTTACCCTGCCTGACTCTCAACATGGAAGGGATAAAACAAGGACTGGTCTGTTCAGAGACATTAAGCTGTGTTTGAGCGGGGTTCTGGTCAAACTGCAGCATGGTATCTCTGTGATTAACATTATAAGGCCGACACTCTTTACTCACAATCTGACAGAAATGATTGAAAGAAAGTACAAAGACAAACTTAAAACTATCAAAATCAACATGAACTCTCGGTCATAACGTGACCTGCCTGATTATGTAGAATTACAGTATTAAAAAGTCTTATTTCACCATGACTAATCACTTTTTTTAATCTTCCTGATCCAAGCGATCCTTCAAGGGTCCTAAACATCCTGTAACTCCGACGTCGAAACAGCATCGTACAAGGCAACATCCTCAGCCCCACAGTATTCAACCGTATTCCAGGAACAACAGCCTATATCAAAACTAAAAATGTGTATTGTTTGTTTGTTGTTTAACACCGAACTCAGCAAAATCCCAGCTACATCACGACGGTCAGTAAATAATCCAGATTGGGACAGACAATCCAGTGATTGACATCATGGGCATCGATCTACACAACTGGTATTCGATGATATGCATCAACCAAGTCAGCGAGCCTGACCACCCGATCCTGTCACTTGCCTCTTACGACAGGCGTGGTTTGATGAAGATCAGTTCTAACCCGGATGCTCACAAATAATAACTGATCCCATGAGGAAAAGAACACCTACATTCTATTGTTATTGCGGTGCGGTCTTCAGTTACGCTGAACTTCGGTTTAGCCGAGGCGGTGGGGTAGCCAAGTGGTTAAAGCATTCACTCGTCACGCCGTAGGCCCGGACCTTGCTGCCCCACATGGACACTATGTGTGAAGTCCAATTCTAGTGCCTCCCTCGTAATATTGTTGGAATATTACTAAAAGCGGCCAAATATTATTAGTATTCACACGAACTCGTCTTCATCAGCAAATGGAGCCTGCTGTAGTGCCTCAAAAACAGGCCAAGTAGTATCTGCCATAGTGCCTCAACAACAGGTCAAGTGGTGTCGGCTGTAGAGCCTCAGCAACAGCTCAAGTAGTGTCCGCTGTAGTGTCTCAACAACAGGTCAAGTAGTGTCGGCTGTAGTGCCTCAACAACAGGTCAAGTCGTGTCGGCTGTAGAGCCTCAACAACAGGTCAAGCAGTGTCGGCTGTAGTGCCTCGACAACAGGTCAAGCAGTGTCGGCTGTAGTGCCTCAACAACAGGTCAAGTAGTGTCGGCTGTAGAGCCTCAACAACAGGTCAAGCAGTGTCGGCTGTAGTGCCTCAACAACAGGTCAAGTAGTGTCGGCTGTAGTGCCTCAACAACAGGTCAAGCAGTGTCGGCTGTAGAGCCTCAACATCAGGTCAAGTAGTATCTGCCATAGTGCCTCAGCAACAGCTCAAGTAGTGTCCGCTATAGTGCCTCAACAACAGGTCAAGTAGTGTCCGCTGTAGTGTCTCAACAACAGGTCAAGTAGTGTCGGATGTAGTGCCTCAACAACAGGTCAAGTAGTGTCTGCCATAGTGCCTCAACAACAGCTCAAGTAGTGTCCGCTGTAGTGTCTCAACAACAGGTCAAGTAGTGTCGGCTGTATTGCCTCAACAACAGGTCAAGTAGTGTCCGCTGTAGTGTCTCAACAACAGGTCAAGTGGTGTCGCCTGTAGTCCCTCAACAACAGGTCAAGTAGTGTCCGCTGTAGTGCCTCAACAACAGGTCAAGTAGTGTCGCCTGTAGTCCCTCAACAACAGGTCAAGTAGTGTCCGCTGTAGTGCCTCAACAACAGGTCAAGTAGTGTCGCCTGTAGTGCCTCAACAGCAAGTCAAATAGTGTCTGCTGCAGTAAAGTAGTATCTGCTATAGTGCCTCAACAACAAATATAGTAGTGTCGGCTGTAGTCATGTAGTACCTGCAATAGTGCCTCAACAGCAAGTCAAGTAGTATCTGCTGTAGTCAAGTAGTGTCTGCTGTAGTCAAGTAGTGTCTGCTGTAGTCATGTAGTAGCTGATGTAGTGCCTCAACAGCAAGTCAAGTATTATCTACCTTTAGTGCCCCGTGAGTCAGTGTGCATTACTGTCCGGCTCAAGCCCCCACAGTTCCCACAGACACTGTATTGTTTCTCTTGGAACCAGTCCACCTACAGTTTACGAACCGACACACTTTGACAACACATATTTGATTTTTTTTGGTCATATGTGGCAAAATTGCCATAAAACATAAATTAAGATTGTCTGGGTATTTAGGCATGAGGTACTCAAGCACAACAACGTCACCGTACGCGTTCCAATCTGATTTGATGTGTTGAGAGATTGACTTGAGAATAAATACATCTTGTCCAATGCTTGAAAAGTTCATCATTTGTGTTCATTGTGTGTCAGTATACAATAAGGTTAGCGGGGCAGTCTTCACTTTAGTTGAGCTTCGTTTGCGTCTTCAACATGTCGTACAGCCTGCCGTATCGCCTCGTGAGCTATTGTGACCGTATCGCTATCCCGCTCAAGGAACGTTCCACAAAGTTCGGGAAAGACAGTGTACCGATTCTCCCAGAACCAGTCCACCGACACAGCCTTGGAGTCCAGCAGTTGCTTGAGGCTGACACTGTCCTTGTTCAACGTAGCGA